CACATAGCATATTTCTTATATCGGTGACATCAGTATTTGATGATACTTAAAGTCATCCTACTGTGATATCTGAGCCTGAAATTTGAGGCCTTAACGAAAGCCTATCATATGTTTGGTATGGCACAAGCCCAGAGAGGAAGCGATGGAAAAACCTCAGCTTGATCCTTGGTTTATGTTTGGTTGATTCTTGGTCTTGTGCGTTTTAGTTGCCTATGTACAAAGGACTGACGAAACCACAAAACTTCAATTGCAATTTGCAGATAAGATATCTGGTTAGTTGAGAATGGAAGACGAGACGCAAGTCAATTCAGAAGTCCCGGTGGTGAAGGCGCCGCCGGCTGACAGTAAAGCTGATCTTATTGAGGTAAAATGGTCTGCTACGAAGATCAACAAAAAGTTATGCATATGCTTAATTACCATTTAACTATACCTGACGTTGGAAATGTAAACTTTGTTCTGGTTGGTCTTGATACAGGTCGCAAATGGAGACTTGCCGCAAGCAGAAAAGAAAGAGGAGGACGAAACAGATGGAGAGTTCATCAAAGTTGAGAAAGAACCATTGGACGTGAAAGATGGAGCTGAGGCCCACGTGGCAGCTTCCTCCGAGGATGATAAGCCATCTATTACCGAGACAAGCGCAAGCAACTTGACCCGGGAATCGCTAGAAGCCGAGGAGAAGATCAAGGAGCTCGAATCAGAACTTGAGAGAGTTGCCAAGGCACTGAAGAAGTCCGAGTCCGAAAATTCAACGGTCAAGGACGAAGTTTTGTTAGCAAGAGAGAAGCTCGAGGGGTCTGAAAGCAAGTACACGGAGCTTGAGCTCGTACACAAGAAGTTGCAGGAACAGGTCAGTGAAGCTGAGGAGCGATATGCTTCACAGCTGAAAAGTCTGCAGGAGGCGCTCGAAGCTCAAGAATTGAAACACAAGGAATTGGTCGAGGTTAAAGAATCATTTGATGCTCTTACCTTGGACATTGACAGCTCGAGGAAGAGAATCGAGGAGTTGGAGAGCGGGCTCCAGCAATCTATTGATGATGCAAAGAAGTTTGAAGAGCTGCATAAGCAGAGTGGCTCTGATGCTGAGTCTCATGCAGAGAGAGCTTCCGAATTCGAGAAGCTTCTCAACGCGGCGAAGTTCAGTGCTAAAGAAATGGAAGATCAGATTGGTTTGCTTAAGGAGGAGGTGACGGGTTTGTATGCAAAGATTGCGGAGAACCAGAAAGTAGAAGAAGCTCTTCAGAATACTACAAGTGAGCTCTCCAAAGTTCAAGATGAGTTTGCTCTTTCAAAGTCGCAAGTGGTTGACCTGGAGCAGTGCCTTGCCTCCAAGGAAGCAGTTCTTAGCAAACTGACTGAGGATTTGGAGTCAACCAAAGTTTCAGAATCGAAACTGAAGGAAGATTTCTTGGCTCTTGAGAATGTACTCACTGTTGCTAAAGAAGATCTTCAAGCAAAGGCTTCCGAGATAGAAGAACTTGCTAAAATTGTGAAGGAAAAGGAGGCACTTGAAGCAACTGTGGCAGATCTCACCAACGATGCAGCACATGCAAAGCAGCTTTGCAATGATCTTGAGGAAAAGTTGAAGCTTTCAGACGATAATTTCTCCAAAACCGATTCTCTTCTATCTCAAGCATTGTCAAATAATGCAGAGCTCGAAGAGAAGCTGAAATCACTGGAAGAGCATCACACTAAAGCTGGAGCTGCTGCAGAGATTGCTACTCTGAAAAATGTGGAGCTCGGGGACTTGATTAAAGCTTCGAATGAAGCAGCATCTGAGGCTCAGGCCCAACTCAGAGAACTCGAGACGCGGTTTATTGCAGCTGAGCAGAAGAATGTGGAGCTCGATCAACAGCTGAATTTGATCGAACTCAAGAACAGCGATTCTGAGAGGGAAATTGGAGAGCTTTCAGGGAAAGTGACTGAACTCAGTGGATGTCTCAAAGAGGCAGAGGATCAAAAGAAAAGCTTGGTTAGTCAGATTGAGGAATGCCAAGGAAAGATAACCAGCCTCGAGACGACCTTAAGCGAGTCATCATCTCGAAACCTAGGGCTGGAAGATGAGCTGAAGAAATCCATGGAGAAAGCTGAGGATGCTGGGAAGAAGGTCGGTGAGCTGGAGTTATTGCTGGAAGCAGAGAAGTATAGGATTCAGGAACTCGAAGAGCAGATCAGCACCGTAGAGAAGAAATGCGTTGAGGCAGAAGGTGATTCAGACAAGCAAAAGCTGAAGCTGTCTGAACTCGCATCTGAACTCGAGGCATTCCAAGCAAAATCATCCAGTCTTGAAATTGCACTTCAGATGGCCTCTGATAAAGAGAAGGAATTGACGGAAAGCTTGAATCTGGCAGCAGAGGAAAAGAAAATGCTGGAAGATGCATCGATCAGTGTGAACGAGAAGCTTAGTGAAGCTGAGAATCTTGTCGAGGTCTTACGTAACGAGGTAAATGTTACGCAAGAGAAGTTGCAAAGCATTGAGAATGATCTAAATGCAGCTGGGTTGAAGGAAAGCGACATAATGACGAAGCTCAAAGATGCCGAGGAGCAACTTGCAGAACAAGCAAAGCTGTTGGATGAAACTTCAGCGAGAAAATCGGAGCTTGAATCATTGACTGAAACATTGACTAGGGATTCAGAATTGAAGCTTCAAGAAGCCATTGAAAACTTCAGCAGCAAAGATTCTGAGGCCAAATCCATGTTTGAGAAGCTGCAGAAGCTTGAGGAGCAAGTTAAGACCTACGAGAGCCAGTTGGCTGTAGCAACTGAAAGATCTGCTGCTTTGAAAGAAGAATTCGATTCATGTTTCCTGAAGGTGGCCTCAACAGAAACTGTGAATGAAGAACTCAAGAGTAAGATCATGGAAGCAGAAGCACAAGCTTCTAATGCTATGTCAGAGAACAACGAGCTGCAGGTCAAGGTTGAGGAACTGAAGAAATTGCTAGATGCCACTCTATCAGAGAAGGATACCACAACACAACAACTTGCTTCTCACATGACTGCAGTTACTGAGATAACCGACAAGCATTCGAGAGCAATAGAGCTCCATTCTGCAACTGAGACTCGGATGCTGCTAGCAGAGACAAATTTGCAGGAGGCCACTCAGAAGCTGGCTGAGAAGGATTTAGAAATGAAAGACTTGAATGAGAAGCTCATTGCTCTTGAAGCTCAGGCAAAGTTCCACGAAGAACAGGCTGCTGAAACGCATGGAAGCTCACAAGCTACAAAGATTGAGCTAGAGGAAACTCGAGAGAAGCTGAAGCATCTAGAAGCTGTCGTCGAGGAGCTGCAAGTCAAGTCTGGTCATTTTGAGAAGGAGAGTGGTGGGCTAGCTGAGGCAAATTTGAAGCTAACAGAGGAGTTGGCTTCATACGAGTCCAAACTAAGTGATTTGCAGTCCAAGCTCTCTGCAGCATTGTCTGAGAAGGATGGAACAGTGGGAGAGCTTCAGTCTTGCAGGAAAACCATTGATGATCTGACGCAGCAGCTCTCTGCAGAAGGAGAGAAGTTACAATCTCAGGTTCGTGTAATGTCTTTTCATTTTTCTTTGACGATAATTCTCTTATCATTTTCTTAGTCGAAACTGTCTTCCTTGCTGCAGATATCAAAGGTTATGGAAGAGCATAGCCAGCTCAACGAAGTCCATCATAGCACAAAGAGCGAGCTCCAATCGATCATTGACCAGCTCACGGAGCAGCTGAAAGAGCAGAAGCACAAGGAAGATGCCACAAAGTCAGAGATGGAAGCTCTCCATGCAGGCATTAACGAGAAGTCGACGACATTACAGGCCCGCCTTAAGGAGGTTGAGGAACAACTGGTTACAGCTGAAGCTCGACTGAAAGAACAGGTATATAATCTACCTCTTGAAAGAAAGGAACTAACCCAAATTCTTCTCATTTTCCTTCTGTCAGCATATATAACTAAAAACCTATTTTCCCCTTCACCTCTGATCTTTCAGAGAGGCGCCCTTGAAGGTCTAGAGGCCAAGAACAAACAATTCTCTGTTCTGGAGCAGCAAGTGAAAGACCTCGAACAGAAACTGCAGCTCGCCTCAGCTAAATCAGTTGAGAAGGTCTGTTCTCCATACTAATCTCCCTTCAGCCAGGCAATGAGTCAATACCTGTACAATTCCGAACTCAAACTTGTTTCTTACTGGACTTTTGTGGAATGTGATGAAGCAGGGCGAAAACAAGGACGGAGTGGAGATCAAATCGAGAGACATCGGAGGAGCCAGCCCTTCAACTCCATCAAAAAGGAAGAGCAAGAAGAAGCTAGAGGCTCAATCCTCAGCATCTGCAGAGACCCTTACCACGGCAACGGCGACTGCAGAAGGTTCAGGAGCCATGAATGTCAAGTTGATCCTTGGAGTTGCCCTCGTATCCATCATCGTTGGTATAGTTCTTGGCAAGAAATACTAGACACTGCTACTATTCTTTTTTGTTAGGTGTGCCGCCATTACAAGGTTTCCATTTGCATAATTTCTTTTCCCTTTGGGAGGGTTTCTATTTCTTTTTTATTTTTCAAAATTTATGCTGGGTTGATAGCTTCATTTTAGTTGCAAGCCAGGAAGAAGAAGAAGAAGGTTGGGTGAAAGAAGGTTTCTTTTGTATGTATTGGTGGTGTTTTTTTTTTACCAAGTTTGGGCAGGGATTTGTGTTGTTTTTTCCTCTGAAAAGCCCAAATTAAAAAAAAGTATGAGATTTGGTTTGTTTTGGATTGGATTGTGTATTAAACTATAATTGAATTTTTTTGAAAGATAGAAAAGAAGTGAGGTCGTTATTTTGGTCACAAATCTTTGTTGGTCACAAAAACGTGAAGGGTGTTTTATCATATCCTCTCAAAGCAAGGGCAGCACCCAAGACTTCTCTTTCACATATGGAAAGAGACTTGATAACTCAATTGCTTGCAATCTGACAAGTTTTATTAATGATGAATGACGAAAATATAATAGCATGCGCTCCAACCACTAACCCGACTTACACAGCTCAACCACTAACCCATGGTTTCTACAAATGGGCAACCATGATTCGACTCTGAGTTATAACAAGAGTGACTAACTGAAATAAACCACTCGACTGACTTTGTCGACATCGTTTCTTTTACTGACCCTGATTTTTCAAACTGGGGCCCATAACCAATTCTTCTCCTGAAAGGATTCGGATTCTTCATGCTGTTGCGGTCCAACTTCCAACAGAGACCCGACTCCGCCCCTCGAGCCTCGAATTCGAATCTCAGGAGCACTCTTCAATCTGGTAAAACCAGAGAGCTCGTCCTCAACTAATGGCTTCATCCGAGCGACGAGAGAGTCTTGGCATCGAGTCTAATGGAAGAAAAAAAAGAGAGAAAGAGAGAGGGGGGGGGGGGGGGGGAATGATTGGAATCATAATCTATTTGCAGTCTACATAACACTACCCAAAATAACAGAGAGGAAGACATACCGTAACTTCGAAACAACGCAGCTCGAGAGACTCCGCATTGCGCAGGCCACGCAGAAACGCCCTGAACGCGGGCTCACGAAACATACACATATCATCCACCTGCGTGCAGTCCAGCCGGACACTGGCGCGAGCAAGGGAGGCAAATTCGACGTCCTTGAGGAGGTAACAAACCTCGGGAGCATGACCGTCCAGCCAGAAACGCTCCAGCTTCGGCGCATACAGCTGACTAAATGAACAGCTCCTACGCCAATCGCCGCCACCGATCTCGAGGTTCAGCAGCTGGGGTCCGAACACTCTCAGGGGCGACCTGCGGGAATCGCAGCAGACCATCTTCAGGCTGCTCAAGCAAGGAAGACCGGCGAAAGCATCGTAGTTCAGATCGCAGTGATCCAATTCCAGGGTAGTCAACGCCGTGAGGCAGAGGTCCGCAGAAGCGTAGAGCGGCGCTGCCGTCAATTTGAGAGCAGTGAGAGACTTGTGGTGGCCGTAGCGGGTGATGGAGTCGGTCATCCGGTAGAAAGGATAGCATTGATTCGCATCGAGGGTTAGAACCTGGAGGGGCTGGTCAGGGCCGGCGCTGGCAGCATATTCCATGAGCATATCAAACATCTTGTATTCTTTTTCCATTACTCTCCGGGACTGGAAACCAATTCTCCTGACAGTTACAGTACTACGGTGTGAACGAAGAGAAGACAGGAGGTTTTGAAAACTTGCCGCAGTACGGAAGTCGATTGCACGGACGGTAGTGAGGACGTCGGGGGCGCCTTTCCACAGGTTGGCCCACCTCCGCGACAGGATGCTGGTTCGGCCGGAGGATTGGAGGCTGAGGAAGGATAGGATGAGGTGCAGGATGTAGTCCGGGAGTCGGCTTAGCCCGTCGAATTCGACGACGTCTTTCCACAGTTTGGTCCATCCCCTGGAGAGAATGCTGGTCCGCGCGCAGGATTTGGTGTCGAGGAAGGAGAGGATGTGATGCAGGATGTGGTCAGGGAGATTGCTCACCCTGTCGATAGCTCCCCCAGCCACCATCGACGACGACAAGGCTGGAGCTCTGACAGTGGCTAGGGTTTCCGCTTTGCCGAAGCTATGAGAAGAAAGATAAAAAAAATAGTTGCTTTTGACGGACCTTCCAAAGACGGTACCGACGAGGAAAGCTAAAGGGCGGGAGAGCTATATAAAGAGTGCAGGTCTTAGAAACTTGTGACGCAAGGTACCCAAAAACCAACTAGAACATAAGGGAGACGAATACTACTGCTAGGGTTTCTGTTTAATCAACGAATACTACACAGATTCTGACTTTGGAAACAGTTACTCCTACCAGGAGAAGCTCATAACTCAAAGCAACACAAAAGAGGGGGCTGAAATGTTAAAATAAGCCTTTGATTTCTGCATTAAGATCACTCCAGAATGAGAAAGGAACAAGTCCTCAAAGCTTTTTCACACATAGCCACCATGAAAGCAAAAGAAAAAAGAAAAACAAGGTCAAGATCTCTGCCCACCCATCGATGCCACTTATTCTTCTCTACGGTTTAGACCAGACCGTTAAGGATCTCCGGGTCACCAAAAGCTGCAGGTTTCACAGAAACACAATCTCTCAGTACTCGCCAGAGAAATTGAAGAGATTAAATGGATGCAATGCTTGTAACTTTACCTGTACCCAAGTCTTCAGTTTCGTCAACTGAAGATGCCAGCTGCATCGAGTTGGTGTTAGACGGGACAAGCGCCATCCAATCCATCTCCCCGTAGTCCTCTAAGTTCATCTCATTTTCGGCGATCCAATCCTCAATCAGACTGTTGTTTTCAAATGTTATGACATCTCCTGAATTATGTTTTCGACTTTCATTCGACCTATTTTCAAACAAGGACAATCTAAGTTAGCATAGCAGGCAGCAAGCGAAGGGTTAGTTTCCCCCCCCCCCCCCCCCCCCCCCCCCCCCCTTAATGACAAAGTCTGTCACTTACATTTGCTTAAGACGAAAGTTACATTGGACAAGGATGGTATCTGCCAGTCGTTGACGCTCGAGGCAGTTCCTTGAGCTGTGCAACTTCTCAAAGGGGATATGGTTCCAGTTGCAAACTGGAATGCCACAAGGCTGACTTAGGATCCGAACCGCTAATCGTGCCAAATTCGGGCAGCCTCCGCCATATGTTGACCACCATTCAGCTAATAAAAACCAAATTCTTTTTGTTTCAATACTTATCAGCAAACAATAAAAAACTGAAGCAGTAACAAAGAATGATCAGAATTGATATGATTCAACGGACATAGAAAGAAGTTCAATATCTGGTGCAAACTAAGAAAGTAACGGGGAAATATGCTTTATGCAACCCACAAATTCAGCTAGAGGGATTGGTTCCAGTTAAGGTTAAGCAAAACCAAAACTAAAACATGAGTATTTGTGAACCGAACCAAAACTGAATAGAAATTTGACTAACCAAAATCCGTCGGCTTTAGTATTGGCTCAACAGAATTTCAACTAGACTTAATACATAATACTCGTTATAGTTATAGACACTAAGATTGAAATACGCTGCTTGAGTTTCAATCACTAAGAAAACAATTTCTTAAATTACATTACATTCTAGCACCTGGGCAAGTAATATAATAACTTCCACCGAATTTCGTCAATTTACAAAGCAAACTTCATACTTCAAAAGCATTTGGTTACTCCGGCTTTGGTTGTGGTTAAACAAAAGTTTCTACCGATACAATAAGAAACGGAAAGTGAGATAACTAGCTAACGAAAGAGATAAGAAGCTGGTTGCTTACCGGGAAGCATGGTTTCTCTAGTTCTAACAGCCATCTTTCTCCCAAGATCCCCAGCAGCACTCTTGTACAGGTTTAGTTCCCCAGCAGTCTTATCTTGGACCTCTGGATCAGGAAGTTCAGGAACCAACCTTTCGATGCAGTCCAACATCTTAGATGTGGGGATCTGCAACTCTCCCCCGCTTCCATAGAAGAATTTAGGGTTGAGGAAGAAGCCTGCAGCTTGAATAGGAAGGTGCTTCTGTAGTTGCCACCTTTCATCAATGATGTTCCAGTATACCATGTACTCCTCGCTCTTAGTTAGTTCCCTCCTAATAGCCTCCTTCGCTCGATAGATAGCTGCCAGTACATAACCCATTGCACCCCTCTTTTGACTGCTCACTACATTTAAAGCACGAAGGAGCGGACTTGTTAAGCGAATAATCACAATGCAATCAGACCAAAATGATCGGTCGTTAATAACTTCCATAGCTGCCATCCCCCCGAGTAGCTTAGAGTAAGGAGATTCCATCCACTCTGGTGAAGTAACCATAGTTTGCAGATTGAGTTTGAAATCAGCTAGTCGTTTCAAGGAAGTGAAGTTGGTTGCAGATCGAGTAGGTCCTTGCTGTAAGATGTCATTGCCATAAGTAAAAGTCCTCATCAGCTTCAAAACAGCGCTCTGGTTGTAGAAAAATTTGGTGATGGATCTAGCTCTCTCGATCACTCCACTAATTATTTCGAATTTTCCAAAATCCTCCAGCATCAAATCAATGCAATTAGCAGCACAAGGGGCCCAATACAGAGAAGGAAAATTATCCATTAGGTTCTTCCCAGCAACAGCATAATGTTCTCCAACGTGTGTAATCACTTGAAGAACATGTTCGGGTCCTACAATTTCAACCACTTCTTTGAGGACACCATACAGATCATCTGCAGAGTAGTCGATGTTTGATGCATCAACAGATTTCAGAAACACAGTTCCTCTTGCACACTGGACCAGGAAGTTCAGTACTATTCGACCACTCTCTGTGGTCCTTTGCTCCACCAAAATAGAGCAACCAGTTCTCTCCCATGTTGACTTATGCCTATTGATCTCCTCGTTCACTTCCTTGACCAAATTCTTCAGTATCCAGCCTCGAAGATCACGGCTCGAGAGGCCCAAAACCTCTGCAGCTCCTCCTCTATGGGAAAACATACCACTAAATGATGAGAAGAAAGCTGAATCAAGAGCATCAAAACTCGCACCTACATCATACAAGAACCGGCCTAATTTCACATGAACAGAGTTTTCCACATTAGCTCCCCCCGCACCAGCAACTAGAGACCTATTATCTCTCGTCCCGTCTTCCTTCCCATTACCTGTTCCTCCCTGATGAAGTAAGGAATTCAGGTTTATTTCTAACCCATCTACACCTTCAGACTCAGAATTACCACCTCCATCGTTGTCATCATCATCAACATGGTGATTACCAAATATACCCATTGGACCAGCAGCAGAAATTGGGGAAACAATACCAGCTTTCATTTCTTCCAGAGTCAAATTGTGTCCCCTGCTAGGCCTGACTGGAAGCTCATCCAATAACAGCTGCATTGCCTTCCGGATATCTTCTGAAACTTTAAGACAAACAGGTGCAGAGCCCTTTCGACCAGCAAGATGCTCCTTGAATCGATAAATCCCACCACCCTTAAATATTTTGCCACAGTATTTGCACTTAATCTGCACTCTGTCGTTGACTTTCAGTGCCTCACAGTGCAACCATGCAACATCCTTTTTCCTGCGCTTATTAGGACCAGAATCTGAATACTCCAGAGGGTTAACTAGCAACTGCACGTGATTGTCGACTAAGCCGGCACTACTCAAGTCTTCCTGATAATCCATCTGGCTCCGGCTCATCCTCCCTGAACCACCGCCATCTAGATAGTTTTGGATCGTGGCCTTGACGTCGCCGGGAACCTTATCACAGATGGGCCCGCCGCCCTTTCGACCTGAGAGATGCTCCTTGAATCTATATATCCCGCCTCCCTTAAAGACTTTGCCACAATATATACACTTCAAGTGTTTTCTAAGACCGTCCTGGTATGTCTGGCAATGATTCCATGCCGGGTCCTTCTTGGGTGTAGAGGACGCCGGTGTGAATTCAAGACCATCGGCCATTTGCCTAAAACCACTGGAAATGTAAACTGAGCCAAAATCACAGCTCTAACTTCAAAACCTGTGAGCAGTAAGATCAACAGATTGCAAGTGAGTGAGGGAAGAAATCCAGATGTGAGAAGGAAAGTGCAAGAGCCATCCAATGTGAAGAAAATCCCCAAATTTTTTAGTCAATGATAAGAAGCAAAAACAATAAAACTTGACACACAATCTGCTCCAATCAATTTTCCAGTAAATTTTGGGAAACCAAATTCCCAATTCTTTTCAATGTGGGGAAAGATTAAACCTTTTTGTTTTTCTTCATATCACCACAACTAAAACATCAAATCCGAACCCCTAACAACAGATTAGCAGCAGCCAGTTCCCTCATTATGTTCCAACAACTTTCCTCAGGGCAATTCACCTACACCCCTAATTAAAAACAACCCTCAATTATGAAGGCCTGAAACAAATTGGAGCTCCAAAACCCTAGATTTGATCCAAAACGATGAAGGAAATCTCAATCTCAGCAAATCGGAAACAGCCATAGGATGATTAAACATACAATCACGAATTCCGCATTGAGTAATCCAAAGCCCATAATTAAAGCAGATAATCATAAAATCCATTGAAAAGCAAACAAAACAAAACCAAAATCAGGAACTCGATAACCCAGAAACCAAAATCCGAATTGAAAGAACTGGGGCGGCACAAAAATGAAAATGGAACAGAAAAGGAGGAATCTTTCGTCGCTTGTTTGAGAGCTGAAGGTTAGAGAGACGACGTACCCCGAGTTTCAGAGCAGGAGGAGGAAGGGCGAAAAGTGCATCCGGGCGGACCGGTTTGAGTTAGCATGTCAAGCCAGATTAGGGCAAACGGCCGTATGTATACCCGCTCGCTCCAACCCGGGAACCCGGATCCGGTTGTTGCTTTTAGGTTTCGGCTAGCTTTTATTAATTTTACGTTTTCTTTCTTGGTTTCTTACTAAGATGGAGAGGAGGATAGAGAAAGAGAGAGATTATGAAGATTTTGATAAGGATTACCTAGTAATTACATTTACATATTCACCTAAATAATGATGGTTATAAATCATAATTTTTTTCTCGGCAATAGATAGTTTGATTTAACAACAAATCACAACAAACAGGTAAAGCAAAATAATAATAGAAATTTAAGAGTCACAGAATTTAAAAATACTCTAATATAGATTCTCGAACATCATCATAAATATTATCTTGGTATAATACAACACTATTTACTAATTTAAGCGAATGCACTATCATTTTCTTTCACCTCCTCTCGTAACATGTTGTTTTTCACTTTCCTCTAATGAAAATTATCGTTGGTTATAGACGAATTAGACTATCAAATTCGGATAATTATCAGAAAGTTCAGATTTAACTGAAAGTCTTTTTTTTAATGTTTTGGGCTTATTATGAGATGATTCTCTCTTTAGAACTTACATACTCATCTCTCTAAAAAAACATTCATAACTTGATCATAGAAGAGCTACCAATTTTCCAAAAAAATTTATATTTGTGTCTACAGACGTTAAACGATAGTTGAAAAGATATACGCAAAAAATAACTCCGAAGCACGAGCTTGTTACCATACTTAAACCAACATCATATCAACAATCAACTTGGTTGTTAAGGTAATATGGACTCCACTATTTCAACCTTTATTGTATAAATGCGTTAGGTAAACCATTACTTTCCAAATCTTAAACGTTATTATTGGTCAAATAACCGACAAATTGCATATCCGGAAATGGTCCAACTCTACTCCACCAAAATTGCATTGCCTAACCGAACTGGCAGAAGGTTCCGTTCCATAGTGGAACGCGCCAACCAACCAACCAACTCTTCGTAGTGGTTCGGTAATTAGGGTCGAAACTAAATTCTATGGGCCTTAGTATCGTATTACTGGGCCTGAAGTTTGGACCTCCAAGCTCGGCAGCCCAAGACCAGTAATTAAAAATAGCGAAACCACCTGAAACGAAAATTCAACTGAAGGGACTGAAGATCAAGCACTCGCCGGAGAATCAGTACGACCGCCCCGCCGACGAAAAATGGCAATCCGACTCCTTCTCAGAGATCGCGCCCTCGCCACTACTACCTTCCTCCTCCGCCGCCGCAACTTCTCCGCACCCGCAGTCGCCTCCGAGCTCCCCGCACTCGAACCCTCCGCCGACGCCGAACTGCTCTCCCAGATGCTCCTCCACCACCACAACCCTTTCCACGCCATGGAATCCTGCCTCCAGCTGAGCGGAATCTCGCTCACGCCTTCCCTCCTCCACCAGACCCTCCTCCGTCTCCGACACAGCTCGAAGATCGCCCTATCCCTCTTCCACTACTCTCTCTCCCTCCCTTCCTCTCCGGCCACCTCCGCGGCTTACAACCTCGTGATCGATATCCTCGCGAAGGTCCACCAATTCGACGTTTGTTGGCAGCTAATCATCCAGATGGGGCAGAAAAACGAAGAGGGTTCGGATTCCCTGCCCAATTTCACCACTTTCTCCGTCCTCATTCGGCGGCTGATCGCCGCGGGATTCACCCGCCAAGCGATTCGTGCGTTCGATGATATGCAAGGGTTCATCGGGCCGGTGGATTCGACTCATTTCTGCTTCCTGCTCGACACTCTGTGCAAGTACGGGCATGTGAAAGTGGCTGTGGAGGTTTTCAACAAGAGGAAATTCAGCTTCGTTCCCAATGTCAGGATGTACACTGTTCTAATCTGCGGATGGTGCAAGCTGGGTAGACTGGATATGGCGGAGAGATTTTTGAGAGAGATGGATGAGAAGGGAATCGAGCCCAATGTCGTTACTTACAACGTTTTGTTAGATGGGATCTGCAGGAGAGCTAGATTGCAGCCGGAGCATAAGTTTGAGAAGACGATTGTTTTGGCGGAGCAGGTGTTCGACGAAATGCGCCAGAGAGGGATCGAACCAGATGTGACCAGTTTCTCCATCGTGCTCCACGTCTACAGCAGGGCGCATAAACCCGAACTTACTCTGGACAAGCTAAAGTCAATGAAGGAGAAAGGTATTTCCCCGTCCCTGGCAACCTATACTTCAGCAGTGAAGTGCCTCTGCTCGTCAGGGAGACTCGATGACGCGGAGAAGCTGCTCGATGAGATGGTAGTCAGTGGGGTGAGTCCATCTGCCGCAACGTACAATTGCTTTCTTAAAGAGTACCGAGGGAGGAAGGATGTCGATGGTGCTCTGAAGCTATACAGAAGGATGAGGGATGATGATCAGTGTGCACCAAGTTCACAAACCTACAACATATTGTTGGTGATGTTCGTGAAGTTGAATCGAATGGATGTTGTCAATGAGATATGGGGTGATCTGAAAGGGAGCGGCTTGGGGCCGGATTTGGATTCGTACACACTGTTAATACACGAGCTGTGTGAGAAGGAGAAGTGGCGGGAAGCTTGTGGTTTCTTCGTGGAGATGATAGAGAAAGGGTTGCTACCCCAGAAGGTTACATTTGAGACGCTCTACAGAGGTTTGATACAGTCTGACATGTTGAGGACTTGGAGAAGGTTGAAGAAGAAGCTTGATCAGGAGTCAATAACGTTTGGTTCTGAGTTTCAGAATTATCACTTGAAGCCATACAGGAGATAGAAGAATCGCCATGATAAAGTTGTGCCAAGGTTGGGATGATTCCATTCAGGTATATATATACTATGACTCGTTTTGCTGAGTTTTTTTGAACTTAGGGTGATTGCTGATTAGGTTAGTGGGAGCATTCTGCAGGGCCTTCTTTGCATGCTAGGCTAAGGGTTGTGTCTGTTGAACCTGAATTTTAGGTGGAACTATTTGCTTCATTACACCATAACCGAGTTTGGTACAGTACTCCATATACAACTTTGAAGTCAACATTCATTGCAATACCCGAAAGTCAAGAGTTTTAGTGTCTTCAGTTTTCCTCTTGATCCTTTTTAGTCTCCATAATTGGCGTGGACCAGAACAAGTTTTCTTCTCAGAAAGTGCCACAATTTCGTCCACTTAATTGTGACCTTTCCTTTGACTTGTTAAACCTTACATCATTCATTTGTAGGCACACCTTATCTCCAACTAGTTTTTCTCCAACATGTCAACACCCTAGATGGGTCAGTTTGCACCACAGCTACTTCACAGCATTAATACCTGAATGTCCTCCAATGTCCAATCTTGAAGCACTCCTTCGTTGGCTTTTTCTTCCAGTTGTAGGGTATGTCCCTGCTCGTTCCTTTCCCTACATATGTTGTATAGTTGAATGGCAGGACCATGTGAACATCTCGTGGACTATGTCTTAAGCTTGGTTTTTGGCCAACTAAGTCAAATTTGTGAAGTTAGGAACCCACATATTTATATATAGCTCTCTTGATAAACTTGGCTCAACACCAACTCGAAACAACTGAAAGCAAGACACCAAAAAATCTCCTGCTAATACCTTTCTCTCCATATTTTCTTCTTCTCAGATTCATCATCAGAGAAAAGCCATGGCTATCGGCTTGCCCGGAAATCTCGCCAAGCAAATTCTCCGACGATCTGGGTCCAGCTCAAGCAAGTCAGCCTCGAAAAGGTTCCCGGATGTACCGAAAGGTTTCTTGGCAGTCTACATAGGAGAGACGCAGCGGAAGAGATTCGTGGTGCCGCTATCCTACTTGAGCCAGCCTTCATTTCAGGACTTGCTAGCCATGGCAGAAGAGGAGTTTGGGTTCGATCATCCGATGGGGGGGTTAACGATTCCCTGCAGTGAAGAGACTTTCATTCATGTAACTTCAACCTTGACCAGATCTTGAACAGCAGGAGCTGCTATACGATGATGCAGTGGCGATTGACTTCATTCTTTGATACACCAAGGACACCAGTCCTTTTTCTAGTGTAGATGAAATGACATTTTCCCCCCTTCTTTTCCCTTCTCTGTTTTTGAGCTGGAAAGCTTTGTGAGAAGGATACCAACAATAGTCTCTCCATGTATGAATGAGAAATTCTGTACATTAATTGAGAAGTTAAATCTGTTTTGCCCCATTCTCATTTGCTGAGTTCCTCCGGCAGCTATGAAGCTCTATCAAACACAAGTACACAACCACAGTGCAAACACAGATAAGACTATCAATGATTTATATGTCCAGATCAAAGAAGCGACTTGATGGTTCTTATAATCAGCAACAAAGTTAGCCTCAAGATAAACGTCTTAATGGAGATGTGTGTTCCATAGGACATACAGAAGCTGCCATATGGTAAGTTGTATCAATCAAGTAATGAGTGTAACCGAGGAATCCATCTATCAAGTAATTTTTCTGAAACAAATCTAAGAAGATAGCCTGAAACCATGCAAAACTATCACCAATTCAGCTCCCAATTCGCGACGAGGACCGTAATGAAACGGCCTATTCCTCCCTAAACAATGCCACCACAATGCTTCACCGAGGAAGAGTGAAAGGTAGAGTCAATAGTATTAACGTTGATTCAACCTCGAGTAGGACCTCCAGATGGATCTGGTTTTTGTTTGTGTAAAAAGTGGATGTAGCCAACCTAATGCATTGAAATATCATTCTGAATGTTTCCAATACATAACTGAGTACATGCCGTAACGGTATACTCAAAGAAACAGGTACAAAATACCAAGTACTCCAAAGTCATTTTCATTGTCATACCAGAATACCAGAATGTGAAGTTTCCTTGCCTTCGTCCAAGCCAAAGTGTTCTTCTTTCTTCGAAGCATCTGCCGGCTAATGTTGGATGCCAATAGTTTCTTCCTCTTAAATGCCTCTTTGATTAGTTGAACTCTTCCGTCTTCATTAGCAGACACGACTTAACGCCCAACTAGTTGTCTAAGCCATGTCCAGACCAGAAAATGGGACGGTTAGCTGCACAGCTAATCCACAGCATTAATGCCTGAATGTCCCCACAACTAGGGCCCAATCTTTAAGCCCTTCACCATTGGCTTACCCTCCAGTTGTAGGGTACGTCTCCCCTACGCTCCCTTCCCTACATATGTTGTACGGTGGTATGGCAGGACCATGTGATATGCCATGGACCATGTCTCAAGCCAACCCAGTCAAATTTGTGAAGCAGCCATCTATATAAACATCTGCATATTCTTAGCTCAGAACCATCTCCAACCAAGAAGAAGATAACAAAGAGTCTCAAATTCCCTGCTTACACCTTTCCCATCATCTTTTCTTGTGCTCAGATTCATCAACAGAAAGAGAAATGGCTATCGGTTTGCCAGGAAATCTCGCCAAGCAAATTCTCCGACGATCTGGGTCTGGCTCAAGCAAATCAGCCTCAACAAGGTTTCCAGATGTGCCGAAAGGTTTCTTGGCAGTCTATGTTGGAGAGACTCAGAGGAAGAGATTCGTTGTGCCAGTATCTTACTTAAGCCATGAATCGTTTCAGGACTTGCTGACCATGGCAGAAGAAGAGTTCGGGTTTGATCATCCGATGGGCGGGTTAACAATTCCCTGCAGTGAAGAAATTTTCGTTCATGTCACTTCAGCCTTGACCAGATCTTAAACAGCAAGAGTTAAATCATAACGATGCAATGGAGATCAATGACTGAACTGTGTAAATGAAATGACTATTTGTTTTTTTGTTAGTTTTTTTTATCCTTCTCTAGTTTTTTAGCTGGAAAAAGCTTTTATGAGAAGGATATGAATAGAAAGATGTGTATGAATGTGAAATTTTGTTATACTAATTGGGAATTACACCTTTTCCATATTTTTTCATGATGAATATGGAGAGAGAAGATTACCTCCCATTCTAATCTCTTATACATGCTTTTGAATGGAACAACACTGCTGGAAGTGAAGCTGGATCAAGCTCCCAACAGTCGTTCAGAAGCTCGGGGATCTCATCATTAGAGACCTTCCTCGCAGAAATTTGATGAGAAAACATCTGGAGATCATTTTTATGGACACATTTAACACCACCAAACCCGAACTATCTTCTCTTGAACATAGTTTTGAACCCATCAACCTTATCGAGGTAAGCAAAACTCAGACCATGAATCTCACTGTAATTACTCAAAACCACAACAAAGTCGGACCACAGTTCATCCCTCTGTGGAACATGTCTTTGTCTTTCTTTGTAAACTCCACATACAGAACCCTTCTTAGGGTAAATCCTATAAACTTGTCTGGCAGCCCTCTTGCACTGCATAACATGCGAGAAGATAATCACGGAATCAACAATCATGTTTCTATCGACCTTAAAGCGTCCCCAAGATTCTGTTATGAAACAGCTAATCAACCTCTTCTCTCCATTATTGACAACATCCAGCCAACTCAACTTCACCTGGAAAGGATTCCCCGAGACCACCTCATCGATCAAGCCATATTGCTGATGCATTCGATCAGTATCGCCGTATATAGCCAACACTATTCCTCCCTATATAATGGCACCACAATGATTAATCGAGGAAGAATGATAGGTATAGTCATTAGTGTTAACGTTGACTCAACTCCGAGTAGGACCTCCAGTATTGTTTGTGTAAAAAGTGGATGTAACCAACCTAATGCATTGAAATGTCATTCCGATTGTATCCAACAAATCGTACATAACTCAGTATATGTCGTGACGGGGTACTCAAAGAAACAGGTACAAAGTACCAACCAAGTACTCCAAAGTCATTTTCATTGTCATACCAGAATACCAGAATGTATGGTTTCATTGCATTCATTCTTCCACTTGTTTCTTAGCCTCCTTAATTGGCTTGGACCACCAAACCAAGTTTTCTTAGCCTCCTTAATAGGTCATTTGTTCCTCGTAAATGCCTCTTTGATATGTTGAACTCTTCTGTCTTCATTAGCAGACACAACTTATCGCCCAACTAGTTGTCCCGACCATGTCCAGACCAGTAAATGGGAAGGTTAGCTGCACAGCTAATTCACAGCATTAATGCCTGAATGTCCACTACTGGTGTCCAATCTTTAAGCTCTTCTCCATTGGCTTACCCTCCAGATGTAGGGTACGTCTCCCCTACTCTCCCTTCCCTACATATGTTGTAGGGTGGGATGGCAGGACCATGTGATATGTCATGGACCATGTCTCAAGCCAACCCAGTCAAATTTGTGAAGCATCCCTCTATATAAACATCTCCATATTCTTAGCTCAGAACCATCTCCAATCACACAAAAAGATAACAAGAGTCCCAAATCCTCTGCTTAAACCTTCCTCTTCATCTTTTCTTGTGCTCACATTCATCAACAGAAAGAGAAATGGCTATCGGTTTGCCCGGTAATCTCGCCAAGCAAATTCTCCGACGATCTGGGTCTGGCTCGAGCAAATCATCCTCCACAAGGTTTCCAGATGTGCCGAAAGGTTTCTTGGCAGTCTATGTTGGAGAGACTCAGAGGAAGAGATTTGTTGTCCCAGTATCTTACTTAAGCCAGCAATCTTTTCAGGACTTGCTGACCATGGCAGAAGAAGAGTTTGGGTTTGATCATCCAATGGGCGGGTTAACAATTCCCTGCAGTGAAGAGACTTTCATTCATGTTACTTCAGCCTTGACCAGATCTTAAACAGCAAGAGTGAAACCATAACGATGCAATGGAGATCAATGACTGAATTGTGTAGATGAAATGACTTTTTTTTTGTTTTTTTTTTTATCCTTCTCTAGTTTTTGAGCTGGAAAAAGCTTTTATGAGAAGGATATGAACAGATGTGTATGAATGTGAAATTTTGTTATACTAATTGGGAATTAGAATTACACCTTTTCCATCTTTTTCACTTGAAAAGTTCAGCATGAATGCGGAGATAGGAGATTACCTCTTACTCTAATCTCTTATACATGCTTTGAATGGAACAACCCTGCGGGAAGAGAAGCTGGATCAAGCTGCCAACAGTCTTTCGGAAAGTGACCTTCCTCGCAGGAATTTAATGAGAAAACATCTGGAGCACATTTTTATCGACTCATTTAACGACGTGAAACCCGAACTCCCTTCTCTTGAGCACAGTTTTGAACCCATCAACCTTATCGAGGTAAGAAAAACACAACCCATGAATCTCACTATACTTACTCAGAATCACAACAAAGTCGTAGCATGGTTCATCCCTCTGTGGAACATGTCTTTCTTTCTCTGTTTACACCCCATACAGAACCCTTCTTAGGGTAAATCCTAATGAACTTGTCTCGCAGCCCTCTCGCACTGCATAACATGTGAAAATATATTCATGGTATCAACAGTCATGTTTCTATGGACCTGAAACCTCGCACAAGATCCCGTTTTTAACCAGCTAATCAACATCGTGTCTACATTATTGACAAAATCCACCCAACTCAACTTCACCTGGAAAGGATTCACAGAGACCACCTCATTGATCAAACCATACTGCCTGCATTCCATTAGTATCGTTGTGTACAACCCACACTTGCCCCTTCTTGAAACTCTTCTCTGCTCTGTCAGTATCGAAGTCATAGAAGTCTGAGTCGTCAACCTCCATCATCTCCAGACCACCATTCTCCAAATACCCGACATTCTTAGCACTACTAGGCTTCCTGATATAGCTTGCTTCTCTGTCTCATGAATCGCAATCTTCTTTGATGTCTGAGCTCTTTCATTTACTCCAACTAAAATCCCACTTTTCCAACTACGTGATTCTTAGCTCTTCTTTGCTATGTCTGCTCTCTCCGGTTCCTCCTTCTGCTATCTTTCAATTTTACCTTCCCTTTGCTAGCCTTTCGCCATGCTTCCATTTGCATTTGAGCCAATGTCATCATTTCTTCATCTAATCTCACCTTCTTAGACTTCAAGTTCTGCAAAACCTCGTCTTCATCAGTGGCATTCCTCCTCAAAACCACATTTCCACTTTCCTGATTCCCTGAATCAAAGTTCCCCAACCCATCTCCACCAAAAAGTTTACTTCTCAACCTCAAACTCCTAACTCAACCTTCTCAAAATTACCAACCTCTTCTTTATCCTCACTATCCTCAACCTCCACAGCTTCAAAGCTCCTCTTACAAATCCAGATGCAGAACGCTACACCTCGAACCAGATGTCCAGAAAGTCTCCACTACAGAATCATGACCATTACCCCTCTCTTCGAGCAACCTGATTCTGAAAGCTACATCATACTCTTTCCTACTAGCTCTATCACATAAAACACTGTACCCTTCATATGCACGAAAACGACCTCTTCCTTCCTGAATAGCAAATAGTGCCTCCACTATCCTTCAATGAGGGAGAGAGAAAAGTGGAGTCATTAGTGTTAGGCTGACTCAACCCTGGGTAAGGCCTCCAGATAGATCTAGTACTGTTTGTGTAAAAGTGGATATAACCAACTTAATGCATTGAAATATCATTCGAATTGTTTCCAACAAATCGTACATAACTCAGTATATGCCGTGACGGGATACTCAAAGAAACAGGTACAAAGTACCAAATACTCCAAAGTCATTTTCATTGTTGTACCAGAATACCAGAATGTGAAGTTTCATTGCCTTTGTTCCTACACTTGGTCCTTGGCCTCCTTAATTGGCTTGGACCACCAAACCAATTTTTTTCTTTCTTCGAAGCATCTGCCGGCCAATATTGGATGGCCACAACTTCTTCCTCTTAATTGCCTCTTTGATTTGTTGAACTCTTCCGTCTTCATTATCAGACACGACTCATTGCCAACTAGTTGCTTCGGACATGTCCAGACCAGAAAATGGGACAGTTATCTGAATTCACAGCATTAATGCGTGAATATCCGCTACTAATGTCCAATCTTTAAGTCCTTCTCCATTGGCTTACCCTCCAGTTGTAGGGTATGTCTCCCCTACTCTCCCTTCCCTACATATGCTGTACGGTGGGATGGCAGGACCATGTGATATGTCATGGGCCATGTCTCATGCCAACCCAGTCAAATTTGTGAAGCAGCCCTCTATATAAACATGTCCATATTCTTAACTCAGAACTATCAACAACAAATAAGAAGTTAACAAGAGTCTCAAATTCCTTGCTTACACCTTTCTCCTCATCTTTTCTTCTGCTTAGATTTATCAACAGATAGGGAAATGGCCATCGGCTTGCCAGGAAATCTTGCCAAGCAAATTCTCCGACGATCTGGGTCAGGCTCAAGCAAATCAGCTTCCACAAGGTTCCCAGATGTGCCAAAGGGTTTCTTGGCAGTCTATGTGGGAGAGACTCAGAGGAAGAGATTTGTTGTGCCGGTATCTTACTTAAGCCAGCAATCTTTTCAGGACTTGCTGACCATGGCAGAAGAAGAGTTTGGGTTTGATCATCCGATGGGCGGGTTAACAATTCCCTGCAGTGAAGAGACTTTCATTCATGTCACTTCAGCCTTGACCAGATCTTAAACAGCAAGAGTTAAATCATAACGATGCAATGAAGATCAATGACTGGACTGTGTAAATGAAATGACTATTTGTTTTTTTGTTGGTTTTTTTTTATCCTTCTCTAGTTTTTGAGCTGGAAAAAGCTTTTATGAGAAGGATATGAACAGATAGATGTGTATGAATGTGAAATTTTGTTATACTAATTGGGAATTACGCATTTCCCCCTTTGGCACTTGAAAAGTTCAGCATGAATTGAATGGAACAAAGCTTACCTCTTACTCTAATTCTTATACATGCTTTGAATGGAACAACACTGCTGGAAGAGAAGTTGGATCAAGCTCCCAACAGTCTTTCAGAAGCTCGGGGATCTCATCATTAGAGACCTTCCTCGCAGGAATTTGATGAGAAAATATCTGGAGATCATTTTTATCGACACATTTAACACCGTGAAATCCAAACTCCTTTCTATTGAACACAGTTTTGAACCCATCAACCTTATCGAGGTAAGCAAAACTCAGCCCGTGAATCTCACTGTAATTACTCAGAACCACAACAAAGTTGTAGCACTCATCCCTCTGTGGAACATGTCTTTGTCTTTCTCTGTAAACTCCCCATACAGAATCCTTGTTAGGGTAAATCCTGTAAACTTGTCTCGCAGCCCTATAACACAGCATAACATGTGAGAAAATATTCATCGAATCAACAGTCATGTTTCTATCGACCTTAAAGCTCCCACAAGATCCTGTTTTTAACCAGCTAATCAACCTCTCATCTCCATTATTGACGAGATCCAGCCAACTCAACTTCACCTGGAAAGGATTCACCGAGACCACCTCATCAATCAAACCATATTGCCTAGGCATTCCATCAGTATCGTCGTATATAGCCCACACTTGCCCCTTCTTGAAACTCTTCTCTGCTCTGTCACTATCAAAGATTCAAAGTCATAGAAGTCTGAGTCCTCAACCTCCATCATCTCCTGACCACCATTCTCCAAATACCCGACATTATTAGCACTCATAGACTTCCTCGATACAACATGCTTCTCCGTCTCATGAATCACAATCTTCTTGGATGTCTGAGCTCTTTCATTTACACCAACTGAACTCCTACTTTTTCCACTCCGAGATTCTCTGCTCTTTGCTACGTCTTCTTTCTCCGGTCCCTCCACCTTCTGCTTATCCTTCAATTTTTCCTTTCCTGCACTAGCCTTGCGCCTGGCTTCCAATTGCATTTCAGCCAATCACCATTTCTTCATATAATCTCACCTTCTTAGACTTAAAATTCTGTAAAACCTGGTCTTCATCACTCGATTTCCTCTTCAAAACCTCATTTCCACTTCCCTTATTCCCTGAATCAAAGTTCCCCAACTGATCTCCACCAAAAACTTTCCTTCTCAACCTCAAACTCCTAACTCCAACCTTCACACAACCATTACCAACCTCGTCTTTATCCTCATCATCATCAACCGCCACAGCTTCAAAGCTCTTCTTACAATTACGGCAAACCAAATTATGCCCCAAATACTTCCTCTTCCTCTCAAACTGATGCAGAAGGCTACACCTCGAACAAGCTGTCCAGAAAGTCTCCACTACAGAGTCATCATCACCCCTCTCCTCCAGCAACCTTATTCTCGAAGCTACATCATACTCTTTTCTACTGCTCTATCTGATAAAACCCTAAACCCCTCCCCTAGCAGCTTGAACGCCTCCTCGCAACCGTCGAATACGTTCTTGTCAGGGTGCAAAACTAGTGCCAGCTTCTTGTACTGCGTTTTTATAGTGTTGATGTGAGAGAAAGGCTCTACCTGGAGAATTCCGTACCAGTCAACGACCTCGGAATTGGATTTGGCGGCAAACCGGAGGGTTTTCAGGGCGGTGAGCATGGCGGAAAGGCAGTCGAGGTCTGGGCACAGCCGATGGGCTTTCATAGCATGTTTGAGTGCTGATTTCAGGTTGGAGGCTGAGAATTCCGCCTCAGCCATGGATTTCAGGCGGATGGCTTCTTCCTCCGGATGCTGCTCCGGCGGCGCCATGGATTTTGGGGCGGGAAAACATTGGAACTTGGAGGCTGGGGGAATGGGAACTGGGAAGTGAGAAAAGAACCCACCCACCAAAGATGGAAGCTTTGGCTCGATTATAAATCTTAGGCTAATTACATAAATGGTCCTTATACTTTGGGATGACGAACAAATTTATCGCGCAGCTTTGATTTGTTGACAAATTTATCATCGAAAATGGTATAATTAGCATAATAGTCACAAAGTTTGTCAACTTTTCAGCCACATTACTCAGATTAGCATGTCAATCATCTGAATTAACATCAGCCTTCTTTTCCGTACATCTAAACCCTTTCTGAAACCCAATCCATTCATTCAAAGCAAACTATCCTATAAGCTGCCATTGTCTAAACCCACTCCTGCAACTACAACTTAAAGAACAAAATGGAACAATGCCTTCTGGTTTGCTTTACAGGGGTGACTGTTGTGAAAGATGAATGAATAAAAAAACCCTGAAATTCCCAATCACACTGCTTTGTATTGGCATCAAAACTAAAGTATGCTACTTTAATTTCATTATATTATTATCCATGAAAGTTACCAAGACAAATAAATGTTTCACAGAGAAAAGGAAGATGGTGACTTGATCCATTAATAACGAAGGCATTCCATTCCTTCCTTCACATTATGCTACAGTTTTGTTGGGAATCCATCATCTCGGGTGTTCTGCAATGGCCAAAGAAAAACAGAAAACCAGAAAGCCATTAGCTATCTCATCATCATAAAGGGCAATGAAATAACTAACAATCAGCGCACCCATATACCATATGCAGCACTCACATTTGACCGAGTGTAGCCAAATCGAGATCAGGTGCAAGTTCCCGGATGATTTCATCAGGTGGTTGTCCGCATTCTTGCATCTTTTGCATGAGCTCGGTGATCCTGGTGTAGTTACTGGGATCATTCTCATAGACCTCGTTGAGAACCTTTATAAGTTCATATTGATTGGAATAACGTTCAAAGTCCTCTTTACTCAAACTTGATTCGTGGTCTTTCAACCATGCCGGATACCTCCCTTCGATTTCCTTCATGGGTTCATGAAGAATCTCCTTAGACAGCAGCTGTTGCATCATGGTGTCTACAAGAGACGCCATGTCCTGATAGGCACAAAAAGAAAATATGAAGCTCATGAACTAGAAAGATAGAAACAAACAGCGGGAATGTTCTAAATGGCCTTAAAACACAGATGGGAGAAATAAATACTTAGATAACTAAATTGATCCTTATGCAAGAGATAAACTCACATTATCGAATGTCGGGGCAAAAGAGTGAGCACAGATACAGAAAACACTCTTGAGAGAACTACATTCAAATCTCACAGGGATTCAATATTACAACTATTTCACAATTTTGGAAATGTAACTCCTAGTATCCTTGCAGCAACATAAGCAAAGCACCTAACTCCAAAGTGACTGATAAAGTTTCCTTCCTAACCATAAGAGACCAGTCAATCAAGTCTCAAGGAAATCAATTCTCTCTACTCAATTGGGGCCTAATAACTTCACCAGCTAAAGAAAAGAGTTCTTCTATATATGGAGAAAGAGAGATTGCAAGAACTTCACTTTACCTGGCCAGAGGCAAGCTCCTCGAACTGCTTAACCCAATCCTCCACCATAGCATCCTTATTATCACCACCATCCTTTGAACCAGTGACGGACTCCAATCCCATTACAGCCTCTTTAGTCTGCTCCATAAGCTTATCAAGCGCCTCAGCCACATGAGTATCCTTCGAAGAAGCCGCCGCCATTTGTTTCCCTTTCTTCTTGCTCTTCAGTTGCGGCAGTCCCATACCTAAACCCTGAACCCCAGCCGGCAAACCAAGAACTGAATCCCCCACCTTGCTCTTCTCCTTATCGCCACCATCCCCTCCCCCGCCGCCAGCAGTTCTGCATTCCCAATTTACATCCTTTGTTTCAACTCGCCATGTCGACAGAAACAAAGAGAAGCCGAAATTGGAATTAAGAAATAATACCTTTGTGAGGACGGTGGCGCGAGGTTGAGACTTTGGAAATCATCGAGAGCACCTACAGGGAGCAAAAACAAAATACAGAAAGGTTCGAAATTGAGGTGAGGAATCGTAGTGGAGAGAGGAAATAAGAATAGGGTTTTGTTCAGGAGTTGGATTCTGGTTATGGGGAATCACTTACTGTCGAGAAGCTGTTCTAAGTCATCGACATGAGACGGCGCCATTTTCCCGCTGCTCTGGTGGTGCTACTTCCTATCGCCGTGGAAGCTTCTACTATTTTTTGGGAGGATATCGGCTGATTCCGGAAGGAAGGAGTTTGATATATGTAAGGGGGAAAGGAGAATTTACGGTGAGAAGAAGAGAAGTAGATTCGTTTCCTTCCGTCCTAGGATTACGCGAGAGAGATGGAGAGATGAAGAAATCGTACTGCAAGTTTATCGGTTTTGTTTTACCGATCACTCGATCGCCCATAGTTTCATCTTCGTCGTTTGATACCATGACTTGGGCTGGACCGGGCTAATGATTATCTCAAGCCCATGCCAAGTAACTCCTCACTTGCATCTCATGGGCCTTTGACGAATTCGGCCCATCTGTTATTATTGATTACACCGGCCCTAACCTTGGCGTCGAGAATTACCTTGGAACAACAAACATTTGAAAATTCGGTAAAATGTCACCAAACATACTACTAGCTAAGGAAGTGACTCTTAACAACTCGAGATAATGTGACCGGTTATAGAGCAGGTTTTTCCTTAAGGTCACATGTTCAACTCCTCTCGACCCGAATATTAATAGTTGTCTTTAAAAGCACGTGATATGGTAGACATGTGTAAACTTCAAACTTATGAATTGGCTTTCGTTTGAGGGGGCGTGTAAGGAAGTGGTTAAATACCATACACAGACCTCTCTCAGCAACTCGAATTATTGGGGATCAGTTGGTTCATGACATAGTAATTGGCCCGCACGAAGGATCATTTGTTCTTCCCGATTGAGTTAGAGCCCCGGAGCTCTCTTAGCAAACTCGAATTATTAGAATTAAAGGTTTCATATTTAAAAAAAATATATGTGTGTCATGTTATGAATTGAGATGCATATAGAACAAATCCGACTATACTATGCCCACGACTCAATCTGGGAATACATACTTATAAATGTTGTAAGTTGTCAGATCAGATGCTAGACGCCTCCTGATCATTGGATGGACGTGATGACAATTTTATAAATAAAGTGTCAACGCATCCAACCCACTATGAGCGCCCAAAACTTAATCCGTCAGCGCCCAGCTTGTGAGAACCATAGTCGGATTGATATGAAACTCTTGAATCAATTCAGGGCCATACACATACACTCACTTTTATACCATCCATCTATGTCCACAGGCTCATAGATATAGATATCAGACTGGTTTTACTGTTGAGCATGCACCATTTCTGACAATGACGATTCAGAGAGAGGCCCCAGAACCAGAAGAAGAAGAAGAGAAAATTGGTAACGAGCCAAGCCGATATGTCAAGTCACAGTCAAGCTTTGGGACTCCTTTTTTCACTGTGAAAGAAAGAAAGAAAGAACTCAATCAGTACGTAGTTGGTTCCTTCTTTGTCCCATCTCTTGTTCTCTTCTTCTCATCCTTTTCTGTCTCTCCATAATTTTCCCCCCTCCCTTTTCCTCTGCACTTACCAAGAAACAGATAGGACCGAAAGCAACTTTTCTTCCCACGAATATCTCAATATGAGCCCTAAATATAGCTACGACGAGAATGGATCATTCGTCGAAATTAACACTATGTTTGGGAAGGGGTGTAAATGGAAGGGGGGTGCAAGTTTGGGGGTAAACACAAGTTCCAAGGTGTTTACCCCCGTTTGGTTATTTTGTAACAGTAGGGGGTGCAAAACGTGAGCGTAAATTCACTATTTCGGCTTACCCCCCAAATTGGGGTGCAAGGGAAGGAAGGAAGGGAGGGGGAAGGGGGAGGAGGGGAATTATGAATTTTTAATTAGATTATAATTACATAATAATTAATATTATTAATTTTTTCTTATATCTATATTAGTGTAGAAGTTGTTTGGGGTTGACCATTTGACTCAGAGAGCAAGTTTGTCAATGTTCGACTAGTCAAATCGATATCTCTTAGTTGACCCGAATTAGCATTGAAAATTAGAGATAAGAAGCGTTTGTTGAAAAGATAGAGAGGAACAGTTTAGTTAACTCGATGTACTTTAATAAGTAGTTAAAACTTACAGATTCGAACGTGTTTGACTAAGTTTGACCATATTCAATTTAAAGTTAGGTACGAGAACCTCTTTAGGATGACCAGTTACGAGTTGGATTTTGAGTTTCGAGGTTGCTCGACCAATGATTATTATTGTTGTTATAAATAATTATATTTGAGCATTATTATATAATAATTATTTTTATTAAAATTATTTTTATTTATTATTTATTATTATTATATATTGAATTTTCATGTTATTATTTTGTGATAATATTTTATAAATTGATAAATCTATTTTATAATAATATAATTACTTACTTTTTACTTTATTTGCACCCCCCTACTTTTTCATCCAAACAACAATTTACCCCTCCACTTACACCCTCCACCAAATTGCACCCCCCAACAATTTACCCCTCAACTTGCACCCCCTCGAACTTGCACCCCCTTGTTGCCAAACATAGTGTAAATCACCATGCTGATAATCTGAGACATTCAATTGTATTTTTATAAATTTAATACAAGAAGTGTTGATATTCAAATATGTACGTACCAATCTTATTAAGGAAGGACTAATTAACAGGGAGATAATTATGGGTCTAATCCTTTGGTTTATGTATGTGTACGATTACTCCTTGTCGTCTCGTAGCTAATAATAATACTTCATCAACAAAAGGCATCACCAATGACCAAACCCTACAAGCTTTGTGCCGCCATCCTTACATAGACACCAATGATCAAAGTTGGAAATGAAACAATTCCAAGATACAATGTGAAATAGGTTGTTAATGTTTTTTTTTTTTTAATCTTTGTGTCATCGTCGGATTCAGGACATAATAGATCACTGAATCACATTTGAAAAGAGGCACAAAGAGGGTAGGGCTGTAACCCGATTAATACTGGACCGAATACCACAAATTAAAAAAGTTACGAGTGTTATACTAACTCGGGACCCAGAGAAGGGTTGGGTTCAATGGGTTGTAGCTGGGACAGGCCTCCCCCTCGATTTGCCACTATTTGATGGTACAAGAGATTATCTATGAGAAAGTCGACAATGTTGATATATATATGTTGAGACCTACTCGACTTTTGATCTTTTCCTTTATTTTCAACTCAATTTCTTACCCACCCTAAGCTTGTATAGTTTTGTGGTGTTATTGTCCAAATGTAATACGATATCATTGGTCTAAATCTAATGACAAGTTTGGTTATCATCGTTTGACTTCCAACAAGCATTTGAAGATGGAAAGCTTAATTAGAGAGACCCGTTACCTCTTTCCCCAATCAATTATTAAATAATCACAAGATTAAGTTGTGTTAAATTGCGTCTCAATTGTTAATTAGTTGATATCATCTTTTTATAAATATTTGTGTTTGCCGCCTTTCCTTCTTGTCTAGATGACAGAGCAATTCCGGCCTTACTTAACAATTGTTCTATTTTTCCAGTCTTTTTCAAAGGCATGATTTCTATTTTTCGTATATAATATAGAGCATGGAAGTGTTTTAGAGTTTTAGGAATCTATTTAATTTAATTATTAGCATTTTTTTCAATAAGTCATAATACGATGGAGTGGTCTCTTACGTGCTCTCCGCCGGGCCAAGGCGACTAGCTAGCTGTATTTTCTTGTAGCAAAAATTCAATAAGAGAAGAGGAATTTTACTATGTGGACTCTTTCTAAGCAAATTGACTATTCCTTCCCGATAAATATACACGAAATATATGTTATTAAATAATAAGGGAATGCTAATAGTGAAGTTTTGAAGACTCGAATACAACACTATGGTTGTATAAGTTAGTAGATCTTGTGTAGTGTTTAGGGTGGTTTTTCGGGTTGTTGATTGAATTGCTCATATAGTAACAAGTAAAGCTTTTTCAATATTTTTGTTGGAGTTAACATCGTTTGATTTTGTAGTCTAGTTGTTTTAGGCTTTGGGGTTACTCGAACAATGATCAATGGTTCGTTAGAATTGCGATTCACAAATTTAATAAGTATTATTCTTTCAATTTCACGATTTTTTGTTGGGAAAACTGATATAACAACGAATTCGCTTCTGATCCAGTTCTTATGCTCATAATTGCTTTCAATTGGAAGCAACTTTGAACTAGACTCTACAATGACTATGAGACTATGACCAATCAGGGTATGACCCAATTTCTATATGCTCACCAAACTAATGAAGTTTAATCAATCTGTCTGTCATTAAACAAAATTTTGTACAACAAATAACTATGCTATTTGATTGATTGTGAAGAGGATGCCAAAACAAGAGGTAGAAGCTTTCGCTTTCTTTGGAGAATAAGCCAAAACTAAAAGGCAAATTAGATGCGAAGGAAGAAAAGAAAATGTAAGATGGAGACATACGGGTGAATCAAAACCTTGATGTTTAACATTAGTGACTAATAAGATAACTAAGTTCTAACAATTAGTTATGATTTGTTTGCCAAGAATCACTAGCTAACGCCCTAAGTTTGTGTGTGCGACAATGGTAGAGCTACGTATAGTTCAAGGTAGATTGTAGGCTATATCCACCCCCTAATATTTGCTTTTAGATTATCAAATGCCAATCAAATGCCGATCAAATGCTAATCATACATAAAAAAATATGGTCTGACATGCCTCATGTGCGATTCCCCTTCTTACCACATCTTGTCAACCTCGTATCCTATCAGTTAAGGCGTTACTTAATAGTTGAATGCCATTGCTTCTTTTTGCAAAGTCTAGTTTTGATTCTCGAATCTAGTATACTGTACTAAACATGCCTCTCTTGATTTCTTGATCATTTCACATTGTTTTTTTACATGTTTTTTAATCACTCAATTAGGGTTTAGGATGCACCCATAAGCAAACCGTTTATATAAATATTGGCCTACTTGTCCCTGGCCAGCTATACATGAGCCAATAAACACACAAGGAAACCCGTTTTTAATTTAGAACAAGAAAACAAAGTAGAGCCTTGTTAAGCTTCTACATATGGCTAACCTCTATGTTGACCAAAAACCAACTTCGCTTTCACTCATTACTTGGTTTTGGGGACATCTAATGATGATATCATATCATTAGTAAACAATACTATTAATGATAATGCCAATAACCAATGATTAGCTCATTTTGAGATATGCAAATTGGATATGTATAGATTTAGGGAGGGATAAGGAGGGTTACACTCTCCAATCATCTTCTAGACTTCTCCATCTTATGTCATCATTAGGTCGATCGAGTATGAATATGAGTTTAACATATAAGATATTTCTAAACATGTTGGGTTATGCATCATCCGTAGACACGATACAACGATAATTAAATTCGTTTTGAATGAAAATCTCGAATTCAAAGCCCAGCACTCTCACTGAGTGGAATACCATCAACAATAGGCACGGACTGGCCAAAACTATATGCCTTAGAAGTTAGAACACTTGCCCTGTGGTTGAGCTGACAACCATGATGATTTGAAATTACCTTGATTGGTGTTAATAAATCATATATTATCCATACTTAAAATTCCTCAACAACCCGACTTATCAAGACATATTGGTTATTAACATATTATTAGAACATTCATTGACAGAGAGGCCTTATATTCAAATCCCGACAATCCCGTATGGTATTCAAACCTACACAAATCTCAAGTCTATAAATTGACCTTTGTGCTATCATAACTTCAAAGATATGAACATCTATCATGGAAACAAAAAGAAATGTGGATCATGTAGGCCTGTTGTGAGACCTTTTCTTAGTTGTGGAGATTATATCTAAACACATCAAACAAGAAATCCAAATCATTTTGCTGGCAGAAAAAAAAAACTGCTTAAAGTTTCGCTGGCAAACAAGGAAGCAGGGAATCTACAGGGAAAAGGCAGTGCTGCAGAGCCGCACACAATCAAAGAAAAAAGTTGATGTTCATCAAAAGGTCATTACCTTAAAGCTAATTGCCTTTTTGGTCCTCTGCTAATAAAGAACCAAGATTTTGCATACACCCAGTAACTTTTCATCCCCTCCCTTTTTGCACTCTCTTCTCCATTATTTTATCATCAAAAAGGCCAAATCAACCCAGATGTCAAAGCTCAGAACTAAAGTAACAAGATTTACCAAGAACAGAGTTTTCCCCTCCCTCCATTGTCAGACATAGACTGAGAAGTGAGAACCAGCAAGAAGAAGCACTTGAATGTGAATGGTAGCAGCAATCAATATCTGAGAGCTTACATGGACTCATCATCAGGGTGAGTAACAACAAGCAGAGCATTTCGCCTGAGAGGCATTACTGTAAACAGCTACTCAATTAGCTGGATATGTTTCACAAAGAAGCTTTACAAGAATGATAGTGGAAGAGAAGAAGTACCTACAACCAGAAAAAGTGTTCCTCGAGCATGAACTTGCGCTACTATGGAGAATCAATCTTGCACAATGAAAGCTATAACCATAGCAGAAATGCCATTTATGGCACCTGCACAAAATCAACAGATGCTACTTGTTTCTGGCAGTAAGCTGCAACACATTTGCAGCTAGATAGCAACTCTGCACTCTGTTAGATATGAGCCATTTTGAGAACCTGGATTTTCAATTAGCAGCCTGCAGCAAGTAGTGCCAGTGACAAAAATTCAATCTTTAACCAGCTCACTACCAGAAACAGTTTAATCTTACACTAACAAAGAGAGAAACCTAGATGCTAAAACAAAGAGAGACCATGTTCTTCCCTTCCATTTCCATGCCGACCACCAACTCCAGAATGTAAAAATCAAAAAACAAACGGGCTCCGATCCAACCGAAGGTCCCATCTCATCGGTTTCATCCCCACCCAACGTCAGCAATCCGACGATGGTTCCCAGGCCGACGCCGTCAGCAGCGACAAATCCTTCCACCCCAACTTCAACGACCCGTTCTCCTCCTCCACCAGAGTATAACCCTTCCATGGAAACATCCCGAGCAACAAACTGGCCTGTGCGGCCGGGTTTCCGCCCAGCGAAACGGGTCGGAACCCGACTTTCCTCAACTCCTCCCCCCACCGCTCCACCTTCACTTCTCCGGTCCTCTTCGGCCCGCCGACGGCGACAATATTCCGGATCTCGCATCCGAACAGCTGCTGCTCCACCGTGTGCCGCTCCAGATTGTCCACATCCAGCCCATCCCCCAGCGCGTCGAACAACGCGCTGTAGTAATGCAGCGCCTCCACGAACCTCCCCAAGAAATTCCCGCCGTGGCTGAGATCCTGCTCCACAATCGTCACCAATTTCGGCCGGAGCAGGCTGAGGACGCGCAGCGTCCCCAGGTCGCTGCCCGTGATGTCGTAGAGGCAGTGGTGCATCCAGTGGACCACCACCGCCTCGCGCGGCCGAATCCCGAGGTGACTCAGATCCGTCACGCTCCCGATCTTCCCTTCCAGCGGCTGGAACTCGAACGGCAACCCCAGGGAGCTCGCGAAATCGGCGAGTCTCCGGCCGGTCGACTCGAGGAGCTCGGCCGAGGACCCGAACCCGGTGATCCGCATCGACCGGATTTTTTTGGTCCGGGAGGCGAGGATGTGGAACAATCCTGGCCACTGGAGGCCCTGCATGATGTCGAGGTCGATGATGTGGACGCGATCCTCGCCGTCCAGGGCCTGGAAGATGGCCTGATTGGCGGTGAAGTGGGAGAATTTGATGAGCGGCGAGATCGAATTGTAGGACTGGAAGGCGGTGAAGAACTTCTGCGACTGGGTCATCGTCAAGCTCTTGGAGGTTAGGGGGTTGTAGGTGCCTAAGCAGGAGCTGACCACGCGCGCCTGGAGCGCGTGAGCGAAGTACGCGCCGACGCGTTGAGGGGAAGAGCCGAAGGGGGAGGAGAGCTCGGAGATTTCGGGGAGGAGATCTGTGGCGTCGTCGAGGTTGTCCATGGCGACGCACTCCGCGCATTGGAGGAGGAGACCCAGAAGGCGGAGGCCGGTGGACTCGCCGCCTTCGACGACGGAGACGGCGGCGGCGGCGGAGGAGGAGGAGGGGTCTTCTTCTGCCGGCTCGCTCTGCTCGCCGGCGGAGAAGTTGGGGCGTTTGGCGGAAGGGTCGTCGTCGCCGGCGAGGTCGCGGTCGACGCGCTTGGTTTTCATGGAGGAGGGGGCGGAATTGGGGGAGATTGGGGATTGGAGGAGCAAGCTGTGAAGCATGTCGGAGGATTGGTGGGGAAAAGGAGAGGGAAGGGAGGAGAAGAAGGTGGGAACAGGGAGGAGGATAGAGAGATTCGAAAGGCGGAGAGGTTTCGAGGGGAAGGGGACAAAAGCTCGGGAGTGAGTACAATGGAAGAGTGTGCAGAAGATTTGTCAGAGGGCCATGAAAGGCAGTGGGGAAAAGGGAGGGAAGGAAGAAAGGAAGGTGAAACGACGGGATTAAAAAGGAGAGGAAGAAGAAAGGGGGCGGGCGGAGGATGAGGATTGAAGAACTGTTTTGGAAGAGAGGAAAATTGGGGTTAATTACTAGAAAAGTCACTCAAGTTTGGAGTTGCTGACATATTGGTAACTTAAATTGTATTTGTAACAAATTTGTCATGGAAAGTTGAGAATATCCAAAATAATATTTTGGATGAGGCAAATTTGTTCCATTACCTCAAAATGAAGCTGTTCGGTCAAATAATCTTGTTTAATAATACAAAATGAGAATGCAACAATTGAGACAAGGCAATTTTAACTGTTTTGTTTTGCATACTTTTGAGTTTGTAGGGGAGGGGACATGTCTTGTAGAATTTTGCGTTTTTATGAAACAATTGTGAGATAATTGATGAGGCAATCATAAGGTTATTGTATCAAATTATCTCATTTTGGAAATCGTCATCCAAACGATCTCTATGTTACTTCATCCAACTCATAATTCTTGGTGAAAATCTATACATAAATTCGAGAACAAATATTTTTCATTCTATTCAATGTCGTCTTGTCACATTTTTTATAAGTTCGTGTATTCATTTATTCATGTGCGAACGATTCTATATCGAAAAGCACTCAAATTTGGAAAATCAAAATCGTGCATAGTTGTGCATTGATTTTGATCCAAATATTAATTCATTCCTTTTATATGAAAATAGACGGTAGTGTTGTCCATAACGTTGATATATACTATCGATTCTAGCGAATAATTTTCCAATATAAGCAAAAAACACGTTATAATTTAGATTAAATATCTGGTGGTGTATTCGGTGCACTCACTTTTTTGTGTGCACTGAATGCACTCATCCCATAATCGTTATTCTAAGCAAACGATTCATTTAAAAATGATGATAATCATCACGTATAATATGATGAACAAGAAAAATACATGAATTTGTACAAAAATCATTCAAGATTTACTTTAATTTCAATGATTTGGGGTTTAGGGATTTAGGTTTACAATTTGGGGTTTTAGGTTGGGATTCAAAATTGAAGGTAAAGAGGTTAGGGCAATGGATTGATTAACTATGATTTTGTGTTATACCATCGTATTACACTAATTCTACCAATTAAAGTTCAAATTTTGATATACTATGACCATTTTTAGAATTGGGTGCACTGAATGCACCTAAAAAAAGTGAGTGCACCGAAGTATCCACCTTAAATATCTAACCAATTCCGAGAAGAATTAGATGAATAAAGTGACTGTTATGTCTAGTTAATGAACGAGTTGTTGATTTAGCTCAAAGATTAATGGCTTTTCTCTTTGTGTAATTTGGATTAGTTGGGGGTAGGTTTCTCCGTTAGTCGGGACTGTCGCCTAATGGGAGCCTCCGTTGTCTTGACTCGGGCGGACGGACTAGTTTGGGAACTGCGATGATTTTTTATTCCTTTGTTTTTTTATATAATTTATTTATAATTCTTTATTTCTTCAAAATTAAATAGTGAGATTATTTGTCTTGCTATTAGGTCTTGTCCAATTCACTTGATCATTTCATCGCTAGGTTATCCTTCCTTAATCAAAGAACACCACAACATGTTCTATCCCTCCCATCAACGAGTTGGTACATAAAATTCTCGAAATAATCTTGTAGCTTTTTTGAAGGTGGCATTACTGAAAGAGGACTTTCATTGGCGATGTGTGTTAACAACGGTAGGCCAGGAGCCATGATTTCGATATACTTCTCGCATTCATTCATATAGCTTAAATCAATACATTTGATTTTAATTGTATGTATCTCATAATTTGCGGATAAGTCTTTAAGTGATCCAAGACCATAAACAGAGAGAGAGAGTTGTAGAGTTTATCACGTTGTCTTCCATATAGTTTCATTAGATAGAGGAGTTTTCATAGACGTCGATGAATACCTAACACATGTAAGATCGTGTGTTCGATCCCCATCATCAACAAGTTGCTTAATTAAAACCCTTGAGTAGCATCCCCGTTCTCATATGGGTTGAAGGCCGACAACTTTGGGGGTTTTCTTGATGACGACTTCACTAAATGTGGCGTCCGTCGAGGGGCTACTTCGTATATAGTACTCCAAACACTAGATTATCGTATTAATTGTAACATTGGATCCTCGAGGAGATGTAATTAGTTGGGAATAAGAGTGAGGTACTCAAGAATTATATTGTTGTTTTGTGGGCAGGGCTTGGGCGTTATTAGTACGTCTCATTTGCCGGTTTGGAATCACAATTCACAATCAACAATCTATACCCCTTTTTCTTTCATTTCCTTTTATTTATAAAAAAAGTTGAACTATGGAATATCAATTGAAAAAATAAAGTTAATAAAATTGCCGACATGGGCATATTCAGAATCTTGTCTGGTTATCCATTGGACTTACCGGCTATTTGTGTCCGGAAAATTAACTATTAAATTTTGTCCTATCGTATAAACTCAATGAAATTAACTATTTAACACATAGTAAATGCTACGCTAACCACAATCGTCATAAAAATGAGAGAAAAAAAAAACAACCTTGCCCGAGACATGTCGTTTAATTAGTCTTCTCACGTATATAAGAGTTACTCGTGTGTTACATTGATGAGAAATGATGAGTTAAGCCTTTGAGGTGAGATAAAGCATCGTGCATGCATGACCACTAGACGAGGGACATGAATATGAGATACCATTGCATCCGTATTCTAGTAATTATAATAAGTGAAGCCTATAGCTTGACCGGGTAAAACGAACTATCGCGTGTTTTTTTTTTAATTTGGGGAACATGAATTTAAGAATCGAGCGTCTGTAACTTCAAAACACGAAAATAATGAACGATTTTTTTTTTGTATAAAGATGAGTTATTTCACCTCTTTTTTCCTAAAGAAATTAGGGTTACTCATAGAGAAAGGAATTTGAATATGCCAAAAACAAAATGTGGAGGGGATACAACAAGGAACTTTTTAGAGACATGGACTCCACAATAAGTCAATTACTACATAAACGTTGAAAGTGAAAAAAGTAAATCATTATTATATGCTGGAAAAAAAAACACACACAAAACTATGGCCCTTGTTTTATTTTGGTGTCAATAATAGCAACGAAAAACGGAATTATTAACGGAGACTAGTAGTAGTAGCAATAAGTTGGTCTCCAAACTTGTCATATTAGTCAATTATTTTACTATTAAAATTTGGACTTTTACCTCAAATTCCCAAATAACAAATTTGTCTAAGAGGTTACCAAACAACATATATCATATTGACTTTTGAACTTCCTTTCCATTTATATATTAATTACTCATATGGTGCCAATACAAATGGAGGGATATATACAAGGAAATTGTCATTTTTTTATAGTAATAAAGTAAATTGGATTATATGGATTTATTATAAGAAAGAATGATTACAAATAAAAACACATTAATTAACCGAATTAAGTAGTAATTAGCTAGCTGGTTACTGGCCAAAGGGAATAGAATACCGCCATAGAAATGACCGATCGAGCATAATCAGCAATACGATGGGGAAGGTTTTGCATGGCTGTCCACAGAGTTCCCAGCATTGAACTAACCTACAGCTAACAACAAATTACAGGGATTAGTATAATTAATATGATATAGTACAAGTTGACCAGGAAATTAGGGTTTAATTAGAATAATTATGGGAGGCTGTATGTCTAATGAATTGCATAATGAGTACAAGATTAAAGGGAGAGGGCTTCGAGAGTAATCCCTTGTTCATGTATGAAATGAAACGCTAGTGACGGAATTAGATTTTTTTTTTTGAACATGAGAGCAGAGAGTGGGCATAAAAGATTAAGTTTAAGAAATTTGAACAATGATAGTTGTAGAGAGAAAAGAGTTATACTATTAATTAAGATACACCAAATTCGTTACAGGCTTTGCATGTATTCTGAATACATCTAAACGTCATAAGGTAGTGACTCGCCCCAACATGGCTCCGCCACTAAAAACGTGGCCAATTCAAAGTCAAGAGTCTTGAGAGGGTATGCAGTGTCTATTAGATTTTCTTACAACTACTTTATCACATAATTTCCTGTCAAACTCATATACTTTTTATTATAACTGTTGTTCTGTCTGAATTTCATTCCTACTAAAGTCGTGTGTTATTTGATTTCCCCTACTAAAAGGAGTATATAGTATAGATTACAGTTATTTCTCTCCAATGCTTGTAAACTTATAATGAACTCCTTATTACCTTCTTACGATTTTTTTTTTATGTACCAGTTATTTTCTTTCATAGAGAAACCATGCATGTAAACCACGTACAAATACAAACTTTACTAGTTCAGTATTGGACTGGGCCGAGTTTAATTAACTAGCCAAAGCCCACTGATAAGTGAAGTCCTACTGTAACAGGCCAATAACAATTCTACTCGGCCCAGAAAAGCCCGTTTTTGGCCCATCGCAATTCGTAAGACCAAAGCGGTCCAGAACGAGTTAGGGTTTCGTCCCGGACTCGCAACGTCTGAGCATATATATGTTCACATTTTCTCCTCCCTAGGGTTTTAGAGCGAGGATTGGGAGCAGAATCAGCGGAGCTTCTTTGAGAGCGGCGATAGGGAGCGAACCGGCGGCGATTCCAAAATGGTGAAGTTTCTTAAGCCGAACAAGGCCGTGATCGTCCTCCAGGGCCGATACGCCGGCAAGAAGGCGGTGATCGTGAAGTCGTTCGACGATGGCACCCGTGACCGCGCCTACGGCCACTGCCTGGTCGCAGGGATCAAGAAGTACCCGGCGAAGGTGGTGAGGAAGGATTCGGCCAAGAAGACGGCGAAGAAGTCCCGCGTCAAGTGCTTCGTCAAGCTCGTCAACTACAGGCACCTGATGCCGACTCGCTACACGCTGGACGTCGATTTGAAGGACATCGTCACACCCGATGTGTTGCAGACCAGGGACAAGAAGATCGCCGCAGCCAAGGAGACCAAGGCGAGGTTCGAGGAGAGGTTCAAGTCCGGCAAGAACAGGTGGTTCTTCACCAAGCTCAGGTTCTAGGGGGGTTTTCTCGTTTCAGCTGGAAATGGATCTCGATGGATATTTACTCTTTTTCCTTATTACTTAATTGGAAAATTTTGAACGAACAGATTGTCGTGTGTTGGGTTTCTGCAAAGACCGAGTCTTTTGTTGAGTAGTGAATTTAAGTGTTATGAATGGATAAACTTGTTATATAACATCTGGGTTGTGGCTGTCATGGATTGGTTTGAATTTGGTATTGACAGCAAATGTCATCCATGGATTTGATTGAATCTGGTTGTGACTCCTGTCTTTACTTACCTGACCATGCTTTCTCTTGGTTTTCAAGATGGGATAGCAATTGCTGGTGGATGTGATAGCTTTAGATATGGTTTGTGGGCTTGGACATCTGTTTGTTTTAGATGGAACCGTAGTTTTACTAAATTCACTGTCCATTAGTTTCTATCCCATGTTTCTTGTTTGAGAATTCATGAATCACAGCTGACTGAGTGTACTACTATATATGCATTGGAATCACTCTGGTTGGTGAGGGTTAGCTTTTGAGTCTATCTAGTGCTTCCTTTTAAGAATCTTTGAGGGTTAGGCAGTCGATGCAGGGCTCAAAGTAGGTTATTCTTATCTCTGATAGAAGATCATTGTGCATTACCTTTCCCCCAGCCAGTGAAGAGGTACACAAGTTCTCTGACAGAACTCAGCAGTTTTTCTGCTGTCTTTGTAATGTCGTATTTCTCCATTCTTGGTGAATAGCAACTAGCAAGGGTTGGTTATTCTGGATTGCAATTGGTAATTTTGGCCTGTTCTAGTTCATTTCGCCAAGATATGTAGAGTCATTAAGCATGGTAATGTGTTGGTCGTTACTGTTCTGTTAGCTGAGATCCTGGTATCTATGGTCTGTTAGATTCCTACTCCTTATCGTCTATGGATTCACTATGTACCCCTAATTTTGGATGCACTAGATTCGTACTCATGTTAGTGGGACTGGGAAGGTGCTGTAAACTGTGTCACTATCCAGCTGCAGTATCTAACATTAACTAGGCTCGATTTGGTTTCTGCTTGATGGTCTGTTTGATGCTTGTTCATCCGCTCATCTGGATTGTTGTGTTATAAAACCTTGCTCGTATAAGATCCTCTTACAAGGAGGATAGATAGATTGACTTGTATAGTTCTCATTGTAACTGATTACTCGTGAATGACTGTAAAAAATCTACTCTTTTTTGAGGGGTTCTCTGTCGGAGGCTGCTATCAGAGTTGATTTTGGTAACAATTCCAATGAAGTAAACAACACGTATGAGCATTCTTCTCAAAATGAAGAAGACCAGTCGAGTTGTAGAATGGTAATACTATTTGCATCAAGGCCAGCTTTCAGAGCTGATTTCTCATAAGTATGATATAAAAGTTTCGGTTCACGATCTACTTGTATCGATCATTCATTTACTCACTATAATTCGAGTTATTTATAGGATTACTTCAAATTACGAATTACCAGCCTGTATGCCCGCTCGTGATTACTGTTGGGTTCTGTTCTGTACAACACTGTTGGTAGTTGGTACTCTGTTTCAATCTCATTCGAAAGCTATCGCCAAGGTGAGGAGATACTGTGATAGTGAGGTTTTTCCTCATTGAAAAAACAGACTTTCATCTTTGGGATGATAATAGATCATAGAAATGACAGACGATTAACCTGTAAAGGTAAAGAAATAGAAAAAAAAAAAACAAGAATCAAACGACAGAAAAAGAGTGCAAGTGGATGTAGTAGGTTAGTTCAGAATATGACGCAAATTTGAACCAGGCCTACTTTCTGACCAATATTCATCTTCTTCCCTTTCGGTCTCTTCTTCGCGCCATAGAGAGCTCGCTTCCCGCCGGGCCAACCGTTCTCCGCTGCCGTTGAACAATTTGCTGCTGTCTCCGATTAGCTTGAACAGGTTGCTCACCGCCCTTTCTGTTCCTCTCTTGCTCCGCTGATTTCCAATCGACGGTGGCGCCGCCCCGAAGTTCGTTCGCGGTACTTCTCATGTCGGTAATTTCCAATTTTGTTTCTCAACTCTTCTGAAGATTGGAAGTGGTGAAGTTTTTTTTTATTGCTTATTCGAGCTGTTCTGTCTTTTTGTTAATGGAGCTTTGTATATGGACGGATTGCCTTCTTGCGCAGGTCGTTTGCTGTGTTGGGAGTGACTAGTGAGTGATAGGACAATGAGCAATTCTCAAGCCATTTTTCTGCAGAAGGGCTCTTTTTGTTCTTCTTCAATTGTCAGTCCTCAAGTAAGCCATTTACATTCCCGAGCTTTGTGGAACGTCATCTGCCTTTGATTCTGGTCTTGCAATCGTTTTCTAGTCTGGCAAAGTTTCATTCTTTCTCATTATGCATTTCGATTACTTGATCCGTGTCTTCTGATGTTATTGCTGAAGCTTCGAATTGCAGTTCTGACTTTTTCCCTTTGGTCCCGTTGTAGGTTGGTCTTTGCAGAAGCAATTATCCACAGCTCTTAGCCAGAAAGGAACATAATTTACAACTAAGGAGTTTTAAGTTTCCGGGAAGACTTCAAGTGCACTGTGTGATGGAGAAAGAAACTAATTTGAGTTCTTCAAGATTGGTTGACACAGTGACCGAGTCATTGCAGGGTATTGTTGGTTCTTCAAGTTCATTCTATTGGAGTTTGAATCAAATGTCCAATTAATGACCTCAATCGTCAATGTGATTCCTATTTTGCAGAAGCTGATGTGAGGGAACCCAGTGTGTCCACCATCTTGATGAACTTTGAGAACAAGTTTGATCCTTATGATGCAATGAGTGTGCCACTATACCAGACAGCTACATTTAAGCAGGTAATAATCCTCACATGGGATCCAAGCCATGCTCTTTGAGTCTTTGGTTTTCTGTTCTCTACTATCCAAACAACTAGTTAGTTTTTTACTCGGTTTTCTCCTCTCCTGTTTTGCTTTACAGCCATCTGCAACAGAAAATGGCCCTTATGACTACACTAGAAGTGGGAATCCTACTCGGGACGTTTTAGAAAGGTGTATTTCTTCGCTATTATATTGGTCAAGCTTCAAAGTAAAACGACATCTAATATATGTACTTGATTTTGTCTTTGTTTGATGGTCTAAGATTAACTGTGTATTCATCATGGTTTATTAGCTTGTTGGCAAATCTAGATAAAGGGGATCGAGCACTTTGCTTTACGAGTGGAATGGCTGCCTTAGCTGCCGTCAGTCATCTTTTTGGAACTGGTTTGTCTTTAGTTCAGAAGCCCTTAAGTTATACTTGAATTTATACCTTCCAGAAACCACTAGAAGTTCTGCTAGAACTACTTTGAGTAAATGGTTTTGCATGCTTTGCCAGGAGATGAAATTGTGGCTGGGGATGACATATATGGTGGATCTGATCGATTGTTGTCACAAGTGATCCCACGAAGTGGAATCGTGGTGAAGTTAGTATAGTGCCTCTTTCCCTCTTTGTTGTCAAGTTAATAAATTTCAATCTGAATTATTACTCTATACCTGTTGTAAATTGTAATGCAGACGAGCGAATACGAGTAGCCTGGAAGAGGTCGCCTCTGCAGTGGGGCCTCAGACAAAGCTTGTGTGGCTGGAAAGCCCAACAAACCCACGCCAACAAATTTCAGATATCCGCGTAAGGTCTTCCAGACATGTGCTAGTCACTAATTTGGAAGTGCATATACTGTATTTTATAGTCTGGTCATGCATAGCTATTAGCTAACCATTTTGGCATATGACCTGTATACAAGATGTCATATTGGCTTTATCTGCATTTCATGTGTAGTTTGGTAGAATGAGCTGAGAAAAATAATCATTTTGTGACTATTTGACTTCTTTTTGGGTTGCTTGGGCCTTGGGGAACCTATAGTTGTGATGTTCAATTTTCGTTGGGGGATAATCTTCCTTTAGCTTACTGTGGTCTCTTCAGAAAATTGCAGAGATAGCTCATGCAAATGGTGCGCTTCTTTTGGTGGATAATAGCATTATGTCTCCTGTTTTGTCACGACCATTAGAGCTAGGGGCAGATATTGTAATGCACTCAGCAACTAAATTCATAGCTGGGCATAGCGATCTTATGGCAGGGGTACTTGTCGTCAAAGGAGAAAGGTCAGACAATCCGAATTCCTCGACTTTGTATCTGCCTGTACTTGGTTAATTATTCATTCAAGTTATAGGGAAACATTTACATGAACAGATATAATTTAATGATCCATTGTAGGGCACCTTAGACTAATTATGTAGATTACTGAAACACTTCAAGGGTCCGGTCTTGTCCATTAGGCTGCAATAAAAATTATTGCTAACATTTATGCGAATACACATAGAACTATGGAAACATTTGCTGTATCTTATTCTGCTATTAATTGATTAAAGTGAAATTCATCCCCAAGATTTTTTTCCTGGAGTGATAGCTAACATGCATGATGCATCATACATACAGCCAAATTAATATTCTATGTTAATGTTATTTTACTTACAATACATATGATTGCTTGGACATTTTCTTCCCATGAGTTCCTTTCCTGAGATCTGTGATTCATCCAACTTGCGGTTTCTCGTACTTCCAGCTTGGGGAGGAAGTTGTATTTCTTGCAAAATGCAGAGGGCTCAGGTCTTTGCCCGAATGATTGCTGGCTTTGTTTGCGAGGTATTAAGACGATGGTTTTGCGCGTTGAGAAACAACAGGTGCTAATTAGTTTAATGTCCTAAAGCATCGTCTACTTTCCTTAAGCTTGTTTTAGTTTTGTTTGTTCAAACTGACTATGCGCCACCCTTTGTTTGATTGGAACAACCAAAGCCAATTTGTTTTGGTTGTTTCAATATTCGCTTTGCAAACCGCTTGTGTTGGAAATTCTAATCTCCCTGTGTCTATTATGTTTGATGTTTTCCAGGAGAATGCACAGAAGATAGCTGAGTTTCTTGCCTCCCATCCACGAGTTAAAAGAGTAAACTATGCCGGACTTCCTGATCATCCTGGTCGCGAACTGCACTACTCCCAGGTAGATGCAATTTCATGTGGAGCTTCTACACTAATCTCCAACCTCTCAAAACTCTTCTTTCAATACCATCCATTACGATCGTTCCAACGATCTCTTGCAGGCACACGGTGCAGGATCAGTGCTCAGCTTCCTGACAGGATCACTCGCTCTCTCAAAGCATATCGTCGAGACCACCAAGTATTTCAGTGTGACTGTTAGTTTCGGTAAGAACATGTTACTCTTTCCCTAACACCTTCCAACATCATTGTTGTATGTCGATGGCGAGAAACTTCTCCTTTACACTGTGTTTTGATGTGCTTTGTAGGGAGTGTGAAGTCGCTCATAAGCATGCCATGCTTCATGTCGCATGCAAGCATCCCTGCTGCAGTCCGAGAAGCCAGAGGTCTGACCGAGGATCTCATACGAATCTCTGTCGGTATCGAGGACGTGGATGATCTCATTGCTGATTTGGACTTCGCCCTGAAAACTGGACCGGCTGCATAGAGCTCCCTGAAGAAGTAACCACCAGGCACCAACTCTTCCTTGCCTCTTTAATTTCTAGTAGACTAGTAGTACACCAATCTGCGTGTTCGGTTTTTTGTAAGAAGTGGAATTCTTCACATAAATGAGCTGGTTCTCCTTTCAATTGTGATTACTAGTGTATTTTATTGACATTAGAAATGGAAAGATTGGGATACTTTTGGTCAATCAAGAAGGAAGAAGGTTGGCCTTTCTTCATTTTACATTGATGGCCGACTCATTATATGACCACAAGTTCACGTTCTATGTTCTTGTTTACGGAATTGAAGCTTGTTTTATTGGTGTTATATATGATATTTCTGAATCGATATTTGGGATCGTATTTCAAGTTAAAATTGAATCAATAATTGATCTAAAACGGTTCAACTGCTTGTATATGTAACGATTTTAATTTACCTTAGCCGAACTTAACACGAAATACTTCATAAATTGCCAAATAAATGTATTTCTATCTGATGAATATACACAAAAGCAAAGCTCCACCAACAAGATGGTGGCAAACTAAATAACAACATTTATTTTACATAATAATCATAAACAAACAAAAACTCATCACAGAAACTATATAAAGAAATTAACATCAAAACAATAAAGTATTGACGATCAGGTCCACGATGATGACGAGGAAGAAGAAGACTATCAGCAACTGGGGATTACTTCTTCTGGTCACGCCTCCTCAATCAGAAACACGCGTCCAACACACAGCAGCAGCACAACGCAGCACAGCTACAGATTCCCACAACAGAAAGAAAGCCAATTTCATTCAGTACCGAATTGGTCAAACAGGGGAAATAAGGGGTTGAAATTGTAAGAACAGAGAGGGAAGATCAGTTAAGTTGCTTACCAGCCCTTCCAGAAGCCGTCGCCCCTTGACTTGGTCTCGACCGGAACGGCGCCGTTGAACTGGGCGGTGGAGTCACGGGTCGGGTAACCGATCGGCGGTGGGGCTTCGACAACGTAGGAGCCGCTTGATTGTGGCAGTTGAGGGTAGAAAGATGGTGCTCCTGTTGATTGGTTATCGTACTGAGTCATCTTGGCGGCGGAGTATGTAAAGTATACCTGAACGGATCACGAAGAAGGAACGGCCGGCGAAGGTTTCAACTAGGAGAGACAGGCAAGGAAGAAGAAGAAGCGAGTGGTGGTTTAATTTAAAGGAGGTTTGAAGGCAAGTAATGGAGTAGTTGGAGAGAAGAAGATCGAAGAAGATGGTGTCTGACGTATATATAGATAAAAAGAAATGGGATTCTGGTTTGCGTTCTGCTTGGACAGGTATATATGCTCCGACCGACTCCCTTTGACCACAACTCTTTTGATCCACTCGGGGCGGCTTCGACGCGTGAGATTTTTTTTTTTTTTGGCTGGAGGAAGTCCTGTTCCCTAAGGAAAGGAAGCCATCCATGAAACCAGTAAACTAAAACTATTGTTTTTTCTTTTGTAAATAAATTATAGAAGATTTATTGGTGAGTTCCAAATAATAATAATAAATTTTTTAATATAAAAGTATTGTATATTATGAGTTGTAAGGGGATAATATAAGATTTGTACCTTCTTATAATGTAAAGGGTTAATATTTTCGTATGACCTGAACTTTGACAAAAATAAACATCCTGTCCAATCTTTTCGATCTATAACATCCTGACCCAAACTATACAACAAAATACACAATTTGGTCAAATCCGATGTTTGACCATTAACTTGGACGGTCAAACGCGTTATTACCAATTCGGATTAATCCTTTACTTAAATCCGAACCAATAAAACGTAACCAATTCGGATTAGCTAATCTATTTTCTTAATCTTATCCTCGTGGACCTTTTATCCACCAACGACAAGAAACCAATTCGAAACATCGGGTTTGGCCAAATTCCACGTGTCCAAGTTCCAAGTTAACGGTCAAACATCGGGTTTGTCCAGGTTCCAAGTTCCAACGCACCAGATTGATTAATCCTTTACTTAAATCCGAACCAATAAAACGTAACCAATTCGGATTAGCTAATCTATTTTCTTAATCTTATCCTCGTGGACCTTTTATCCACTAACGACAAGAAACAGGGGCCCCACACTGTATGGGCCCAGAGCTCAACTCGACAGACGACAATCACAATCCTCTGGCCACGTTGACGTAAAGCCTCCAAAAAGTCCTCCCGGCCCAAAACTACAGATAAATCCCAGCCCAGCCCAATAGTCCTTTCGGCTCTCTGCGATCATGACTTGGCTAGTCGATCCTTCGAAGGGTGTTGACATAGGTGTAGCTAGAGAACGACACGAAAAGCTTGCGAAACCTGTATCACAAGTCACAGAGAGACAGGGCAGAATATAAGAGAGAAGTGGTTTTGGAAGAAGTGGATGCATAAGAATTGAAAGTAACGAATAACTGACAATCAATCAGTGTTCACTCAGAGTAAGCACACATACCAGACCCATTGGCTTGAATGTGCCGCCATTGCGCTGAAGCTCTTCAATGGTTGCTCATTCAACAAACAGTGCGCCACCCTGCTGTCAGATTTCGTAGCGAGCAACATGGACAGCCATATATCAACTGGTCCGATATACTTGCGCAATATGCTGCTACTGACCTGAACATTTAGCATTGTGAACCGATTAATCGCAGAAGCAAATGAACTGACACGACAGATGACTTGCAGTTCAGCCTAGGGAGCATTACAATGCTGGTAAAGATATGTGCTGCTAAAGATATCAGTCTACACGTTATGCTGGAAGGATTTGAGGCGGGATGGGAGTTATTACCATAGCATAATGATAAGAGGTTACATGATATGAGAACTTAGAATGAAATATGATCAGAAGAAAAAAGTATGCGGGAAGGACAAGAAAATCATACAAGTTCCCAGGCCTCTATACGTCTTTCTGAGGCATCTTCCAACAGTTTGCTGCTTATACAGGAAAAGATCAGGATGCAACTATTAGTCTATTACTATACAACATATATATTTGAGGCACACATTACACAAATTTAGCTGACGAATGAACTTACCGTATGCCATAATGCACGTCGCAGTGATTACAGTGGCCTGATACCCCATAATTGTCAAAGGTAATGACCTATACAAAGCCCCGTGAAAGAAGAAGACTAATAAGACGATAAAAATATGTAGCTTAAAACACCAAACACCAAGGAGATAGACACTGGCTATTGAGTACATAGGACCTTACTGTGTCAATATGGTGAGTAGACACCTCCTCTTTGATGGTTTTTGACAACAAGCCACGGTCCCAGACCAGTCCAAATCCATCCTAGATTGTGCGAAGGCGGCGATGCATTAGATTAGATTCACAAGAGAGAAAATATTGACCATGAGTAAGTGACCAGATTTTACAGGACAAAGGAGGGGAAACCTGCAAATCTGGATGGTCCAATATCTTCACTTGCTGAGGTTGTACCTGAAGGCTCAAAGTCACAGGCAGTTTAACCATTACAACGGGCTTGTTTGTTTAGACTAGCTTGAAAGTTTCTTCCAAGAAATAAAAACTAAAAGTTCAAACAAACACATTTGCTGAACCACACGTATTCTCGTGTGTCATAGCATAATATCGTGAAGGATTTTTATTTGATTAATAAATGTTGAATCCCATGTAAGACAGACATTGGGTATAACTTACAATGCATCATAGGAAATTACCTTCAGAACTAAGCAAGCTTGGTAAAGCTCATCCTTCCTAGTGTTTCCCATCCCATCTGCATTGCCTGTTGGTGTGTGCAACCAAAAGAATCATATAAGTGTACATGGAAGATAAAGATATGATGGGATATATGCTGCCTATATTAACCCTTTCATAAAGTATCAGAAGATAGGGTCGATTAAACTAAGACCCAGCAAGAGGTGGCGACTTTCATCATAGAAGCAAATAACAGAAGAGGCGTAGAAAAAGTTTCCATCCCCCTAGATACGAGCATAATTTGAGCTCTAGGGCATACATCAAGATAATAGCATCATATGTTTCTTCGCACGCAGCTATTATCAGAAAATAACGGATTGAAGGTAACAAAATCACCTATCGACAAGCACATCAAGTATACATTGTGTCCCCTCGAAATCAGATAGTTTATTGTCGGAGAGAAGAACCTGAGAAATTGAGACAAAAAGTCAAGTACAACATGGGAAAGCAAGGTAAGTATAGGTAAAATGTTCTTTGAGAGCAAGAACTCGCATCAACATTTACCAATGACATTAAAGCAGCCATGAATGACCATTAAGAGCAAATTGATGTCAGTTAATTAATGTTTGACAACAAAAGAATGGTCAAAGGATGTCCAGTATATGTCACTAGCTTTCTTAAGAAAAAACAAAGACCTTAAATCCTCTCAGGTATTACAAACAAAGCACTTCTGGTCCATGTCAGACATAGACCGACAGCCAAAAACAAGAAGCACTTTAATGTGAATCATAGCAGCAACCAATATCTGAGAGCTTACATGGACTCATCATCAGGGTGGGCAATAACAAGCAGAACATTTCGCCTGTTTGGTGCACCGTCTGATACTGTAAACAGCTAAAGGAAGAGTGCATCAACAAACTGCATATGTTTCACAAAGAAACTTTACAAGAATGCTAGAGGAAGTACCTTCGCTCAGAAAAGTGTTCTTCGAGTATGAACTTCCACTATGGAGAATCTTGCACAATGAAGCTATCCATACTACAATTAGTGAAACAACAATCACCAGAAACGACATTTACGGCTCCTGCACAAAATAAAAACAGATTTCCCTTTTCTCGCTTTAACACCCTGGATTCTAAAATGAGGGCCCAAACAAGATGAGAAGCGAGCAGGAACAATAAGAATCTCGAGCATTCTACAAGCATAACAAATCCAGTTTATCCGAATACATCAAACATGTGGCAACATTGAAGGATAAATGTCAAAATAGTATCAATTTCATTTCACAGATCAGCAATTCTCCTGCTCAAATAATGTATAGCAAGAGGCAGATCATCCATTGTAGAACCATCACATTTAGATAAATTCAATCAATTAGAAGAAAGCAAAGTTGATAAAAGCCTGTTAACCGAGAGAGTGCTATGGCGAATGACTTGCAGCACCAAATCAGAATCTACTAACACTAGCCAAGATACTCAGGATTCCTAAATTTCCATATCATGTCAAATGAGAGCAGCGACACATTTGCAGCTAGAAAGCAACTTTGCACTGTGTTAAGGAAAGTTAAATTCTTTGCAGAAGCACCAATCAAAATGCACGATACGAGCCATTTCGAACCCAAATTTTAAATTAGCAGCCTCGTAATCTTCACTTTCGAATTCAAGAAGCCAACAAATCTTTAACCTCATCCTACCGCAAGTAGTGCTTCACATTCGAGAAGTTACAAAATTCAATCTGCAAATGTGGGACACGAGGCAAACCGAAATCTTTAAGCTGTTATTATTCAGAACTGCATGAAACTCAACATTAGACTCTCATAGCCAGCTTACTGCCAGAAACAGTTAATCTTACAGTCTCACTAACAAATAAGAAACCTGGATACTAAAACAAGAGAACTCGTTCTTCCCTTCCATTTCACACTGACCACAAACTCCAAAATGTAAAAAGCAAACAAGAAACGACCCACTATGCATGATCCTAAGTTATTACACAGCAAACCCCATAAGTTTGCCATGACTCCTTCAATCATCTTGCTTTTTCTTCAGGTCTTCGAACTTGTCTATAGCCACCTGAAGTTCATCCGTCCCTCCAACAGCTCTCATGGTGTAGAAATACACCCCAAACACAAACGCTGACAACCCACCAGCAACTACCAGATTCTTGGTCTTGGGAGCAAGGCTTCCGAATGCTAAGAGTCCGGCCATCTTTGCAACGGGATGTCACTGTCGATATATATTTCGTGTTATATGCGATCGAAAATTCGTAAACCAGCCAACAAAACCAATCAAGTAATGCCCACTGCTGATGCTCATGTCAACTAAAGGCGCAAAATTTGCAAATAAACATCCAAACCCAACAACCATCTACAGAAGGTACTTTCAAGTTTCAACCCGTTCGAGCAGTTAGAAGAATAAGCCGTCGAGGCAATTCAACCGGTGAAGAACTCAGCCAACAGTGTTTAGATTCAGTATTCTATTCATTACAGAGGCAAAAAGGCGAGTAGAGATCAAGGGAGAGAAGAAGCACCTTTTCCAACAGGAAAATCGCACGAAATGGCCGATGAACAAGAGGCGGCGAGGAATGGAGAATCACGGCCGACGGCGAGCGAGAGCAACTGAAGCGTACAGAGAGGAATTGAGTGGGTACTGGGAAACAAATTTTACCCGCCCCGTCCAAAGAGAGAATTTATACCCGCCCAGTACCCGTCAATTAATACGACACCGTTTAGTTGCTATGCGCGCGCTGGCCCTAATTCTGTGATTGTCCGGGCCTGAATGGATCAATTCCGATCGAAAGAGAAAAGAGAAATTGAGGCAGAAGGAAGGATTGGAGAGGAAGAAGATGAGAACAATAGGAAGAAGAGAGAAGAACGAGAGAGTAGAGAGAGTAGGAAGTTTATGGTGAAGACGTATACAAGCAAGTTGTCTAGCCTCATCGTCAAGTTGTATACTTTGAAGTTAACGGCTTAGTTCTTACCCCAGGAGAACATGGTAGGATTTACGCCAATGGGGAAAAGAATCGGTCTTTACAAAGTAATTGCAGTTCGATTCTACTCCAGAATCGCTCCTCCACCACCTGCATACGCCCAACCAGTCATTAGAGTCACCAACAATGTAGCTCATCTGGGTTCCGCAAAAGAGGGTCCGAAGCCCCGCCAACTTCTTTCATTGCCTCCGTTCCCCGGTCTGCCTCTTCCCGGAAAGGACGTGCTCGGCGATCCTGGGCGTCTCACTGCCATCAGCTGGGTCAAGTACTACTTCAATGACATGTCTGGTGAAAATATCGAATCCCATTTCAAGAAGGGCCTAGTAAGTTGAAAACTTTCTCTATCTTCGTATCTCAGTTTTGCTGGAGCTCTAATGGGGATAATCTAGTTTGTGTTCCCTTCAATTTCACTGCAAATGTTTGTCTGTGGTTGCTTTTGCATAGCTGCTTGTTTCAACTCTCTCTTATAGTAATGGGTTATGGATGAATTGTGTCAGGTTTATGTGGAATGCCAAAGTTCCAGTGACTCTTTTGAAATTAAAGGATTGGGGAAGTTGGTGAGAAAGGTATGGTTGCACAAAGATCTAACTATTGAATTGTTTGGGGAAATAACTAGCTGATCCCTTGCCTGCACCAAGATCAGGCGATGAAGCTCTGATCTTTTCTAGCTTCACTAACACCCTCCCTGTTTGTTTTGAGATGTTTACTTTGTGGCGGTTTAATATTCTACAAGACAGTGTGTCTGCAGATTAAGCCTCATGATGCAATGGAAGAGGGAGGTAGAATTCATGTTCCAGTATCGATTGCGGAGTCTAGGATCTCGAAGAGATTTGACACCATACCAAGTGGTACTCTATATCCAAATGCAGACGAGATCGATTACTTGCAAAGGCTTGTGAAGTACAAGGTTCGTGATTTTTCTACTCGTCGTTTACGTGTTTCACTGAGATAAAAATCATTTTGTACAAGATATGACCATTTGCATACTTTTAGTTGCTGATAGTTGTCTGTTCCAATTGTAGGATGCAGCTCTCATTGTTCTAAATAAGCCCCCTAAGTTGCCAGTCCAGGTAATATTTTTCCTCCTGTTCAGCGTTGTCTTTACTGTTGCATGTTGAATCAACACTTGTCAATTGGTTTTGCCTTGTTGCTTTCAGGGTAATATGCCTGTTCATAACAGTATGGATGCATTGGCTGCAGCTGCTTTGTCTTACGATTATGATGAGGGGCCCAAGTTGGTGAGCTCCATTATGTTATTTTCGATTGGTGCTTCCTTATGTCACTATTATGAGTCTGAATTATTACCAGTGTAATGTTTAACAATGCCCAGTCTTTTCCGTTCGTTTGTTTAGCTTATTTGCCCTGGACATTTTAGACATTGATTCTTGAATACAAAACTCTTGTCAGGTTCACCGGCTAGATAGGGAAAGCAGCGGGCTCATCTTGCTAGGACGGACCGAAGAAAGTGTATCACATCTTCAGTGGCTATTCAGCAACCTTAACAAAGCAAAATCCCGATGTGAGGTACTTTCATCACTGATAATCTCATATGACGTGAAGTACAGTTGAGGTAAATGACAATGATAGGAGGGAAACCAATGTCCAATGCTTTGTTTTTTACCTTTGCGGAATTATTCTGATTTTCTAGGCCTGGAATGATGCCTGTGAAGCTACATACCAACGGTACTGGGCCTTAGTTATAGGGTCCCCGAAGGAAAAGGAAGGCTTGATTCGTGCTCCTCTTTCAAAGGTTTCCTTGCTTACTTTGGACTTGGAAATGATGAATTCTCCGATATGAAACTCCCAACTGTCTCTGGTTGACCTTGGCTGTTATTATTTCCAGGTGCTTCTTGATGATGGGAAGACAGAGCGAATCATCTTGGCTGGGGGGTCTGCTTTTGAACCTTCGCAAGAGGCTCTAACAGAATATCGAGTCTTAGGTCCTATGATCAACGGATGCTCGTGGCTCGAACTTCGCCCATTAACCAGCTGGAAGCATCAGGTACATAAATATGTACTAGCTGGGTTGCCAATTGTGTTCGCCTTGCTATCAACTGATTCCATTTGATTCAACTAATTCGCACCAGTTTGTGCCTCTAGTTGATCATAGAAACCTATTTCTCAACAAACTACATTTGTTTGTTGGGTTGACATCGTTTGCTTCTGGTCGTGCTACAGCTTCGCGTCCACTGTGCTGAAGCGTTGGGTACTCCAATCGTGGGGGACTATAAGTACGGCTGGTTTGTGCACAAGAGATGGAGGCAAATGCCTCGAGTTGACATCGAGCCGACTTCAGGGAAGCCATACAAGTTGCGCAGGCCAGACGGTATAGATGTTCAGAAAGGAAGCGTGATGTCGAAGGTCCCATTGCTGCATCTGCATTGCCGGGAGCTCGTCCTTCCCAACATCGCCAAGTTTATGAATATCTTAGATCGGAGATCAGAATATCGCCACCACCCTACGACGAGTGAGCCTTCTGATCTTCTGCGGTTTGTAGGCGCAATGCCAAACCATATGAAAATTAGCTGGAACCTCATGTCATCATATTTGGTGTGAGAGAAAATTCACCGTAGTATTTTGATATCCTTGCTAGTTAATCACTTCTCCAATCTCCTTCTGTTCCTTCCCCTGTAACAAGTGAAGTGACAAACATAGGTTATGATGAATCGCCAAATGAACTACCCTATTCTGAACACGACCAACAAACCGAACCCTGGGATTACGACTGCAATAAATATATTTAGATCATCAAATGTAGAACTTAAATATAAGTTAAGTGGTATGAAGTGCAATTGAACCGTGGGATTACGTAGTATTTTTATGCCTTAATATTGAAGTCAAAAGTACATTCAACCTGCCTCCAAAACACCACCGTTGAACACTGAAATTTGTCTTCCCTGTCACAATCCTTTCCCTTTTCTTCTCCAACGCAACACCTACCTCACCTTACCCGGACGGTTTATCTACCTACATTATATCTGGTCCGGTGCCGCTGTTATTCCCCTCCATTTTTCTATATTTTATCATTTCCCGTAAAAAGCTTCGTATTTCCTTCTTCTAGATATCTTAGACTTTTTCATTTCTCCAATCGCATCTCCTTCCCTTCCCTTCGCTGAGCTGAATCTCTTCTCTCTTGATTCCCTCTCAGTCTAAGTTCTGTTCCGAATCGATAAGCTCTTGAGCTCCGTCGGCGGCTCTCTTCCGCTTTCCGGAATTCTCCTCGGGTCATTCATTCGATTCATTTCGTTTACGGTAATGTAGTGTTTTTGTGGAGGATTTCAATTTGGACGGATGTTGTCCTTTGTGTTTTGAGCTGTCCTTTTCTGAATTTCGTTGCTTGTTCCATGAAGTAATCTGCTCCGACTTAGTCATGGCTGTTTCATTTTACCTTTGAAGAATTCAAGGTTGATTGTTGACTGTTACGTTGCAGGTTTTAGTTGAGCAGGATCGTTGGAGCTTTTCTGTTCTCTCTGCTTTTGCTCGCTCGCCAGGTGTGGTGGCCGAATAGCAAGAGATTTTGAGGTGATTTCCTTTGGTTTGTTGTTAGATCAATTCTCTTGGTATCATGGTTCATAGCTGCTGACTTTCCTTAACGTGGAGAGCTTTCGTTCGGTTCATCTGTTCGTCTCAGAGGAGTCGAATTTTGTCATTATCTTTGTTCATTATGCTGGGAATTGATCACATTTACTCGATTGAAGGCATAAATTGGATCAGAATCTGTTCAAGTGTTTGGTTACCAGTTGTTGCTCGGTGATATATGTTCTTGAATTCTTGGAGGTTGCTTTTATGGTAGCTGTATGCTGGTGGTAGTAGAGTATGACTGAAAGCTATAGCAATGCAAGTGCGAGCTCAACGTCAAGTTATAATAGCAGTGTTCCGGATACAGAGGACGATCAGGTTATTGCGAGCATCCTAGCTGAAGAAGAAAAGGCTAATGCTGGCAGACAGCTTGGAAAGAGACTCTCTCATTTGGATTCCATACCTGTATGTTCGTTCCTTCTCTTATTCTTTGTTTTCTTTTTCTTTGAATACGTGATTCAAGATTGTATATGAGACTGCAAATTCAGGTGTTAGGGTCCCTTTTGATTCTTTAGTTGATTGGAAAGCAAGGATGATTAGAGGGTGATTCTTTTATTCGAGCCTTTTCGAAGCTATTGCTACTGTTTGTTGTACACCATGGCCTGATTGGTGGTCTAGGATTAATGTCGCAGTGGTTATTAATTGACATTTCTGCATTGCTGAAAAGATGTTTGATGATAAGCGCTTTCATCTTTTGTGTTCATTAAATTCATATTCTTATTACTTCCTTTTGGACTTATAAGTAACTTGCAATGGCCAATTACAGCACACTCCCCGGGTTAATGGTCAGATTCCAGACGTGAATGATGCAACCTTAGATCATGTTCGGCTGTCTGGAAGGTGTTTGGTTCATCATCCATCCTATAAACTTTTTGCTCTTTGCTCCTGAAAAATTTCTAAGTTCATTACTTAGTTTCATTTGTATAAAGTTATTTACTTGACCAATTTACTGGGATACTGTACTCTCTGCATTTTTCCTACAGTCGAGCGTAATCATTGAGCATATGTGCCAGTTCTTGTTCATTCAACATAATTTATCTCTGACAGGAAACTCATGAACTAATACAGGGAATGGTTTTGCATTTGTCAAAAATGTAGATGCTATTGCTTATTTGTCTTTTTACCATCTGATCCAGATTGAATACCTATGGATTAGCAGAACTGCAGATGGAGGGTGATGGGAATTGCCAGGTGTGCTATGATTTATAATTCTTATGCCGAGCGAATACTTTATGTTGACACCTCCATTTGTGAACTGACCTTTTATTGAAGTATGGATTGGAAAGGTCTGATTAGCTACTGGATACACTTGTCATACATACAGTTTCGGGCATTAGCAGACCAGCTATTTCGCAGTCCAGATTATCATAAGCATGTTAGGAAGCAAGTTGTTAAGCAGGTAAGACATATGATTCTCTACTGGTAGATATTTCTTACTCATGCATGTGAATTCTTATTATTCATGGTACAGTTTTTTTTTTTTTTTTTTGTTACTATGTGGGAGAACCTTCCAATTCTTGATACTTATGGACTGCTTGTACTTTGTTTTATTTTCCAGCTAAAGCAGTTCAGAAAAATGTATGAAAGCTATGTCCCAATGAAGTACAGAAGCTATGTAAACAAGATGAAAAAGTAAGACCTTTAGAGGGGGCACATTTTGATTTGTCTTTTTGTGCCAGAAGACAGTGTTTACAACTGAGCAAATGTTGATTCGTTTTAACTTTGATGTTCTTGCTAGATCAGGGGAGTGGGGTGATCATGTTACTCTACAAGCTGCTGCGGATAGAGTAAGTTGAACTCATGCACTCTGAAAATCATTTCATATCTATGCTCCATAGTTAGCTCAGCTGGAAGCAAACCTTGTATCTGGATTTAGTTTTATCAACATAGAGCAAATTCCGTGTTTTCACTTTGAACAATGTGACTGAGAAAGCACAAAGTGTGCCTTGTTGTTGAGAAATTGTCAAGTAAATTACTTGAAGAAGAGAAAAGAACTTCACTCCTCAGAGTAATTTGGATGTCAAACGGCCTTTTCTTATTTTAAGTCATGGTCAGAACTTGTGGAAAACAGTGTAGTCACTGTCTCAGAATGTGTAGTAGAAGTTCGGACCCAGGCCACTTTGTCTTAATTTTATGAGCACGGTGCTTGATAATTTCATGCTGCTTCTATTGTTCCCCAATAACACACAGTTCTTTCATGGTATGTTTCTGACCTCTTTTGCTACATTTTTCAGTTTGAAGCCAAAATTTGCCTAGTTACATCTTTCCGTGACACTTGCTATATCGAGATCAGGCCCAAAGACAAGCCTCCTGGAAGAGGTTTGTGCCGTTAGCATATCATTCCAAAAGCTTGTTATATCTCATGCAAGCATTACAGTATGGCATATTAGTTGTCATCGTCAAACAGCAGTCATGCATCCATCCATCACAGTCACAATAAAGTTCCAAGTTTCCATTTAGATGTGCTGCTTTTGAGTTGTGTGAAACTTAGAACCTTTTTGTGCTTCCAGAGATCTGGCTAAGCTTTTGGAGTGAAGTCCATTACAACTCACTGTACGCAATCGGAGGTAATCAACGAGTCCAAATAACAAAACAATCCACTGAGACATTAAAGTTTCAGTTAGCATGTGTTTTTGAGCTTTCATAACTTATGTCATCCGATGGTATTCATTTCCGAACCATTTCTTGATGCAGATGTCCCCACCAGAGTACCAAGGAAAAGGCATTGGCTGTTCTGATATGTTTTTTCTTCCTGAACCTATATTATCATAGCATACATGCCTCATTTCATTTTCTACCCACTGCACATTTGCAATCTCTGCAATTTGTGCCTCGTTTGGTACCTCCATATCCATAGAAACAGATTCCAGTATACTTTTCATGGCCGGAGAAATCGACTGTACAAACTTTGTTACACTGTAATAACTTATATGAATATTTGTATACAGAAACAGATGATGATCAATTTGTTTCATTCGAAATCATAAAGCTCTCTCTATCTTCAAATAGGCAGCAGTACATTTTACGTGGCGCTATGCCACTTCCTGCCTGGAGGCACTTCTACTGACAGCATTATCCATAGCTTCTGTTGTGATAACTTTCCCCGAGAACCGCCATTAGCAGTAGGCTATGCTGTTTCAGTGTCTTGACATGGTCTGCTGCCATATCCCTGTGATCGAACTGTTCCATTCTTGTGACGAGAAGAAATGTGATCGGCTCATTTACTCCCCATGCTCCTTAACAAACCTATACGCAAAAGAACACATGTCAATAGATACAAGTGGACTAGCTGAACTTCCGCAGCCTCGAAAACTTCTGCATTCGTGCTTACTTTTTTCTTCAATTTTCAATTCAAACAAGTTGTAACTTACCTAGGGTTGCAGTGTTGCTGAAAATCGGTCTTCCTCGAGAGCTATGGTGTGAGAGTGACTCCAATGCCTAATCAAGCCTAAGTAGATGACAAAAAGTTCCTTAAACGAAAAACTTAATGCAAGATCAAGAATCTTGGCTATAGGCTAGAGTACCTTCTTGCATCTCCAAGCTTCGATAGATAACACTGTGAACTTCAGTCCTCAATCACTGAAGAATTTGTTTGACCTCATTCCGAAATTTGATTCACAAATTCAGCACTAACCTCCAATTCACCGACTCCAACTGGTGCGAGACAACTAGTGTTTCTAGTGTCCTGTAAATCTCCTCTGTTCTAGGATGTGTCTTATCGATTGAGTAGAACTGATACAACTCATTCTCAACCTCGATCCAGCTGCAACCTGGTGTCTTATACGCCTTGCTCTGCTTCAACACTTTCCTCACCCTACGGGCATCTTCCCACCTCCCTAACTCGCCATATAGATTTGCCAGCATTATCCTATAGCTTCCATTTCTGGGGTCAATCTCCATTAGCTTTTTAATGGCCAATTCAGCCAAATCAGTATGGCCGTGGACTCTGCATCCATTAAGCAAAGACCCCCAAACAACCTCATCGGGCTCAATCTTCATTCCCCGTACCACTTCCATTGCTTCTTCAAGCCTCCCAGCACGACCAAGGATATCTATCAGACACCCATAGTGCTCGATCTGAGGCTCAAGCATGTAATGATCGGTCATCATATTGAAATAGAACCGGCCCTTTTCGATAAGCCCTGCATGAGTGCAAGCATTCAATAGGCCGACGAACGTCACCTCATCAGGCGTCACATGCTCCCAGTACTGCAACATCTCATCAAAGATACTAATCGCTCCATCCGTCCTACCATGGAGGGCAAAAGAATTGATCATCGAGTTCCATGCCGACAAGCTTCTCTTTGAAGTCATATCAAACACCATTCTCGCATCATCTAAGCTCCCACACTTCCCGTACATATCAATCAGAGCATTCGCCGCGAATTTGTCAGCAAAAAAACCCTGCCTGTAAACAAAGCCATGCATCGACTTACCCGGCTGGAGCATTCCTGTGTGCCCACAAGCAGAGAGCGCACATACTACAGTAACCTGATTTGGCCTGAGTCGATGGTCAATCATCCTTCGAAAGTACGAAATCGCCTCGGGAAACAGCCCGTTCTGCGTGCAACCAGCAATGACAGCATTCCAAGAGGGAACATCTCTCTCAGGCATCTCCTCGAACAGCGAAAACGCATCACCCATCTCGCCAAGCCTCACCAGCCCAGAGATCATAGCAGTCCATGAAACAACATTCTTCTCAGAGATTTCGTCGAACACCTTCCGCGCAATCCCAATATCCGACCCCCCAGACCTCGAATACGAGCCCACAAGCGCCGTCTGGACAACTGGGTAGTTCCCAAACCCGGACTTCTCTATCTGGGTATGCACCATTTTCGTTGTTTGGCACGATTTCAAGACGTGCGGGAAGATGAACTGGTTGGGCTTAGGCGGGCGCTGGCGACGAACCATGTCGCGGAAGAGCGCGAAGGACGAGCTGTGGTCGGAAGCCGAGGAGTAGGCGGTGACCATGGCGGTGTATAGGAAGATGTTGGGCGACCATAGGTGGTCGAAGATGGAGCGTGCGTATGCGAGGTCGGAGAGCTTCAGGACGCAGAAACGGACGAGCTTGAAGGAGTAGAAGTGGGTTTGAGAGTGGCCGAGAATCGTGAGGAAGGATTGAAGTTGCTTTAGGTGGTTAAGGTGATCACATTTGGAGAGAATCCCCAATACGTGTTGATTCAGATTTTGCATCCTGAGATTTCCCAGGACCCTTTCTCCGGCTGTTTCCCGCTTCTACTGGCCGCCGGCGGCTGTAATTTGCAATTCCACTCTTATCGCGCGAAACAAAAAGAACCGGGAAACAGTTAATTCGCTGAAAAGGCCGAAGCCTGATTCTCTGGTCCGGCCCGGAACGGCCAAAGACTTAATTGGGCTAGCCTACTTGTAGTTTGGGCCCAGCTAGATCGGGTGACTCCCGATCTCAGTTGACTACGGAAACTGAAAACGCACTCCTCTGATGACCTATGAACAACACAACTCGACTTCTCAAAAGCGGCCACGTGTATCAATCGCCACCTGTCGTTCCTCCATTGGCTATCTTTTCCCACCCCAACAATAAAAAGCGCGCCACGTTGGCTGTATATATTAAATTAAAACTAAATAAATAAACGAAGACGTTCCTTCGAGTAAAAATAACGGCTTTCAACTTTCTCTCTTGCTTTCCTCTCCATTTGCGCCTTTCGTGCTCAGTTTCTCAGCAGCAAAGCAGAGAAATTTCATCTCCCATCTCCTTCTCCATCGGGCAGAATGCGCGATTCGCGAACCTGATTCTGGTTATTCTCCATTCTTCTCTTTCTACTTACAATTAGCTGATTAGTTGTTTTTTTGGGCTGGAGTTTGGTATTTGAAGTTAAATTACTGATCTGTTAATGGCGGACTTGCAGGGAAGTAGAGAAGAGGACTGAAGAGAGACTGCGGTGTTTATTTATCTGACTTAGGATTACGATCCGAGCTCACAATGAGTTCGATGATGATAATCAAATTAGGGCTGCTGCTTTGTTTTATTTCCGCGAATTTGATAACCCCTTCCCAATCGGCCGTGTCGAGTGTAGATCTAGGTTCAGAATGGATGAAAGTAGCGGTAGTGAACTTGAAACCGGGTCAGAGTCCGATCGCCGTCGCCATCAACGAGATGTCCAAACGGAAGTCGCCGGCCTTAGTGTCGTTCCACTCGGGGACTCGTCTGCTCGCCGAGGAAGCTGCCGGAATCACCGCTCGTTACCCTAACAAAGTGTTCTCGCAGCTTCGGGACATGATCGGGAAGTCGTACAAGGATGTGAAAGGTGTTTTGGATTCAATGTACTTGCCGTTCGATGCAGTGGAGGATTCCAGGGGCGCCGTTGGGTTCAAGGTGGACGACGGTCAAGTTTACTCCGTTGAGGAATTGTTGGCGATGGTTTTGGGCTACGCGTCGAATTTGGCCGAGGTCCATGCTAAGTTGCCTGTGAAAGATGCCGTCATTAGTGTACCGCCGTATTTTGGGCAGGCGGAGAGGAGAGGGTTGATTCAGGCAGCTCAGTTGGCTGGGATGAACGTTCTTACTCTGATAAACGAACACTCAGGTGCGGCATTGCAGTATGGGATTGATAAGGATTTCTCTAATGGGTCGAGATATGTGATATTCTATGATATGGGTTCAAGTAGTACTTATGCTGCACTTGTGTATTATTCGGCGTACAATGCCAAGGAGTTTGGGAAGACTGTGTCAGTTAACCAGTTTCAGGTGAATTTCACTTTGTGGTCACATATATTCGCATTTTGTAGTTCACGGTTTGATGGGGCAGTGCTAATGCTTTAAACGTGTTGTCCAGGTTAAGGATGTTAGATGGGATTCAGCGCTTGGAGGTCAGAACATGGAAATGCGGTTGGTGGAGTATTTTGCAGATGAATTCAATAAGCAGGTTGGAAATGGAGTTGATGTGCGGAAGTCTCCCAAGGCAATGGCCAAACTGAAGAAGCAAGTTAAGCGGACCAAGGAAATATTGAGTGCAAATACAGCGGCTCCGATTTCGGTTGAGTCTCTCTATGACGATCGTGATTTCAGGTAGGTTCAAGAAACAATCTTTAGTTGGTCTAATTCACTTTCAGTGGCATAGCCGCATAGTTAGTTCCCAATCCAGTTCTGTAGTGTTAAAGTAGATCCCTATTAGCCTAGCGTTGGAATCGGATGTGTTCATATTCCACTTGCAATTCTTTATGATGCCATTATCTATGTTCACTTATATCAATTTCCCATATTTATAGGAGCTCAATAACACGGGAGAAGTTCGAAGAGTTATGTGGTGATTTATGGGATAGATCCCTTGTCCCCATCAAAGAAGTAATAAAGCATTCTGGTCTCAAGCTGGATGAGATATACGCTGTAGAGCTTATTGGAGGTGCTACAAGAGTGCCAAAGTTACAGGTTAGTACGAGGTAGCAACTTTTGTTGTATGGACCAAAAAGATGATGAGGCTTCATGTATCATCTGGTGGAAATAATTTTGAAGTGAATTTGAAGTCTGACTATGAATTAGATCTTGAGGCTAGATATGAATAATGATAGTTCTATAATGTCTTTAACTGTGGATAAGCTCAGCCTTCGATCTTTGTTGGCCACTTGAAACCTTGTAACTTTATTGTTACAATCCTGAGAAAACACCAGTTTCTTCCCCAATGTTGTGTGTGTCTAAGTCTAGGTATGATGGTATTTTTGCCATAAATTTCGTCCACCATAACCAGCTTGTTCTTTGACTCTTATGCCTTCAACTTTTAGTTGTCTGCACGCTAAAAGTATGCCATTTCTCTTTGTGCCTGAAACCCCTTCCTTTTTTGTCATATAGAAGAGAAACCACTGTGCAATCTATTTTATAAGATCTTTCTACAGTTCCAGGATTAACTTGTCTGAGATCTGAGTATCAAGCTTGTTAACATTGAATCTGACAGTTATTCTTTTTCTTGTCCTTAACAGGCTAAGATTCAGGAACTTCTTGGAAGAAGTGAGTTGGACAAGCATCTGGATGCGGACGAAGCTATAGTTCTTGGTGCAGCATTGCATGCTGCAAACTTAAGTGATGGTATCAAATTGAACCGTAAGCTAGGAATGATCGATGGTTCTTCATACGGATTGGCTGTTCTACTGGATGGCCCAGATTTCAAAGATAGGCAGTCACTGGTACCTAGGATGAAAAAGGTCCCCAGTAAGGTAAAAGTTGTTTTGCACTCGAATTTTATGAAGCAGTAGCATACCATCAATCTTGGTTCTCGAACTTACTACTTTGCTCTGTACTGGTTTCTTTACAGACGTTCCGATCCATAGTTCTTAACAAAGATTTTGAAGTTTCACTTGAATACGAGACTGATGAACCCTTACCGCCCAGCATCAGTTCACCAGTGTTTGCACAGTATGCCGTGTCTGGTCTGACGGAGGCGAGTGAGAAGTAAGGAATCTGGCTCGGTTTAATGTTTCTGAGCTGTCACAACAACTTTCCTGCTTTGGAGCATGAACTAACTGATGTGTCTTGTTGCGTGTCTAGGTATTCGTCACGAAATCTCTCCTCCCCCATAAAGGCAAATCTGCATTTTTCACTCAGCAGGAGTGGGGTTCTCTCTTTGGACCGAGTAGATGCTCTTGTGGAGATATCAGAGTGGGTGGAAGTCCCAATAAAAAAGAATCTCACCACTGAAACTATCACGAACTCTTCAAGCAGTACCCCAGAGACAGGTACCAATAATGGAGCTGCCGAGAATACCACAACGAGCTCTGCGACTGAGAATTCTTCAGAGGGAAGTAACGAAACGACGGGCAGTGACTCTAACTCAGATGTCAAAGAACCAAGCACCACCGAGGTGGCTGCCGAGAAGAAGCTTAAAAAACGAACATTCAGGGTTCCACTGAAGGTGCAAGCAGGCTTCTTTGCTTTTGTCTCTTTGTTATTTCAGTGAAATAGGCCCTTGTTAGCCTTTTGTTTGCACACTTTACTCTTTTGCTGATCATTTTGTCGGTTACCATGTGTAGATCACTGAGAAGACAGTAGGTCCAGGAAAGCCCCTTTCAGAAGAATCTCTGGCTGAAGCTAAAAGAAAGCTGGAAGAATTGAACAAGAAAGATGCAGAGCGACGAAGAACTGCTGAGTCGAAAAATAACTTGGAAGGATATATATACTCAACAAAAGAAAAGGTATGATTCTGTGCTCTTTCCCATGACTATTGACTATTATAGTAACTAAATATAATTGGTTTTATTGGTTACTACAGCTTGAAACAGACGAGGAGTTTGAGAAGATATCGACAAGTGAAGAACGCCAGTCGTTCATTGAAAAGCTTGACGAGGTAAACTCTCCTCTGTGTGTCTGTCAGCCTCTGTCCCTCACCTTTTTGCTTCTTCGTCTATAGATTCCCCTTGTATTATATGAAAATCATCTGCTTACGAATATGATCATTTGTTTCAGGTTCAAGACTGGCTATATACTGATGGTGAAGATGCAACTGCCAGTGAGTTTGAGAAACGTATGGAGTCTTTGAAAACCATTGGTGACCCAATATTTTTCCGGTGAGAACTATTCCTACTTCGCCGGGAATGAATGCATATTTCCCTGAGAAATATATGATCATATTAAGCAGCCAGCTAACGAATTTGTCTACATGCAGATATAAGGAGCTGTCAGAACGGCCAGATGCAACCAAATTTGCTAGGAAGTACCTCACTGAGCTGAAGCAGGTAACTCCACTTAAATCATGATCTGGCTATATTACCAGAAGTTACCTTTGCAGAATAACCTTTGATGTTGATTCTATGCTGGTTATTGCAAGTCCTAGCCGACTGAATCTTCTGTTATTACTGACAATATCTGTCTTTCAGATGTTTTTATTCTCTGGTTTTCATTCCTTCAATTAGTGTCTCCTTATCAAAATTGTCAAATTACGCAGAAGTTGCTTACCTACAGCAGATTTTTAGTATAGTTCTGCATATCTATCGAATGCATCTTCATCCTGATCTTTTGTTTACTAAGGGAACTCTTTTTTCTTTTCTGCAGATTGTAGAAGGTTGGGAGGCAAACAAACCTTGGCTCCCAAAGGATAGAATAACTGAGGTATGATTATAAAACCTGTTCACCGATTATCCAAGTCGCTTCATAACTCTTTCCATCATTGGAGCTGTATGATAATGTTCATTTTTCCAACATTTGGTTCTAGGTTCTGAATGATGGTGAAAAGTTGAAGAGTTGGCTTGATGAGAAGGAGGCAGAGCAGAAGCAGTAAGTGACCTATCCATTGATTGCTACTCATTTCCTTACCTTGAAATGGAACAGCACTTCATTTTCTCCCTTTTCTCCCATTCAGGACTTCTGCTTCTAGCAAACCGGCCTTCACATCTGAAGAAGTGTACACCAAAGTATTTAAGTTGCAGGACAAGGTATCCCCCTCTGACATCCTCGCATTCTGTCTCTCACACGGCCTAACGAAAGACCTTATCATTGACTTCCCATTTTTTGTTCCTGACTGCTGCTTGCACAGGTTACCAGCATCAACAAAATCCCCAAGCCGAAACCCAAAGTCGAGAAGCCCAAGAAGAACGAGGCAGAGGAGCCTAAGAAAGCCGAAACACAAGAAGATCCCAAGAAGACCGAGACAAATGAAGAGCCTAAGACCACTTCAGAGGAAGCCACTGCCTCTGATAGCTCAGCTAGTGAGAAGGATACTGCAGATTCTCAGGCACACGACGAGTTGTGATTGAACAGAAAACCCGTTACCACCGCGAGTGAGGAACAATGCCATTCGTTAGCTGGTCTCCAGAGCCAAACTCAAATCAACAGGAAGAATTATCATAGAGAAGGTAAATGCATTTGCTGGATGATATGAATTGGAGAGCCTCAAAAGTTTCTTCATCTTTAAGGTTCATTGGTTCAGCGCGGTTTTCTGCTAGTTTCCACAGTATAGCTGCCGGGTTTAGATGGCCAGAAGGAACAGTAGGTCTGTGTCTGTGATCTGGAAATTTTGTTAAGGCCAGTTCTGGTTTAACAGTCTCATTTTTGCTCTTCATTGTAGGAAGAGACTAATATATGTAAACAACGCAAAAAGATGAACAACTTTTTTCTGGGTAGTGTAGTATTTGAGTTATATATACTGCCAACTCTCCTTGGGCCATATGTTGAGCCCATTTTGAGCCCACTCTATCGACTTCTTTCCTTAGCCCGTTTTCAGCCCTTCCTCTTTCCGTTACGAATTGGAAGTAGGGTTCCAGCGGTCGGAATCATGACCGTTATATATACTGCCACCTTCCTTCTTCTCGAGGGGGTTCTCATTTATCTCATCAAAACTAAAATTTGATGAGATAACATTCTTTTAATTGGGGTGATTTTTAATTGACGTGTAGCATCCTTCCGAATTTTTTTTTTGTCTTGAATTATTAGACCCTTCAAAATAAATATTAGGCGGAGTTTGACGAAGACGTAGTTGAGAAATTACATATGGAACTGCTTCATGTAAGTTGTGTTATTACCTACCGTACTAATGAGATTTTTCCGCCCCAATAATAAATTTAGTTTTCTTTAAATGTTTAACTGATCCGTCAGCCACTTACCGATATTAAACATTATCGTTGACTACATATAGGATGAAGTCAACGGAAGTAGATTGCAGCGACTAATAATGAAACAAAATGTTAAAGTCTGAAACACTACTCTACTACTTCTCAAGGAATTCGGATAAGGCTTTCAATTTATTTATAAGGGGCGCTCCGTCGGGAAGATAGGCGTTTTAGTTTTCCTATCGTTCGTCATGTCGCGAAAAAGGAAGCGCGGCCACCGCGAAGAAGCAGAAAAGGCGAAGGAAACCGATCGAATGAGCCATCTGTCCGAAGACATTCTGCTTCACATCCTTTCCTCACTCGACGACACGAAAACCGCTGTCCAAACCTGCAGCCTTCTCTCCAAAAGGTGGAGATACATGTGGAAAGACGTTCGTGCCCTCAACCTCGACCAGAACTCCTTCACTTCGCGCGAGCGTTACACAACATTCGTACGCAACTTTCTCTCCTCCCGGTCCGACCGGGCACCCATCGACAAGCTCAGCTTCACCTCCAACCCGAGCCAGAATTGGCGATCATCATCTGGTTTTGATCACCGCTGGGTGGATCACATTCACAAGTCGCTCGAAATGTTCATGGACCACGCCGGTCGAACCGGTCCTGATCATTACCGCCCGCTAAGGGTTTTAGCCAACATGGTCGCTTCCATCGTTTGTCACAAGCATCACGAATCTCTCGAGCTGACCGGTTTCACCGACGTGATTCAGGAAGGCGGTGGTGGCGGCTTCAGAACGCTGAAGGCTCTCTCGTTGGCTTGCTGCCGCGACGTCGACCTCGGCGTGGTTTCGCGCTGCCTACCGAATCTGACCTCTTTGGTGCTGAGTCACGACGAGCTGATTTTTCACGACGACGACGACGATCCCTTCTCGATCATTCCTCGTTTGGAATTCTTGAAGATAAACCAATGCCGTGCGTCGACTCGCTCGACCACGCTGCCGTCGTTCTCGTTCAAGGTGTCGGGGCCCCAGCTGCTGGAACTGGAGATTCGTTGTTGGGATGAGGAGAAGCCGGTTTTCGGCGGAGTGTTGGCTCCAAAGCTCGAGTCTCTCTGCTTCGGTGCTCGCGTGAGTTGGTTGAAACCACGCGAGTTGAGCCTTCCTTCGCTCGACCACGCCAGTGTTTACCTCCAGTACTGCCCAACAACGCACGGCGACTTGGGATATTGGAGGCATGAGGTCTTGGAATTGCTTCGCGGTCTGCGTAACGCGGAGTCTCTCGACTTGTGTTTGGAAGACACGTCTGTGTACCTGCCACATGATTCTCCCTTGAATGAATGGAAGCAAAGGATCCGGGATGAAGTCTCTCAATTCACCAGATTAAAGACCTCGAGCATTCGATACCCACATGAATCAGCTGACCCCACCAGCACGAAGGGAGAATGACTGTATATAGGAGGAAAAATAATGTTGATGCATTATGAAAAAGGCATGGTGTAGCTTTTTGTTGGAATTTAGACATTCATAAGTAGTTGTGCTAGTCTCAGCACTTGCTTAGAAGATTTACATTGATAAGCCACAAAGGAAATTTTAAGTATTTGGGTGAGGTTGATGTAATTTTATTAGGTGCTTGTTTTCCTGTTTTCATTATGAATTTTTAGTGAACTTGTAGTTCAAATTACCAAACACGAATTATGAATCATAAATATATATTCTTTATTTATATTCCCTTTAGGGAGGTTCAAAGACAAATTTTTTATTTTAGATATGAATCATATTTTACTTTTCGTCCAAACAACCATTTCCTCTTGAACGGTTACGTAATTGCTGGGGTTGTTTGAAATTTCCCTATTACTGACATTACAACACATGCGTAGCATCCGTCGATTGTTCTAATTTATCTCATCAAAACTATATCATCGTTCCGATTTTTTTGTCTCGAGTTATTAGACCTTTAAAATAAATCTTAGACCGCGAGTATGACAAAGATGTACTCAAGAAATTACATGTGGAACGGTTTCATGTAAGTTGTGTTATCAACTACTGTACTAATGAGATTTTTTTCCTTCCCAATAATAAATTTAGCTTTCTTTAAATTTTTAATTGATCCATATCAGTCGCTTAACAGTTAAATATTATCGTTGACTACGCATAGGATGAAGTTAACGGAAGTACACCGCAGTGATCGATAATGAAACAAAAGGTTAAAGTCACCCACCAATAAAAAGGAAAAAAATTGTAAGTAACAAAGGTGGAAAAAAAAAATAATGGACCGAGTTATCGTGCGCAATTCACCGGAGAAATTCAAAGATAAATAGCCCAATTTCTGAAACACTACTCACTACTCTACTACTCCTCAAAGAATTCGGATAAGGCTTCCACGGTTAAAACTCAATTTATAAAGGGCGCTCCGCCGGAAGATAGCGTTTTCGATTTTCCTATTGTTGGTCATGTCGCGAAAAAGGAGGCGCGGCCACCGCGAAGAAGTAGAAGCGGATCGAATAAGCCATCTCTCCGACGACATTCTGCACCACATCCTCTCATTACTCGACGACACGAGAACCGCCGTGACAACCAGCCTTCTCTCCAAAAGGTGGAGACACCTGTGGAAAGACGTTCGTGCCCTCAGCCTCGACCAGAACTCCTTCTCTTCGCGTGAGCGTTACACAACATTCGTACGCAGCCTTCTCTCCTTCCGGTCCGACCACGCAACCATCGACAAGCTCAGCTTCACTTCCAGCCGGTTCGATTTTCACGACCACCACGGATCGGATCACGACTCGTTCGACTTGGTCATGGACTACGCCGGTCGAACCGGTCGTGACCATGACCGCACTTGCTTAATTATTAGACAATTACTAGGTTTACATTGATAGCCCATAAAGGAAATTTCAAGTATTTGGATGATGTCGATATATACACACACTTGCATCCTCGTCTTGATTTGTTCTTCCGCTTTTTTATATGTTACCACTCATGATCGAAGAATTAATGTTGTCAAAATCGAACCGGAATATAAACAACATACATGATATTTTCGTTTGTCGATGTTCGGACCTTTGGTAAGTCAGATGGTATTATATTGGTACGAGCATATTGTAACAACATCCACACTATAAAAAATAAGAGCATACACAAAACCGAGACCAAAACGTTCACAGGAGACCAGGCTGCAACTAAACCAACCATCGACCCTTTCGGGATTACAATATAACATTGAGCAAAACCACATGACCGAACGGATAGTAGTTTAAAAAAAAAGCACGATTATTATGAGTCTCCGACAACAAAGATAAAGAAGGAACACACAAACATACTAAAATGTTTACAGATTGAATTGTCAAAGTCATTAGTCCCAAACCTAGACAAAAATTTCAGCGGAAAGTACCTGAAAATTGCATCAATGATTTTCTTGATAAATAATTGCCATTCGCCAATCGTATTGGGCCTATTAAGTACTAGCGTGGGCCCCGGCCATTTGGCCGGAGGAAGGTGAGGTATGAAATTTGATAATGTAATGGAGTGTATAGCTTATTGTTGTATAGTTGCTTTTGGAAAACGCGTGATAAAAATAGTGAATTTTAGTAGGAAAAAGACATGAATGATGCAACGAATCAAAAATCAGCATTATGAACCAAAATCAAGTACCTATTACCTCGTGAAACAATATTGTTTCTAGTAATATGATGAGGTAGAGTAAGTTTTATAGAAACCAAATTCCAGAAAATCGAATAAAAAATCGCCTATCCCGACGGTTTTCGGGAAATGAGCATCTCACAATCGTTGCTAGCTTTTACTCGGCCCGTTGGCCGATTAATTTGCTTTATAAAACTTTCAACTTGTCATCATTGTGCTTTCTTGTTTTTTGCCAAGCCATGATAAAATCTAAAGAAATCAAGAATGAACAACAAACACGATTTGGGATATGAACCATTGTTCCTGTATCCCTAGAAAATGGTGGTAAACACGGACTCACCTGCCAAACTGGTTTGGATTGAGATTTTTATCGGGTATCAGGGAACCATGTGATTATAAATTAGACTTGATCAAAACGGGCCAAAACTTGAAATTCAGCATGTTTGACCGACCCATGCCAAACTCTAGTTATTCTTTACTTTTAAACTTTCTATTTGAAAATAAAAAATAATGAAAGAAAAGAGATCACTGCAATTCACCATATGCACATCACTGATTCGGGAATAAAACTATAGAATTTCGAAAGGGAACTGAAAATGTTTAGGATCGTTTTAATGTTAAAAATAACCAAATAGATCTTTCTGTTTAGTTTTTTTTACTAACAAATACCAAACGATTCTCTATAATATACACTATAATTTAATCATTATGATATCAAATAATTACATAATATATATTTGAAATGATAAAAATTGGACTAATTGGGTTGGTCGAGGTTGAACCATTGAATAACTTTAAAATACATTATATTTTAGCCACTAAGATATAAAATAATAGCATAATCTATATCATGCTAGAGAAAATAGCTTGTTTTAGAATGGCAAACCCATGATGTTCATTTGTTTTACTTGATGGGCAAATCCCGTGTAGGTCAGGCCCATTCAACTCTTTTATTTTATGATTAGCGGTTAGCCCATTAGAATCCATGTATTAGTTTATTGTTAAATTTTTTTCTTTTTAGCAAAAAAATGAGTATTGTTTTTGCCTTTTCATATATATTTTACCACCACGGAGAAATTAAAGGACTTAAAGTAAAAAATTGACACTCCTAGACCCGTTTAAATTCGCATGTGTACGGTAAGTTGGCTCGTTTCACAGAGGAAAAAGAAAAAAATTGACACTCCCTATTCTACCCTTCCTACAAACGCTCCTGGAGTAGAGAATTTGAAATAGGGAAAGGGTTTTTTCCTCTCTACGATTATATGTTTTTAATTTAAAAAGAAACAACAAATGTATTTAGTGTGATTGGTTATGATCTTTGCTTTTCTTTAAAGTGGTCATGGTTCGAATCCTAGTAAGTGTCTTTTTAATGAATAAAAAAAAGTAATTGTGAAGACCAAAATGTCCTTCCTACTTTCACTCTCGATGCAGGAAATTTGAAATGGGGCTTCAAATTTTCTCATTTGGCTTTTATTTATTGTGTAGATTAAGCTTAACTGCTTAAGCCTTAAGCCCACTTTGAAAGCCACCGGTAAGCGGCGCTTTTGTCTACCTCTAATATCGAGAGCTACCTCGGATCGGATTAGGGTTTCACTGCGTGTTAAAGTCAGAACATAGTCACGACGACTGCGAAGAAAGCAGAAGCTGAGGAAATAATAATGGATGGAGTAAGCAACCTTCCCGACGACATTCTGCTCCACATCCTTTCCTTCCTCGAGGACTCGAAAAGCGCCGTCCAAACCAGCGTTCTCTCCAGGCGGTGGAGGCACTTGTGGAAAGACGTTTCTGCCCTCCACCTCGACCAGAACTCCTTCTCCACGAGGGAGCGCTGCCGAACCTTTGTACGCAACTTCCTGTCCCGACGGTCGACCCGCCTCGACAAGGTAAGCTTCACCACCAATCACACGGAAGAGACTGGCAAATTCCTCTGGTCCGACCACGAGCCGGAGTCGCTCGGCATGGTCCTGGCCTACGACGGTCGGACCGGTCCCGACCACGACCCGAGCCGCCGCCGCCTCCTACGTCTACGTGCGTCCCTCGGCCATCGCGGATCCCTCGAGCTGTTCGATTGCTTCGCCGTCGAGCTCGGCGTGGTTTTGAGGAGGTGCTTCGGAGCGCTGACCACCTTGGAGCTGCGTCACTGCCTGATGACGTTCGACAACGATGGAGGCGGCGATCCTTTTGCTGCCCTTCCTCGTTTGAACTGCTTGAAGCTGCTCGACTGTCGTGTCCGGCGGCCGCGCCGGTGCCGGCGGTTCAAGGTGTCGGGGCTCCAGTTGCGGGAACTGGAGATTCGTCATCACATGGCGGACGACGACGACGACGACAGTCTTGCGGTGAGCGAGGTGCTGGCTCCGAAGCTCGAGTCGTTCTGTTGTACGGGGCGCGTGAGCCGGGTTGAGAGGCTCCGCGAGTTGGACTTTCCTTGTCTTGTTCGCGCTAGCGTACACCTGACGTACTGTTCCGAGCGTGTGGCGATGGGTTGGGTGAGTAACGTGACGATGCGGCTGGTGCGTGGTTTGCGTAGTGCAGAGTCTCTCGACTTATGTTTGAAAGATATGGTACGTACGTACCTACAATCTCTTGCTGCGCTCTTCCGTGATTGGATTGACTAATCAAGTGCTTTTGGATTGTGTGTTTTCCTCTAATTTGTCAGTCTGGTCAAGGCACATGTAGGTCGCCCTTGGGGGCGATGATCCGGAATGAAGTCTCTCGATTTACTAGAATAAAGAATTTCAGGTCTGCGATACCCACACCAAAGCACCTGACTGATTAGCTAGTTGGTAAATCATTGCCATTAATCAAATCTTAGTCTTATATTGTGTGTGTGTGTTTTTCCCCCCAGGTTGGAAGTACCCATAAGTCACCACCAGTCACCCCTGGAAACAAGGCTACGGAGTAAAGTCTCTCGATATCAAATGAGAAATGATGAATTTTTTTAGTGTTTGATATCCACATCAAACACGTGTCTCGACTAGCTACCGAGGAGATTGAACGATACCCTAGATCCTCGAAAACGTTCTTTGTACTCGGAGTTTAGACATTCATCCTTTTTGTTAATTAGTTTCGGCACTTTGCTTTGTTCAATATCCATAGGCACCATTTTGCTTTAATCTAAAGATGTCAAGGTGGAGTTGTTCTTCAAGAGATCTGTCTGTTGCTTGATTCAAATGGGGAAGTGTTACTCTTCGATTTGTTGGTCGTGATAGCAATCGGGGTGGAGCTCATTTAATGACTCGTCACGTTCAGTTTTTTTATCTTCCATTTGGGTTCGACTTGATTTCTATTTGTCCTATCCTCTTTTATAAAGTGATCGATTGGCAAAAAAAATAGTTTGTTAGAAAATGCTTCATAACTCACATGCTACACTACCAAAAAAAAAAGTTGTTATCCTTTTGCGTTGAGTTACCTGCTTCAGCTCAGCGAGGTACTTCCTAGCAAGTTTGGTTGCATGTGGCCGATCTGATAGCTCCTTATATCTGAATATAGACAAATCAGTTTGCCGAATGCTTAACGTGATTATTTCTCAGGGAAATATGTATTCATCCCCATCCAAAGTAGGAATAGTTCTCACCGGAAAAATATTGGGTCACCAATGGTTTTCAAAGAAGGATATATGAAGATCCACAAGACGAGGATGAAGACTCGAAGAAACGAGCAGGCAAGCAGACAAAAGAGTACAAGGAGAATGCTAAGCAAAATGCCAGCATCTTGAGAATTATTCAGCAAGTAGTGAGAAAATCTATTTGCCCAAGAATCTATGGCATCAAAAAAGGCCAAAGAAGCTTGAGATGTCTTACGTAAACAATTTCAAAGTTTTGAAAAGTCGATCTCCATCCGGCGTCAAAGTTTACACGCATGGACTAGTGCATGGTAATTAAATAATTGTCATTTGCTAATCGTATTGGGCCTATTAAGCCCATTTTCTACCTCTAATATCCAGAGCGACCTAGAGGGTTAGGGTTTCAATGTAGGAAGTCATAACTCAGGCTGCTAACCGTCGCCATCAATTTCTCAGGGAGCTTCAGGCGGAAGATAGTTTTATTTTCTTCCTTTGATCGTTATGTCACAGCCAAGTAGCGGCGGCGACGGCGAAGAAGAAGTAGCCGCGGAGGAAATCGGTCGAGTCGGCAATCTCCCCGACGACATCCTGCATCACATCCTTTCCTTACTCGCCGACACGAAAACCGCCGTCCAAACCAGCCTTATCTCCAAGAGGTGGAGGCACCTGTGGAAAGACGTTCCTGTCCTCAACCTCGACCAGAACTCATTCCCCAGTGGTGAGGGTTACAGAACATTCGTACGCAACCTGTTGCACCACCGGTCGAACCAGACAACCATCGACAGGCTCAGCTTCACTGCCCGCGGGATGGACATCGAATCGTTCCACATGGTTCTGGACCACGCCGGTCGAACCGGTCGGCTACTACGGGCTTTATCCGTCAGGCATTCCTGCGTCGTCAGTCGTTACAGGAACATGGTCGCGTCCATCGTGCGTCACAAGCTTCACGAATCGCTCGAGGATCTCGAGCTGACCGGCTTCCGCATCGTCGTAGATCACGACGTGATTCAGGGCGGCGGATTCAGAATGCTGAAGGCCCTCTCGTTGACTGTCTGCTTCAGCGTTGACCTCGGCGTGGCTTTGAGCTGCTTCGGCGGCGGGATGCTGACCACCCTGGAGCTGCGTGGCTGCTGGCTGAATTTTTACGACGGAGATGACGATCCTTTTGCTGTGCTTCCTTGTTTGAAAAGCTTGAAGCTGCTCGATTGCCGTATGACGGTCCGGTCAACGTCCTTGGTTGGTTTCAAAGTGTCGGGACTCCAGTTGCGGGAATTGGAGATTCGTTACATGTTCCTAATAGGTAGTTTTGCGGTGAGTGAAGTGTTGGCTCCGAAGCTCGAATCGTTTCGTTGTACGGGGCTTGTGAGTCGGATCGAGGGACTCCGCGAGTTGAACTTTCCTTCTCTTGTTCGTGCTAGCGTACGCCTGGTGTTCTATTCAGAGCGTATGACAAAGGAATGGGCAAGTAATGTAACGTTGCGCTTAGTGCGTGGTTTGCAGAATGCAAAATCTCTCAAGTTATGTTTGGAAGATAGGGTGCGTACAGGTTTTCTCTCGCTCTCTCGATTGGATTGAGGAAGCTATTTGGCAAATCACTGTCATTGACTAATCTTCGTGTTTTGGATTTTGTTTTCTTTCGTCAGTCTGAAAGCACATATTGGCAGTCACGCTTTTGCGACATGGAGGCATTGATAAGAAACGAAGTCTCTCGATTCACCGGACTAGATGATTTCAGGTTCCGATATTCACACCGAAACACCCTACTGATAAGCTAGTTGGTAAATCATTGGCATTAATCAACCTTAAGCTTTTACTGTATGTGTGTTTCTCTTTTCAGTCTGGAAGTACTCTTCGGTCATCCTTACACAAGACGGAAACAATCACTCGGAATGAAGTCTTTCGAATTACCAGAGCACGTATTAGAGACTTCGCGGGGCTTGATTTCCAAAGCAAACACCTAACTCAACTAGCTAGCAAGGAGATCGCGAACCGTATAGTAGATCCTCGACTAGTATATATTGTACATGTTCAGTGACGAGAGGGAAAGAAAGATACATGGAAGGTTCCTCTAGAAAACATTTCCTCATACTTGGGGTTTAGACATTCATCCTTTTTGTTGCTTTCCACGCTTGGTTTATCGTATGTTATGGGCACAATGCTACCACTTTAGATTAAAATATTCGGGTGAGTTTACTATAATGTGTTTTGTGGCTTTACTGTAATTGGGCCCGCGATCTTTATACCCTGTGAACCAACCGAAACTGGGCCAAAAGTTATTGGCCCATTTGCCGCACTAGCTCCAAATAGGGCTTTCTGTCTGTTCCTTTTCCGCGACGGCGGCGACGATCCTTTCGCCGACCTTCCCCGGCTGGAATGCTTGAAGGTGATCAACTGCGTATCGACCTCGCGGGTCGTGAAAGTATCGGGTCTCCGGTTACCGAGCCTACAGATCGACAACGCTGACGGTTTCGGGATCGGCGAATTGTTGGCTCCAAGGCTCGAGTCATTCTGTTACTCGAGCTGCGTGGTCCGTTTGCTTGAACTCCGCCCGTTGAATCTTCCTTCCCTTGGTCGCGCCAGTGTCCGACTGAAGCACATCTGTGGGCTCTCGGACGAGCAGGCTCGTCGTGCGGTTATGAGTTTACTGCGTGGTTTGTGTAACGCAAAGTCTCTCAGACTTATGTTTCGAAGATATGGTATGTCATTTTTTTTTATTTTTGATACATTGGCAATGTTAGGTTTGATAAATTGTTGGATTTCATGCACTTCAATTGTGTTTTCTCTTATCAGCTTCGGAGGTCGGAAAACTCTCCCTTAATTAATACGATAAAACTGATGATCGACGAGCAACTCTCTCAATTTACGAGGCTGGAGACTTCAAGGATTCGATGTTCTTGACTCGTCTCTCTTGGCAGAAGTTCGGTAGATTTATGGCAATGGCCGGCATCAACCTTTGGTAGATTCGATAGTGGAGCATTTTTTTTGTTTGGGATAAGACATTTTGAAACAATAAAGGAATACATGAGCCTTTACTTAACAGAAATACTCTAGATTGGATCATATTGAATAAAATGTGGTGCATGATTGTGTTTGGTTATTATTTTTTCAGTCATTTGTATTACGATCGTATTTAACTCGATTTATGTCATATCATAGATCGCTCCTAACAAAAAGTTAGATTGAATTTGATGTTGAGGTGGGTTTCAAATTTTTGGCCATATGTGTTTTATCTTAAAATCATAATTATTAATCATTTGATTCGCTCATTAATCCTACTACATAAAACGATTATTGAATGGTGTAGCTTTGTACTACATGGTACTACTTAATATAATAAGTATACAAATCATACTTACTCATGCTTACAAACTAAAATAATCCAACTCAATTATTAACGAAGAATGTAGCTAAAAACAACTTATTCACAAATAAAATATCAAACTAGTAAAAATTGTTCCTCTATTTTCTTGTTCTTATTTTCTATAAATAAGAATTTCGTAGCTAAAATTAACCAATGGATTCGATTTCGATTAGATATTACCTGCGAAATAGATCTACTTGCCCCAATTGTAACATTTATATTTTCCATCGGCTGGAGTACGCCTGCACGGCCCAGATTGTTTGACTTCCCATTCACAAATTTTGCAGTGCAACCAATCCCTCGTCTGTACGTAGATATCAAACCAATGTACCCCGCCGCCATTTTGCCACTCGAACGAACAGTAAAACAGTGTCTTGAAAAATATGTTCGGATTGAACTCGAATTGAAAGCTCTGGCGATATCCTAAAACTCTAACTCCAAGATCGTCGTCCTTTGACTTGCAATGAAACTTCAACATCGCACCCTCAGTGTTGGTAATTCTCACCATCGCCTTCGCCCACCATCCTCCGATGATCTCTTGCGGATGATTTGCTTTTAAAACGACATCTTCGTTCATGGCTCCGACGGCCGCGACTAGGAATACGAGTATCGCGATTTCCCTTCTCATCATCCTCGTGATTGAATTCATCCTCCCAACGTACCGTGGTGGTATGAGAATATTACACTTGTTATTGTGATCATATATATACATATAGGTGAAGATGTGGGGTTTTTTAAATCAACTCATCTCCCAATGTGACATAAATTCCGGTAATTTTAGTTTGATTCCGTTACTCGTGGAGTAGTGACAAATCTATTCTTCCTTTTCTAATCTTTCTCCTTGACTGTTGTTTCATTTTCCTGAAATTTATAATTATTTGCATTGTTTTACCGATTCTTTCTCCTGTCACCTATAAAGCTAAATAATCGCGAACATTTCGTTCCAGACTAACATGTGTATACATAATTTCCATTACCATAGAATCTTGTTTTAGCAAAGTGCAAGATTCAATGTCAATAATACACAATTTGATAACGTCTCATTATAAAATAAACAAGATTCTCGATAACACTCACCTCGTCTATACAGGACCGCATGGTACTGACTCGATCTTCGGATATGATCTTACTAAACCAATTATAATGCGGTTCGGTTATTACTCTCATAAATTTTATAACAACTGAAGTAAAACGAATCTAATTTACATTTGGATCGGACTAAATAGACCAAATAGAATGATGGTCCGATCCTTGGTCCTAATCTATCTTTCACTAATAGACCACAATTCTTCTGAGTTTGATTGGATTGGACCGTTGCACATCCCTAATGGACGCTGATGAACACTTCTAAGTATTTCAAACGCCTATTTGGTGTAACTTGAAAGTTGAAGGTCCATTGTTGGGAAACATACAAATTTCGGTGGTGCATTTGCAGGAGTAAACACAAAAATATAAATGACTCCTTCCACCCCCAATTCAAAGAAGCGCGAAGAGAAAAACTTCTATCGATTAACCGTCTCTCGGTCTCTGTCAACTGTCAAGGCATCACCACCTCAGTCTTACTTCCTGATCCCTGTCTCCGCCATTGATGAAGATCACCAGGTACTTCTAATTAACGCTACGAACTTCTTACAAAATGAGTTTGCAAATTGTTTTCGCTCGAATGCCGACGGTGGTGGTAGGGCTGCTACTTCTACAGAAGAGCATGCAGAGTTCTAATCGCTCAATTGGGTATTCGTTATCTTTGGTGAATTTCAGTGGGTTCCTTTTACTTTTAGATTTCGTACTCTGGTGGTCCAGAGATTCGTGGCCAGCAGCCTACTGATTGTTAGTGAAAAGTTTTCGTTCACTGTTTCGGTGATCAGATTTCGTAACCCTAGAATGCATTCATGGTTGTTGGTGACTGTCAGATTCAAAACTTGGAATCCGTGTAGGGTCTGCGCATGGAACAATGTGGGCAGGGGTTCGTCGCTATTGTTATATTATGCTTACTACTTCACAGGGGAATCTAGGCAATTTAAGTCTGTCAGCATACGTCTTGCCTTTGGTTCTGATTTACAAGATTGGTTTTGGGTTTCTTATCCTTTCGGGTGTAGCATGTTATTAGCTCTTGATTTCTACCCTATTTATTAAGTATGCTCTTCATGTATCTCAGGGTAGAAGTCACAAGAACCTTGTCTGGTTGGCTGCTGTAAAGGAAGTTGTCATAATTTGGAGTTAGATTGTTAGTTTACGGGGTAAGTAGCCAGTAGCCAACACCTCCTTCAACTAAGTCCACCTTAAATCTCTTTAATGTCATCCCTGCTTGCAATCTTATAATTTCAACAGTTTTGGAGAACTGGAGAAAGATATGGCTGGAAATTCAAGGACAGGCAAGAGACACAAGACGAGCCATGTAGTTGAAGATGTTGCTTCGCTGAGCGATTTTCCTGACGAAATTCTCCATCACGTTCTCTCCTTCGTGGATACCAAGTCTGCAGTTCGAACCGGCCTTTTGTCAAAGAGATGGACAAGTTTGTGGAAAGATGTTCCGGTCCTAAATTTCGTCCCAAAATCGTTCCTTACGTTAGCGAGTTTCAGGAAGCATGTATACAGGCTCTTGTCTTTCCGCTCCCACCGTACCCCTGTTCGTGACGTTAACTTTGACGTCTGTGGATATACGAGGAACGAAACGGGGGGCCATATTAGGAAAACAATTGGACAGATCATGAAATATGCTTCATCTCATAGCGGTGGTGGTCTTGACCATCTGTCCATCACTGGTGACAGCAAGAATTTGTGTTTCAGCTACTTTGCTGACGACATCTCCACTGGCAGTCATCATGCATCTCTCAAGAGTATGAAACTGGAGGAATGCATTCTCTGGTGTGTCCAATTTGATGACCCGGTCTACAAATCCTCTACGACTCTGGGGTTCAAATTGCTTACAACTCTGGAATTGCGTAAATGCAATCTGTCATCTTTTTGTCCTATGGGGCCCTTTGATTTGATTGGTGATCTTCCTTATTTGAAGCACTTGAAGTTGCTCCACTGCTATGTAGAGTGGTTGATAATATCAGGACCTCAGCTGCTTGACCTTGAAATTGAGTTTCTAGAGAACAACTGCTCTTATGAAGTGATTGCTCCGAAGCTCAAATCTTTACGTTTATGGGGTGAACGCATGGGTGAACCCATTGATGAACATATCAGCAAAGAGTTGAGTCTCCCTGCCCTGGATGATGCAAATATCTGCCTCAAGTGGCACAATCCACATTGTTGGGAGAGTGACACATATTTGGAGGAGCAGAATCGTGCATTCATGAATTACTTAGGTGGCCTGCATAATGTTGAATCTCTAAACCTGTGTTTCGACAAGGTATGAGTTTTCTGTTGTTTGAAAATTGAAAGCAATGCTTATGAGTACTTTTGCTAATGCACAGCTAAGGTATATTAGTCAGGCCATAGAGTTCTGGTTTTCTAAAGTGTATATGACTGCCTGCTCGAGAATAGGGCTTGCTGCTTTTACTAAAGTGCTTGCTTGCCTTAGGCATATTATTCAGTCCCTAGAGTTCTGGTTCTGATACATTGTTGTGTTTCCATATCAGGAAGGGGATGAGGATTGGGAAGAACACCACTTTCCTCTTAACAGAATTAAGTCTATAGTCGAGCACCAAGCCCCTCCCTTCACTAGATTGAAGACCTTGAGGATACAATGTGCGCATCAACAACGCCCGCCAAACGTACCTTATCAAGTGCTTCGCTATTTTCTTGAAGGCTCTCCGAACGCGGAAGATAAGTTTGTGAAGCTTGAGATGCTTGCTGATTAAAAAGGGTCATAGTGGTTTTATACTTTCACATGATGTAAAAAACTGTCAGTAGTCATGTTCTCTAGTAGTATATATGGTGATGGCCATAGTAGTTCTCTGATGCGTTATGTCGATATCGATATAATCAGTAGTGCCCAAAGTAGTTTCCTCCTTTTGCTAGGGCGAATATGCATTGCTTATCTTGAGCTATCTAGTCTGGTTTCTGGCTTCTACTTACCAGTCTCTTTTGCTTTTCCTTTTCTGATGCAGTATGTATGACCTACTATCTTTTGTTTGATCAATGTAAAGGGTTATTTGAAAATCGCGATTGTGAAATCGTATACTTATGTAGCAAATTTGTGAGGTTAGCGCTTTGAGGTATAAATAGATGCATGCTAACTAGACTGCAAAAGTTGGTATAATATCCTGATAAAACATGCATCATTTTATGGTCGGTGCATTCTGGTATCACAAACAATGGATAAACACTCACAAACCATTTCAGTTGTGACCATTTTCTTAAAAGTTAAAAAGTTGGGTACCCAAAAGTTAAGTGACCATTACTGCAATATAAATACCACATTCCCATATAAAACCAGCGGGCCAGCGGCAGAAGGGGTCACTCTTTCTCAGTTCTCACACGGTCACTCTCCTAAGTGTGCTTGTAGCTTCTGCATGGTTTGGTGCCTGGAAACAATTCCTGATTGCTAATTCCCCCGCCATTGTTAAAGAGCTCCAGGGTACGCATTGTTTGCTCATCTTCTAATTGACGCCGTTTAGCTCTCTGAAAATGTATCTGCTGTTGTTTCCATCCAAATCCGCATGCAATAGTATTTTGTGTTGTGAGCCCCAAGTTCTCGATTTGTTCTTCACCTTGATTTATGATTTCCGAACTTACCATGTCCATGTCTTACTTCGATTCATGATAATAGGTGGTTTCTGAACAATACCACGTTTGTAGATTGTTGCATGCTATCTGTCATTATTTCACCACTTATATGATTGAACTGTGCTATTCCCCTGCTGTGCTTCATATCTGTTTCTGGAAAAGGGAGGAAGATAATGGCTGGGAGTTCACAAGAGTCCAAGAAACTCAAGAGGATCCATGCAGTTGACAGACTGAGTGGTCTTCCTGACAGCATTCTCCATCACATCCTCTCGTTCCTCGATACGAAATCTGTGGTTCGAACGAGCCTTCTGGCGAGGAGGTGGAGATGTTTGTGGAAACATGTTCCCGCCCTCAATTTTATACAGACGTCCTTTCCTAACTTGTCCAGTTTCACAAAGCATATAAACAAGGTCTTGTCTCTCCGCTTTCAAACGATCCCTGTTGGCAGCATCACCTTCGACATCTGTGGAGATAAGTGGGGAGGTGCTATGAAAACATTTGAAAAGATCATGAAATATGCTGACTCTCATGGTGGTGGTCTTTACCACTTGTCCTTTGTCGATGACAAGTTCCAATTTGAAATCGGAGGGATCTCTGATGTCATTGCCGCTTCTCATTGTAATGAATCTGTCAAGACACTCATGTTTAGGAAATGCACTCTCAAGAGAGAATTTGGTTGGCGCTTCAACTTGCTTACAACTCTTGAGTTGTGTCAATGCCGCCTGGACCCTTATCCTGTTGGGGAGCTCTTTGATCCGTTTGCGAATCTGCCTTGTCTGATGTACCTGAAGCTACTCCACTGCATTTTATATTCTAGTGGCTCTAGGGTTATGATATCAGGACTTCAGCTGCTTGACCTTAAAATCGAGTGTCTCAACTTCAACGGCGTCTATGAAGTGACGGCCCCAAAGCTCAAGTCCTTATGTTTATGGAGTTATGACTTTGAGCGACGTCTCCCCATTTTGAATCTCCCCGCTCTTGATCATGCAAACATCCGTCTTGGTTGGTTTGTACCATACCGTAATGCAGGATCGAAAGAGGACAGTGCAGGATCGAAAGAGTACAATCGTGCTTTTATGAAGTTTTTGCAAGACCTGCAGAATGCAGAATGTCTCCAGCTACGTTTCAACAAGGTATGAACTTGCTTCTCTATGCAATTTGCACTTTTATTAATGCAAATGTGAGTTTACAAGGTAGGGTGATTGTGGCTATACATACCGATGCCACATCAGAATTGCCTGTTTATATAAGTGCTTGCCTGCAGTAGTCAATCCCCATAGTTTGGTTTCGATACACCATTGTGTTTTTCGTATCAGATCAGGGATCGTCATGGAGAAGAGCACCGCCACTTTCCCCTGAACAGAATTAAGGAGTTAATAGGGCCAGAATCCCCTCCTTTTACCAGGATGAAGTCCTTGAGGGTACAATGTGCGGGTCAAAAGAAACTTCCAAGCATACATTATGAAGTGATTCGTTACTTTTTTGAAGGCTCTCTCAGCACGGAAGAAAAGTTCATTCAGCTGGAGCTGGTTAATGAAAAGCGGTGCTGATTTTACGTTGTCAAGTGCTGTCAAAACTAGTATTAGCAATATCGTCAAGTTGCATGCAGGACGGTCATGCTGCTAGGAGGATAGGAATCGGATGATGTATTTTGCTGCTACTGATCTTGTCATGAAGGCTGGTATTTTGTAGGCAGCTTTGTCTAAGGCCATATTAGACAGTGGCGTGCTTGTTTTTCCCCCCCTATTTTGTACAGAACATGTTGTGATCTTTAACCAAAAACACCACCATGCTGAAACCTGAAATAGCAGAGCCATGTAAAAGACCTTCTGCTACTTCTCTTTGTGTAGGCTTCTGTTTGAATGTATATAAATCACAGCTAGTGCTGCTTCCTTTCTGATTATCCGTAAGTAACCAATGTTCACATATGCTTCAATGGGCTACTTTGGTTGTGCATATTTTCCTCTTTCTGCCGAGAAGCATGGCTCTGTTCTTCTGGTTAAGTTGCTGCATCAATGCATGATGCATCCTAATCTGGTTAAATGGCCATTCTGTTTAAAGTCAAAATTTTCGAGACCCAAAGAGTTGAATCACCATTTTGTTTAAGAGTCATAATTTCCGTAACCAAAAGTTAAGGGACCATTTCTGCAATTGACCTCGGCTATAAATACCACCTCCCCGCCCGAAGGAAGCTCACTCTGTCACTTTCCCAACTGTGCTCGTGGCTTCTGCATGGTTTGGTAGCGGGAAACGAAAAGACTCTTCCTCTCCCCCCGCCATTGCTGAAGAGCTCCAGGGTACGTATTGTTTGCTCTCCAGAAAAATGAATCTGCTATCGTCTTCCTTCCATATCCGATTCTCTTTCTTCTGTTAGTTTTCCAATTTGGTAGTACGTTGATTTCTTCCTTCCGATTTCCGAGCTTCTTTCCATGTGCTATTTTTTTTTTTACTTCGACTCCTTCGAAGAGGCGTGTTACTGAGCAATACCCAGTGTATCTAAATTGAAGCATGCTATCTCTTCGTGATTTCACCGTATCGATGATTGAATTTGGGACGTACGTGTTAGGGTTTCATCTTCTGAACTTCCCCTGCTAATTGTCGATTCGTTTTCTCGGCAGAGCTAGACGTCCGTTTTAACTATCCAGAGGAGAAGTAGCTCTTGTGGTCGGTATGGCGAGGAAAATAAGCTGTGTTCTCTATGAAGGAACCGACAGATTCAACGATCTTCCTGACGACGTTCTGCATCACATTCTCTCTTTCTTGAAGGATGCAAAATCCGCGGTTCAAACCAGCATCCTGTCGAAGAGGTGGAGATGCATGTGGAAAGGCGTCCGAGCCCTCCACCTGCGGGAAGCCTCCTTGAGGATGCGTTTCGAAACATTTGTACGCAACTTCCTGTCCCTCCGCTCCCGCCATGCCACCCTAGATAACGTTAGCTTCAGTTACCGGAAGGTAAAGGAGGGTAGGTCAGTGGAAGAGGATTTTAAATTGTTTGATATGGTGTTGGGATACGCTGCTGGCCTCCGAGTTCTGTCCATCAGGCATCTGTATTCATATGGCTTCAACCCCATGGCTGAATCCATCATGAGTCACCGTCATCACGAATCTCTCGAGAAGCTCGAGCTGGTGGGATGCCTCTGCGTCCCTCTTGGCACGATTGCCAAGTGCTTTAGGATGCTGACCTGTTTGGAATTGCAGAACTGCGATCTTGAAATTTCGTCCTCCTCCTCCGACGATGATGATGATCCTTTTGCTGATCTTCCTCGTTTGAGCTGCTTGAAGCTTGTGGGTTGCCGAGTATGGACTGCTACGTTGTCTCCGGTTCGCTTGAGAGTGACGGGACACCAGCTGCGGAGCCTGCAGATTGGCGGAGACGGTATAGTAGTGAGTGAAGTGCTGGCTCCAAAGCTCAGGTCGTTCGATCTCTCGGGTAATGTGATAGAGGTGGAAGGACTCCGTTTGTTGAATCTTGCTTCCCTTGGTCAGGCTAGGGTTCACCTTTGGTGCTACCGCTATGCGGTGGCTTATGCTGCTGTCATGTACTTGCTGGATGGTCTGCGTTATGCAGAATCGCTCGATTTATGTTTTGAAGACAGGGTACGTATACCGTTGTCCCCTTTCTTCGTTTATTTCAGTATAGCCAATTCTACTTTCAGAGCTTGGAATTTACTTGTGGTGTTTATACTTTTCATCCTTTATTGACTGATTACCTTTGGTACTTTGGTTGCTTTCTTTATCAGTCTTCTTGCAACCCGCAAGAATCCTCCTTTACCAAAATGAAGCCAGTGATCGAGAATGAAGTCTCTCAGTTCACAAGACTGAAGAACTTGAAGATTCAATACCCGCACGAAAAAACCAGTTCTGTCAGCATTTAGCAGGACGGACATCAAATGCAGATCATCCTCGAGATGATTGCTGATCAGAGAGCGTGATGATGGTATTTTCTATTGTCAAATGGTGTCAAAAACTGGTAGTAGTCTCGGTCTCTAGTTGCATATATGGTGCTTGCCAAAGTAGTGCCTAAACAGGTAGTTTCCTCCTTTTGCTAGGGCGAATATGCATAGACTTACCTTGAACCATCTAGTCTGGCTTCAGTTTGCCAGTCTTTTTTGCAGTTCCTTTCCTGATGCAGTATATTTATGAAGTATGAACTACTACTATCTTTTGTTTGATCAATGTGAATGGTAATCAACCAATCATGGTATGAAATATGCTTAGTTATAACCATTAATGTTAGTAATTAAGTTCACAGAGAGCTCTCTGACTCGTGACATAACTGGGAAGGGAAAAAGTGATAAGGGAGAGCTATTCTCGGAAACAACCCCAACAGCTCTTTCCCACTCTGTTACTCTGTTTATTTTTTCTGTTCCTTACTTCTAGTGAACAGTTTCTCTTATACATAGGATTAGCAATCTTGTTGCCATCACTGATGTATATATATACACACATAATCAATTATAGGAACAAACAGGATTCTCTCTTCTGTTTCCGTTCTGATGATCTGACCCATTTTCGTGCTAAGCTTTTCGCCTCGATCTCGACCTAATCAGCGAAATTACCCGCTGAGAGAAAGAGTTATGGAGGCAGAGCACCCGAAAAGGGACTCGAAGAAACTAAAACAGCTGGGTCATCATGATCGAGGTGACCGGGATCATGACATCATCATCGGCAGTAGCAGGTTTGACGATCTTCCCGACGACATTCTGCATCGCGTTCTCTCCTTCCTCGACATCAGATTCGCCGTCCAGACAAGCGCGCTGTCGGGGAGATGGAGGAATCAGTGGAAAGACGGAATCTCCGCCCTCCGCATCTCCAAAACCTCCGTCGGCGCCGCGACGTCGGCGGAATTCAGAGACTACGTTTCCAGGATCCTCCAATCCCTCCGCTCCCACCACGAACCCAGCACCGTAACCAGCATCAGCTTCCAGATATGCGGCACTTCGAAAAAGGATATGTACATCTTCGACGCCGTCATGAAATATGCAGCTGCCACCGCCACTGGTCGCCACCGTCTTCAGGATTTGTCCATCAGTTGGGATAGACACAGGGACGTCAGGGTAGGCTTCGGAGTGCTAGCCGGCCGCCTCGCTGCCCAGTCTCTCGAGACTCTGAGGTTGGATGGGGTGCGTTTTGGCGTGGGTTTAGTTGACGTCCATAGTTGTGGCGGCTTCTTCGGTTCGCTGAAGACGCTGGAGCTGAGCAATTGCGATTTCCACGAGTTTGGTTCCGGGGATCGGTGCGCGCGGCTTTCTTTCGATGATCTGCCGAGCTTGGAGTGCTTGAAGCTGCTCTGCTGCACGCCGCACAACTCTGTGGTGGTATCGCTGCCGCATTTGTCCGAGCTGGAGATTAATCGGTGTCCTTATTACTGCTTGCATTTCGCTCCCCACAAAGTGATTGCTCCCAAGCTCCGGTCTCTCAAGTTGTCTGGCGACGTGAGGGACATGGCTCGGCTGGATCAGTTTAACCTTCCTTCCCTCGACCATGCCAGCATCCGGCTCGTATGGAGGAAGCCGGTGGAAACACTTACGAAGAGGGCAGGAGAACTGAATCGTGCATTTGAAAACTTCCTGCTTGGAATGCGCAATGCGAAGTCCCTCGATCTGTGTTTTCGCCGTATGGTACGTAGGTCTATACGCCTTGATTAAACTTTGAAATTAGGGCAAAACCAAATTAGGTTACTAACCCCATGCCTGTTTGTATACTTTGATTTGTGGTTTGTCTCGTCATCAAGTCGGGATGTTCGAGGGAGAGGGAGCTACTCAACGGTCTTCTTATCGCGACAAAGTTGTTAATTTTGTATGGAACTTCTTCGTTTACCAGGCTGAATACATTAACGATCCAATGTCCAGGAGAATCATCCGGCAAGAATGATCGAGTGATTCGCTATCATTTTGAAGGCTCTCGTGGTGTTGAAGAAAATATATGTTAATATTGGGCATGCAGTCTTTTTCACTCTTGAACAATTCATTGGTTTTGTTCCAACAAAAGAAAGGGATTCATTCTAGTTTTGTTTGTTCCAGGATATGCATGTCTATTTTCATATTCAAAGGCAATTCTTATGTTGTAGAGGTACTAGTTGTTAGATAGTGTCATCTCTCAGTCGTTGTTTTTCGAAATCTTCCTTGCCTTATCTTCAAAGGCAATTATGATGTGGTAATTCGACAACTCTGTCCAAGAATAGCGGATTCGCTATGAGGATCCCTGCTCCCAGAGTGTCGTAAGATCATCCCCTATGCTTTTCATAGCTCAAGTCAATATATGATTTTATCAATATGAAACAATTAAATGACGAATATTAATCACAAAGCACTCTCCCATTAACTTATCTGTTAACACCTTCGATAAGATTTTACAAATTTTTTTTATCCTTGTTATCCACATTGCTACAACAATTCTAGCATTTGCTTCCCTAACCATGACCTCCATGAACCCAGCTTTGCGCTTCTTGGAAGTATCAAATATAGCAGTCCAAACCAAAAAAAACTCATGTTGAAGGCTTATAAACTGGGTGATTTTTAGCAATATAATAGAAGGCAAAATACATTTGCACAACCATAATTTTGCACTTTGTGACAATAATAGCCAATTTTTAAAAAATACATAAATGTAGCCATATTTTAAAGCAACGTTTGACAAATTTAGCCATTTCCGTTAAAAATGTTGACGATGTTAAAAGTGTCTTTTAACGTCCGTCAGCAATAAGACGTAGAACCTCCAAAAACAAATTTACTAAACTTGTGTCTCTCCCTCTCTCTTCGTTGGGCTCTGACCTAAACCCTAATTGCTTCTCTCGTGATTTTGTTACGATCAAGGCTTTCTAAAGAGTTTTGTATGTGCACACGTCAATTCGCTACTGAAGCCTGTTGTTTGCTCCCCTGACTAGGTTTGGATCGATCTATAATTATCCCCAGCCATTCGTTATATATAAACTGTTGTTGGAGAATTCAGGAGATCACGATATGGCGACTGGGGAAAACCCTAAGCGGTGCAAGACCAAGCTGCAAACATGGAGTAACCGTAGCGATCACACGAAGCAGCAGCAGAAACAACAACGAATCGATGAAGACAGAATAAGCAATCTTCCGGACAACACTCTGCACGACATTCTCTGCTTCCTAGACTCCAAATCCATATTCAGAACAAGCATTCTGTCGAAAGGATGGAGGCGTTTGGTGGAAGCACTTCCTTACAACCTCAACTTCAACGCCAAGTCCTTCGACGACGAATCGAGTTTCGACGTGCACGTGAAGGAGTATCTATCCCGTCGAAACCGATCTGTTGTGCCCGTCAAGAGCGTGACGTTCGAGTTCGGATCAACGAGCTCGAATGAAAGTGACATTGAGATGATATTGTTCGATACGGTCATGCAGTACGCTGCTGCCGATGGCAAGCTCGACCATCTGTCCGCCGTCACCCACGAGAATGGTAAGTTCGGAGATGTGGCTGCCTCGATCGTTGCGCATCGTCATTGTCGATCGCTCGAGGCCCTGGTGCTGAAAGGTTTCATGGTCGACGGCCTTGATATGCAGGAACTCGATCATCTGGGGTTTTGGTCGCTGACGACGCTGGAGCTGCATTCCTGCTTCGTGTTTAATAGCGTCCCGTTCGGTTTGAAGCACTTGAAGATAGTCGACTGCACGTGGCCGTCGTCGGGATGTTTGAGAATACAAGCGTCCCGGTTGTTGGACCTGGAGATCAAAGGGTTATTGCTCTTTGAGAAGGTGATCGGTACCATGTTTGCTCTGAACTTGACATCGTTTCGTCTTTCGTGTAGCGTGTCCGATTTGAAGAAGCTCTCGCACTTGGACTTTCCTTCTCTGGATCGTGCGACGATACGCCTATGGTGCGACGACGCGTGTCGGTTGGACGAGAGTAGCACGTCGTTGGAGGATGTCAGTCGTGAGTACATGAAGTTGCTGCGTGGGTTGCATAATGCAAAGTCTCTCGACCTTCGTTTTGATGAGGTATGTTCTGTTCTATTTAATAACTTGTTGACTTTATGTTGTTTTCCCTGAGGTACAGAAATGTGAACGTGACAGATCGAGTAAGGGCAATTTTCTCACCTCTGACAGTGTGTTTGATTTCTTGTTAGATGGCGAGTGGAGAATCTTGGAAAGATCACTTTGTCTTCGGCGAAATGAAGCTTTGTCCGTTCACCAGAATGGAGACGGTGAGGATTGAGTATCAGTATCCACAGGAACCGCCGATACCAGATCATGTGATTCGTTATCTTTTCGGCGGCTCTAATGAATTTAGTCTTGAACAAATTTAAAATCATGAGAATCGAACAAATGATATAATTAGCAGTGAAGTATGTCCTGAATTTGCTGTATGGTGTCTGCGTAATGCAGAGTCGTTAGATGTATGTTTTGAAGACAGGGTACGTACACGATTTTCTTCCTTTCTTCTTTGTGTCAATATAGCCATTGCTACTTTCAAAGTTTGGATTCAAAATTTAAGGTTAAGGGGTAAGGGTAATGAGTTGATTAGTTGTGATTCTATATATGTTATATGATCATATTAGATTAATACTACCAATTAAATATCAGAATTCGATGTATTCCGCCATTTTTAGAGTTGAATGCACCAAAAAATGTGAGTACACGAAGTAGCCACCATATATATATATTAACATTCGGCGGCATTTCAGACGACTAAACAACTCATTGGTATTGAGTGGTTTTGAGTTGTCATAAGAATTTGGTAGTTTAGATCATGATGCTTTGGAACTGTGAAGAAAACATCACAAACAAACGTCGTTGCTCATTTAATATTAGGGATGGCAATGGGCTGGGTACGGTGCGGATACCCTATATCTATTGTCCACCATTTAAGCTCGCGGGTATTACCCCCACCCGCCCCACTAAGCTATACGAGCACAAAATCTGTCCCAAGCCCATGCGGGTATGGGTGAACCCATGGGTCACTGATGCCCGAGAAATTCAAATTACCACAGTTACAAAAGATCAAATCCAACTCAATTACTAAAATAAAAATGAATTGAAAACAAACATTTATAGCATTCAACCTTGTTCCATGAACTTGCAAACCCAGAACTTGCAAACTCAACAACTAAGAACTTAACCGCCAAGAGTACCGCGTCAAGTACTTTGTTATTTTCTTGGAGGCTCTCCAGAAGGGAAATCCACGAAGTTTAAGTGGCATAATGACATCAAAGCTAGCAAGCTGTTGAAGAGTCAACTCCTTCGTGAGCAGGAGGTATCTCTATCTCATACTCTCCGAGAATCAAATTTAGTGGTCGATCCGTTCACCGAATGTGAACATATAATTGAGTCAAAGATGAGCTTCTCTAAGCCTTTTCCACGATTAATGTAAAAGTGCACATGAAGACCGAGCACGAAACAATTTATCTAATAAGTCGTTTGAAAGTTATGATTGTGTTATATCTATTTTGAAATTATTTGAAAGTTGCAATTGAGAAATAAACGTACTGTAGTGAATATACATCTATGAATTTGATACAAGATGATTAGTGTTTCCTCTCTTCCATGTAATTTTTGAACCCAAATCAGATTTTTGTTCTTTTTTTATTTCCCAACCCGTTGGATGGAGTTCTCCCCTGTTGGGCCTGCCTCATTCCACTTACTGGACCGGGCTTTGGCTGGCGGATGTGGGGCCCGGTCCGTCCAAACTCCAAACATAGAACAAAACTGGATTAACTAACCACCTCTTCCCCTCTCGTTTTCCCGCGCTACATTCTCACCGCTGATCGTCAACCACAACATTTTCAGCCATTGGATTTTATCCAGATATGGGAGAAAGGGAGTCACCATAAGCTTTTGTCGCCAATCCCAGAGTTCATGCCACCTGGTTCCGTTTCTCCAAGTTTCTAGACCTCCCCGGCGACTTTCTGTCTCAGAATCAGAACCCCATTTCCCTAGTTTAAATACAGCTCCTTCGCTTTACCGGCGTCACCATGATCATCGCGATTTCAAAGCTTCCTGTCTTCAACAATGGCGACCTCCCTCATCCCATCTTCCCGCTCCTCATTATCTCCGTGGCACACTTCCCGAAGCAGCAGCAGTCGGCGGACTACTCCCGCTTCTTGTTTGTCGGTCTATTCAAGGAGAAGACACTGGAGATTCACTGCTCTCAGTCGAGTGCCCACGTCGTGTTCGACGAATTGCCGGTTTGGAAAGAAAACCCATCTCGCAGTTGGTTCTGCGAGGAAATGGAGTTCCTTGGAGCCGGTTAGGTTTTCGGCGAAAGAGGACCAAGTGGCGGTGGCTGACGAGGAGAAAGGGCGAGAGGATGAAGAGGGTGCGGAGGTGGAGGGGAAGCAAGAGGAAGGAGTAATGCAGGAGAAGGACTGGAAGACGGATGAGGAGTTCAAGCAGTTCATGGGGAATCCTTCCATCGAGGCTGCGATCAAGCTCGAGAAGAAGAGGGCTGATAGGAAGCTGAAGGAGCTTGATAGAGAATCCAGTGGCAACCCACTTGTGGGATTGTTTAATAGAGTGGTTCGCGACAGTGTAGCTAGGGAGAAAGAGAGGTTGGAGAAAGCTGAAGAGACTTTCAAGGCCCTTGATCTTAACAAGGTAATTGAATCGACCTTCCTCATCTTGCTTAGAGTTTGTTCAAAAGGGTGTCTAAATACTGTTCTGGTTTCAATATGGCAGTTAAAAAGTTGCTTCGGATTCGACACATTCTTCGCAACGGATGTTCGAAGATTTGGCGATGGGGGTATTTTCATTGGAAACTTGAGGAAACCCATCGAGGAGGTGATTCCCAGACTGGAAAAGAAGTTGTCTGAAGCAGCAGGAAGGGAAGTGGTTGTATGGTTTATGGAGGAGAAGACGAATTATGACATCACAAAACAGGTAAATGACCCAAAGACTCTTTTGGAGTGTTCATTTCCTATAGGACATTTGCATAACCAGGCTAGGTTCTCTTTACTAGATGACTTTGTACTACTTGGCTAGTAACTTGAGTAAGTTGTGCAGAGTGCACAAAGCTTTCATTCTGTGGCTATAGCAAAGTTAGCTTTTCAAAAGCTGCAACCTTTCTGTGTCCAGTTTTTCTGTCATTCCTCTTTGGCATATGTTCCTTCATTTCTGCTCTGTTTTGTCTTTCTCCATGCTGAGAGTAAATGATACTACTGGTTTTGAACTTTTGTTTTCAGGCATGTGTGGTGCAACCCAAGGCTGAAATGGATCTCCAGTTTGAATCAACCAAGCTGAGTACACCTTCTGGTTATTTCAGCGCTATTGCTCTATGTGTGGCGACTTTTGGGACAGTAGCCCTGATGAGTGGCTTCTTCCTTAAGCCGAATGCAACCCTTGATGACTACATATCTGATGTTGTTCCTCTTTTTGGTGGCTTCCTTACCATCTTGGGAATTTCCGAAGTATGCTTACCCACTGTAACTTCTCACTCATCTATTTCGTGATATGAGTTCGTATCACGTTTTTATGAGTTACTTCTGAGAGCCATAATCGTTCCCCTGATGGTCATCTTAAGGAAGAACTAACCTTTTGTTCTGTTTTCTGCAGATATGTACTCGAGTAACTGCTGCTCGCTACGGTGTCAAACTCAGCCCTTCTTTTCTGGTTCCATCCAATTGGACAGGGTGTTTGGGTGTAATGAATAACTACGAATCGCTGCTTCCTAATAAGAAGGCGCTTTTCGACATTCCAGTGGCACGTACAGCTAGTGCGTACTTGACGTCCCTGGTGCTGGCAGTTGCTGCTTTTGTTGCTGATGGTAGCTTCAATGGGGGCGATAATGCGCTGTAAGCTCTCTAAAAGTCTAAACCCTCAGAACACACTGCTTCGCCATCTTTCACAAGCTATTCTTGTTGATAGTTCTTCTTAGAAATACTAGTTTACTAGCTTTGCATCATACATAAATTTACAAAACACCCCAGTAAAGTTCTTTCAAAACACCCTTGTTCCTTAAAGATCCTTGGAATCTTGGTATGCACGGTACTTTAGCAGCGAGGCTAGACCGTAGAAACGATGCTGTAGTTGACTTCGATCTGCTGATGCCTGTAACCTCTCTTTGCAGCTACATAAGACCACAATTCTTCTACAACAACCCCTTACTTTCTTTCATCCAGTTCGTCATTGGACCTTACGCAGATGACCTCGGGAATGTACTGCCCAACGCGGTGGAAGGGGTTGGAGTTCCTGTCGATCCCCTCGCGTTCGCTGGATTACTAGGTGAGCTCCCCATTGATAAGGACTCTTCTTAGATTAATTATTTTCCATTTACTTTATGTAATTAGTGCTGTAGTGGATGGGTTGTTACCCTCTTTGTAGCTACGTGAGTAGTGGTTCTGTTGTAGAGATTGGTATATTTAAACCAATCTCCTATTCAAAACAAATCACCAATTCCAGCCAATTACATGGTATCAGAGCTAGGGCTCCGATTTCCTTAACCTCCTCTCCTAAAAATCTGAATCAAAATTCTTTCTTCTCTCTTCTCTATCTCTATCAAGTTCGTTACCTTCTTTCTGGAAATATCTTCCCTGCCATTCTTCTCCTGCGATTCTTCCCCATCAGTCCTCTGCTTCAAACATGTCTGGCGAAACAGTCATTAACCTCGACGAAGCCAACACCATCATCACACTGAACCCGGCTTCTCAGCTACCCACCAAACTCACCGGCGACAATTTTCCAACCTGGCGCGCCCAGCTTCTCACCCTCCTTCGCGGTCTCGACCTCCTCAAATTCCTGGATGGCACGCATCCAGCTCCTGCTGCTGATGCTCCTGCTGCTGATCGTCGTCGCTGGTACAGACAAGATCAGCTGCTGCTTCACTCTATTCTTGCCTCGGTGACTCCCGGCGTTGCCCCCTATGTTTCTGCAGCCACCGATTCTCGTCAGGCATGGACTATACTAGAACGTATGTTTGCCAATCAATCCCGTCAGCGTGTTATCAATCTGAAGGAAAAACTTGGCAAAGAGGCTCAAGGCAACCGACCTGTCTCGGTTTATCTACAGGCACAGCGCACGACCGCCGCTGAACTTGCCCTGATCAATGCACCGGTTTCTGATGAGGATCTTATTCTTCATATTCTTCGTGGCCTTCGCGAGGAATATGGCCATCTCTCCGCTGCCATTCGCGCTAGGGACACTCCCATTGCTATAGAAGATCTTCATGATCGGCTTGTGGACTTTGAAGCAGACCTGGTCACTATTCGCCCTTCTCATCAGGCTCCTACTACAGCCTTTTCTTCCACTCGGGGGCGTAATTATGGCCGCTCACCTGGTGGGTCTCGCCGCCAATCCCCCAGTTATTCATCCTATGGGTCTGATGCTTACCCTCCTTGCGATGATAGTCCTCGCCAGTCGCGCGGTGTTCCTTCCTCTCGTGCGTCCGCCGGTTATATGCCCGGTTCTGCTGCTCCGTCTCTCCTCGGCAGGCCACGCCTGCAATGTCAGTTCTGTGATCGCCCTGGTCACTCCGCCAAAGACTGCTACCGCATTCGCGGGCGCCCCCAGGCTCATCATACTACCGCTGGCTCTTCTTCATCATCCGGTTGGTTGGTCGATTCTGCTGCTACGAATCACATGACCCCCGATCTTGGTAATCTCTCTCTATATACCGATTACAGTGGTCCGGATGAAGTCCTCATCGGCGATGGGTCAGGTCTGATTATTACACATGTTGGCAACTCTCATTTATCATCTCCTATGACACGTTTGCATCTCCATAATGTTTTACGTGTGCCTGCTATCAAACGTCGTCTTCTTTCTGTTGCCCAGCTGTGTAAGTCTAACCCGGTGTCTGTGGAATTCTTTTCTGATTTTTTTGTTGTGAAGGATCTAGCCACGGGGGCGCACCTGCTGCAAGGCCGGAATAGAGGTGATGTTTACGAGCTGCCCGCGGATTCTCCTCCTGTTCGTCTTGCCTTAACCGCTACAACCCGGCTCTCTTCTACGGTCTGGCACAACCGGTTGGGACATCCTCATGCCAAGCTCCTTTCTCGCGTACTGCGTAATCAGTCTCTACCAGTTATTTCTTCTACATGTTCTTCTTTGTGTGACTCTTGTTCTCTTCATAAAAGCCACAAACTGCCTTTCTCCGTTTTAAGTCTCACTAGTTCTCGTCCATTTGATTTATTATATATGGATGTTTGGGGACCTTCTCCCATTGTTTCTCATGACCATTACACATATTATCTCGTCATTGTTGATCATTTTTCTCGATACACCTGGCTTTATCCTCTTCGCCGTAAATCTGATGTTCATCATGTTTTCACCACTTACAAAACAATGATCGAAAATTATTTTCATACCTCGATTCGGCGTATTTATAGTGATGGTGGTGGTGAATTCCAGAAACTATGTTCTTTCCTCCAAACACATGGCATTACTCACCTATTAACTCCTCCACACACTCCTCAGCACAATGGCCTCGCCGAACGCAAACATAGACACATAGTTGAAACTGGTCTCGCCCTTTTGCATACTGCCAACCTTCCACTTCGTTACTGGTCTCATGCTTTTCAAACTGCTACCTACCTCATCAATCGCCTTCCCTCCTCCTCTCTCCGTGGCACCTCTCCATTCTATGCCTTGTTTAATGAGACTCCAAACTATCTTAAACTGCGGGTGTTCGGTTGTTTATGTTACCCATGGCTCCGCCCCTACTCTGCCCATAAATTAGAACCTCGCTCCCGTCGTTGCATCTTCTTGGGTTACTCCGTTACTCCGTCACTGGCCGATTCTGCAGTTCGACGTCAACAACGCCTTTCTTCAAGGCTCTTTGCACGAGACGGTTTTTATGACCCAGCCCCCAGGCTTCCGTGATCCGAAGCATCCTGATCATGTTTGTTGTTTGACCAGGCCCATCTATGGCCTACGACAGGCGCCTCGTTCTTGGTATATAGCTTTGTCCGGGTTTCTTCAAGAGGAAGGATTTGTGAAGTCCAAATCCGATGCCTCTTTGTTCATTTACCACAAGGACGGTGTCACCATGTACTTTCTGGTTTACGTTGACGATCTTCTACTTACCGGTAATGATGCTACTGCTCTTGCACAATTCCAGGCTCGATTGGCTGCTCGTTTTTCCCTCAAGACCCTCGGGCCTGTCCATTATTTTCTTGGTATTGAAGTTTTACCGACATCTACCGGGTTCCTTCTCTCTCAACAAAAGTATGTGTCCGACGTTCTCACCCGATTTGGCATGGCTGACTCGCATCCTGCTCCCACTCCACTGTCCTCCACCGCCAAGCTCTTGCTAGTTGATGGCTCACCTCCTGCTGATGTGACCCTATATAAACAGGCTGTTGGTTCATTGCAGTATCTCCTCTGCACCCGCCCAGATATCGCCTTCGCCGTCAATAAGCTCTCTCAGTTCATGCACGCTCCTACGCAGCTGCATTGGCAACATGTTAAGCGGCTTTTTCGCTACTTGAAAGGTACAGCTCATCTCGGTCTCCGCCTTGCCTCGACACCCAATCCGTCTCTTGTGGCGTTCGCTGATTCCGATTGGGCTGGCGATCCCAATGATCGCACTTCCACTATGGCCTTTCTCATCTACTATGGCGGCACTCTTCTTTCTTGGAAATCAAAGAAACAGCGTTCCGTTGCTCGGTCCAGCACTGAAGCCGAGTATCGAGCTCTAGCGCACGCCACGTCGGAGCTTCTATGGCTACAGAACCTTCTTCACGAGCTTCATCATCCGATTTCTACTCCTCCAACTATCTACTGTGACAATCTCGGTGCTGTAAACTTCTCGGCTAATCCCATCCATCACTCTCGTATGAAGCATCTTGCTCTTGATTACTTGTTTGTTCGGGATCTTGTCCAATCACGGCAGCTCCAAATTCAGCATATTCCCACTGCCTTCCAGCTCGCGGACTCGCTGACCAAGCCTCTGCCCATTGCTCGTTTTCAACTTCTTCGGTCCAAGATTGGTGTCGTTCCCGTCACCATCTTGCGGGGGCGTGATAAGGACTCTTCTTAGATTAATTATTTTCCATTTACTTTATGTAATTAGTGCTGTAGTGGATGGGTTGTTACCCTCTTTGTAGCTACGTGAGTAGTGGTTCTGTTGTAGAGATTGGTATATTTAAACCAATCTCCTATTCAAAACAAATCACCAATTCCAGCCAATTACACCCATCACCATTTCACCCCTCTGCTACAACATAAAAAGCTAGTGATGAACCTCATGACCCCACATTACACATCTCTCTTTGTGGAAATGGCAGGAATGGTGGTGACTTCACTGAACCTGTTGCCCTGCGGAAGGCTGGAGGGAGGCCGGATAGCGCAGGCCATGTTCGGTCGAAGCACGGCTACCTTGCTTTCCTTCGCAACGTCTCTTCTTCTTGGGATCGGCGGTCTGAGTGGAAGCGTCCTCTGCCTGGCATGGGGACTGTTCGCCACCTTCTTCCGTGGCGGGGAGGAGTTACCTGCCAAAGATGAGATCTCGCCATTGGGAAGCGACAGGTTCGCTTGGGGCGTTGTTCTTGGCCTCATCTGTTTCCTCACTCTTTTCCCCAACGGAGGAGGGACGTTCTCCAATCCGTTCTTCAGCGACCCGTTTTTCCGAGGGTGATAGATATGTGGATAGATCGAGCTTGGCTCGGTATTTTGTATATTTTCCTAATGGCTCCTTTTAATCGTTACTAATGACGTCGTAAATCATTCCTGGTTGGTGCTTAAAAGGTTGTTAATAAACCTCTCATGATAGTTAGTTAGTTACTAATGGATGCCGAAGGCTTGCTAATTTTATGTTTGCTACTCGAGATTCCTGACTCTCTCAATAGTTGCTAATGACCCTCTAAATCATTACGGGATGGCGTGTAAAAGGTTGCTGATGAATACCATCAATCGTGACGGACTATCGTTAGTTCGTTACTTATAACATCCTAGATCATTAATGGTTGGCGCTTAAAAGGTAATTAATGAACTTCTTTTCCTCGTTATTAGATGTAGAAAGTTTGTTAATTAGTGTTTACTAGTGGAGATTTCAATTTCCGAACTCTCTAAATAGTTACTAATGACCCTCTAAATCATTAGTAATTGGCACTTAAAAGACTACTAAATGAATACTATCTATCGTTATTAATCATATTCGCTTGCAATGTATTATTCTGGTTTGGATGGATCATTTGTGAACGTGGTATTTGTAAAATGAAACAACTCATTTATTGCTAATATGGTATTTTTGTGGTATTTTTATGAAAGATGATATAAATAATCTTGTTTGGCTAAACCAATATTTGAATGTGGTATTTGATGATAAAAACCAGTATTGCCCTCTTCACCATCTTCTCTCCTTCATTCCCAGCAACATACCCCTACCTAATTGCATGCCCCCATTTTGTTCATCCATGGCTGCTGCAAAATTAAATCTCACAAGAGCAAAACATAAGACAAGTCTATGCATCACCCACCGCCACTGAATTGATTTCCTAATTGTTGTCAATTTCCCCCCAAAAAGCCAACACCCACCGGAAACAATAATCAACTCGACATTTCCAAATACATGCAAAGGCAAATTTAGCAAGAAGAACAGGGGTGGAGGATAGCATAGAGGGAGAATAGTAGGGGATTGAAGAAATCCGGCGACAGTCGTCATGATTCCTGGCCGGTCTTTAAATCCAAAAACTAAATCCTCTCTCCTATCTCGTTTTTGTGTCGTCGTCGTCTCTATCCATGTCGTCCTCGCCACTGTCAATGAAGCTCGCCACACTCCGAGAAACATAGAGAAACCTGTGAGAGAACCCAGTGTTGTCGTCGCCATCGCATCCTCGTCGCCGCCGCCTCGTCGTAGAAGAAGATCGTCGTTCGTCGCCGCCGATTAGCTTTCCTTCCACTCCGTTCTTCGCAACCTAAGCTTCTGCATACTCTATCTGATACGCACAAAGAGGAGAATCCAAAAGTAGCAACGAAATCAATTTTGGCTCAATTGATTTTGGCTCCACAAAGGAGAATCAAAGGGTCGAAGAAAAAGAAAGAAGAAGTGAGGAGAGAGTAGGACTGGAAGAAATAGAAAAGGCAGGGACAGAGTTGGGAAGAGAAAAGCGTTGAATGCGTTATTTCCAAATAACATCTCCCTATGTGGTATTTAGAATACCGCGTTTATGGGTTATTCTCAAATAACGCGGTCCACAATACCACATCAGTCAAATCAATTGCCAAACAAGTTATTTTAGCCCAAATAACTCAAAAAGAGTTATTTGTGCCAAAATAACTCATTCAAAACACTAATCCAAACTACCCCGAATCATGTTTTGTGAAATGCGATTGACAGATCATTTATTACAAATTTAATAGGCTATAAGTTGAAGTTCGGTGACTAAATTGATAATAGCCTTTAAGTTCTATAACCGGTATGTAATTTGGTCCGCAAATGTTTAATATCACCGAGGGAAAGTAGAGAACTTTGAACTGCTGCATTTCATTTTGTTTCCTCCACCGGAGAGCCAGTACTCCGTCCACTGAAGAGTAGTCGCCAACTTCAACTTGCCGGCGACAGCGAACAGTGAGTGTCGATCTACCCGCCGGTGTACTCTTCTCTGGTTTTCCCGCTTCCCTCGAGCCAACTTTTATGGCATTCGCTTCTTTCTAACCTTGCTTCCGCCCGATTTTTCTTCCTAGGGTTTTTGACGATGTGATTCCTGATGCTTGTTATTGAAATTTGAGAAATAGGGTTAGCTTCATTGTTTCATTTGCGGTGCTTGAGTGATGATTTAGGTTCGATTCGGTTCATTCTGTTTGATTACCTCGTATACAACAACTGTCATGGTGATGGATTGATTGAAGGGTCATTTTTGGTCTCATGTGAGCTACTCGTCTACTATTCTTCACAGGATTCTCAACTTGGCTTGGAAAACAAAAGAGGAGGACATGGCAGGGAGCTCGAAAAGGTTGAAGCAAAAAGGAAAAATTAGGAGCCTTGATGAAGAGGATGACAGGGTGAGCGATCTCCCCGATGGCATTCTGCATCACGTTCTTTCGTTCCTTGAGACGAAATTCATGGTTCGGACCAGCCTGCTTTCGAAGAGGTGGAGGTCCTTGTGGAAAGACGTTCCTGCTCTCAATTTCGGAGGACTCTCCTTCAATAGCGAGTCGAATTCCAGAGAATACGTGAGCAAGGCTTTGTCTCTCCGATCCGACTCTGCAGCTGTCTCTAGTGTTACCTTCGAGTTTGGAGAAACTGAGAGGGGAGAGCAGGTGGGTATGACAGACCTATTTGGTAGTGTCATGAGATATGCTGCCTCACATGGTATGGGTGAACTTGGGTTGGGGTTCCTCCAGTTATATTGCTGGTTTTCATGGAATAGGCTGGAATTCAGCGGATTGGCTTCCTCCATCACAGCTCACCGTCATCATGAATCCCTAAAGACTCTGAAGTTGAAAAGATGCAGACTGGACGGTGAGCTTGGGTTGGGGTTCAAACTCCTGTCAACTCTTGAATTGAGTGACTCCTATTTTTGCTTTCGTGAGTCTGCCTCTGGGATGTCTCATGATCCTTTTGCTGATCTCCCATGTTTGAACTACCTAAAGCTCCTTCGTTGCTCATCATCAAAGTTCTTTTTCAAAGTATCGGGACTTCAGCTGTTGGATCTTGAAATTCAAGAGCCGGGTGGTGGTCAGACATTGGATGTTTTTGCTCCAAAGCTCAAACATTTTCTTTTCCAGGGCGCGGTAACTAATCTAGGCAAGTTAGACCTTCCTTCCCTGGATTGTGCGAATATCCGAGTTCGGTGGGAAGTTCCTCATTGGTCCCATCAGAAAAGAGTTATGCAGAGGCAAATGGATGCATATATCAAGTTGTTGCGTGAGTTGCATAACGCGACATCTCTCTGTCTGCGTTTTGACAAGGTATGTTTTACTTGTGCTGATGGAAATACATATTCAATGACAAAATCTCCGTCATAGTTTACGCGTCCAACAATGTTTGTGTTTCCTGCTTATCAGCACCAAAGGAAGTGGAAAGAAGATGAATTTCCTTTCAACAGCATGAAGTTGTTACTGGAGCCAGAAGCGTCTCCTTTTACAAGACTCAAGATCTTGAGGGTGCAGTACCCACAAGACCCACCCATCACACCTTATCAGGTGATCCGGTATTTCTTCGAAGGGTCTCCTAATATCGAAGAAAAGTTCGTCAAGTTTGAGAGGAAGATCAAATGACCAATAGATTGCTGTATTGTGTTTTGCGAAAACGAGTCCATTTACTAGAGGTACTTGCTTCATCTTTCTGCAGATATTATGAAGTGAATGTATGGTCATGGGGCAATGCTCTCTGTAAGACTCACCCTAGAATTTAACTATCTTGTAGTTGAGCTATTCTTTTTTGGTGAACAAAAAATATAATGTCTCAAAAATATTTTCCTCTAAAATACATACTCATATATATCGACCTGTCTTGACCTGCATCTAGGGGTGGCAGTTCGGTTACAGATTAATCGACTGGTTAAATCGATAATCGGCCGGTTATCCACTAACCGGTAACCGAAGTAACCAAACTTCGGTCGATTATCGAAGGTTGGACGAAATGGTTTTTGGTCTTAAATGTGGTTCGGTTAACCGATAACCGAGAAATCGAAGCTTGTTTCGAACGTTTTTCGAGGGAAGTGGTTATTTCGATTAACTGATAATCGGTCGATCGGTTATCGATTATAACCGAAATAACCGAACTGTCACCTCTGCATCCTAAAAAACATATACGCGAATAAAAGATACCTCCTCGACTCTGGGCCAACCAACAAAGCAGATCTCCTATTAGAAGTGAGCTGGCCCAACTAATAATCAGATCTCCTGCATTACATTCGGGCCCACATGTTTTGCTTTGGGCTTTCTCGGGGCCAACAGGAAATAACGACTTTGTTCGACATCAGCTCAGCATGAATGGATTCAAAAAACCGCGCCAACTCCCAGGGCACGTCAGCATTTGCAGATAGTCCTCCTTCATCCCTTAAAACGTTCATTACCCCAGCTTGAGTAATAAGCAACACACAGATGTCGATGACAAATTAAGAAAGCACAAGTATTTTTTTTAATCTATCACTTAAGGTAATAAATAAAAAAGAGGTCGTTATCCTTCAATCCGATTACTATGCTCACAATACAATTTATAATAACGTACTAATAGAGATTGTGAATCGTCAGATTATACATTAAACATTTTATAACCACGAGATAGATACAAAACAATTATTCGAATAAAATCTTACGTCGTCACGGACCCTCAACACCTGATTTAACGACGCCTAATCTCTATGTCGATTGATTGCCCTTCCCCACCCTAATCAAAGCATTTTTTTCAAATTAAGAAAACGAATTCCTTAATCAAAGCACTGTTTCCACTTTCCACAATCATGCGTTTCTATAAGCATCCAGATCCATCCTCCGCCACCCAAACGAATCCTTCACCTCCTCCAGTCCTTTTCTTCCGCCCGCACTATATACGCCACCCCGCTGTTTCTCAATTTGATTTCTCGCTGTTTATTATCCTTCCACGGAATCAGCTTGAACCAGGAAGAAAAAAGAAGAAGAAGAAGAAATGGCGCCGGTGAATCAGGATAAGGACAGAGACCACCGGCCATCGGCGGATTTCTTCATTGAGGAAGACGACGACGGAGATTTGGGCAGAGCGGAGGCAGGCAACGACAGAAGCGGCGCAGGAACAGACACCACCTCCAGCTCGAGCTCCAGCAGCGGCGGCGACGGCGGCGGCGGCTCCGACGCGGAAGGTGACGACGAGGAGAAGAATGCCGACGACGACGGCGGAGGCGTCGGGACTTTCACCTCTCGGCAATGGCCACAGAGTTATCGGTAAGACTTCCATTTCGTACGATTCGATTTCCGGTTTTGCTTGCCTGGAAATTCTGTTTCCTCTCTCTTCTCCATGGATGCGATGCATGCCTCGAATTTGTGATTGTGTACTGTAGCTCTATGAAATATCGGCGATCGAGTTTCTGTTTCTCGAAATTTCAATTGCCAAACTACAGAACGGTTCTGTGATTGCGAATTTTAGGTTTCTTTTTTCCGTTGTTTGAATTTTGTTGTTTGTTTGTTCTGCGATGGCAGAGAAACGATGGATTCTTACTCGATTGCAATGTCGCCGAGCCTTGCATTCATGGGGCCGGTGCAACAGCTGGCGCCTTACTTGAGCTTCATGAGTAACGCGGACACGGAATCAAAGGCTCCATTGATTCCCGAGCGAGACAGGAGCTACATGAGGAGGGTCGAATCGGATAGGTTCTCGCTAGCACAATCGTCTTTCTCGAAAGCTTCATTCGCAAATACGGAGTTCCAGAATCCACATGGGTGTAGCTTCACTCAAACTCTGTTCAACTGTAAGCTTCATTCACAACTATAGATTTGCTAGTTTTCCCGTGATCTTTGATGTTACTTGGGGGGTTTGATAGCTGCTGATATTGGGATATGGCCATGGTGGAACAGCGCTGAATGTAATGGTGGGGATCGGGCTACTCTCGACGCCTTACACCGTGAGGGAAGGAGGGTGGATCAGTTTGTTTATAGTAGCATTTTTTGGGAGCGTCTGCTGTTACACTGCTTATCTGATGAAGCAATGCTTTGAGAGCCGAGATGGCATAACAACATATCCGGACATGGGAGAAGCTGCATTCGGGAAGTTTGGGCGCCTAGGAATATCTGTAAGTTGTTCTGACTCCAAATTTTGTCTGTGCTACCAGCATGTCACGTCATTTCATAGCCAATTGCTTGCCTTTCTCCTTTAGTAACGTGGATGTATATGTGTACCTGTTTATGAATCCTTCTGCAGCTTTGTAGTTTACATGTTCTGATGTTGTGTCCTACTGGATTTTGGTGCAGATCCTTTTGTACACGGAGTTGTATGTAAGTGACTGTTGCTCTGCCACAAAGTTTCACATTCTCAGATTCTGTTGTACACTACATCCTGTAAATGATTGAGATATCTTTTTCCGTCTGTGTAGTCTTATTGTGTGGAATATATTACCTTGGAAGGGGATAACCTGGCCAGGCTATTTCCTGGTGTATCCTTTGATTTGGCTGGGATATATCTCGATTCCACGCATTTCTTTGGGATTCTGACTGCTATTCTTGTGCTGCCAACTGTTTTGTTAAGAGACCTCCGTTTCATCTCCTTTCTTTCAGGTTTGGTGCATAATCCCTTTATAGTTCTTCTATTCAAGGTATTGAACTAGGGGATGATTTAGCACCTAACTTTACTGCTTCCTCGCTCTCATATCTTTTTTGCAGCTGGTGGAGTTTTTGCTACAATTTTGATTATTTTCTCCCTGCTTTTCGTGGGTACCGCTGAAGGAGTTGGGTTCCATCAAAATGGCCCGCTTGTGAAATGGAACGGGGTTCCATTTGTTATAGGTGTATGTGTATTCAATTATTCAGGTCACTCGGTTTTCCCCAACATCTACCAGTCAATGGCCAATAAAGCAGAATTTACAAAGACTGCAATAGCATGGTAAAATTGTTGTCGGTTCTGGTTTTGTGCCAAATTTCTTGCTGTGTTATTCGGTTGCTTAGGAGTCTTTTTCTCGATGTTCCTGCAGTTTTTCCGTGTGCGCTCTCTTGTATGGGGGAGTTGCAGCCATGGGATTTCTCATGTTTGGTGGGGCTACACTGTCACAAGTGACATTGAACATGCCACAGGACAGCATTACTTCAAAAGTTGCAATCTGGACTATTGTATGTGATCATTCATCCTTGAGTTTTTCTCCAATTCTTTAGTAAACAATTATATTATGTGTTTCATTGCATTTTTTTCTCTTATCTCAGGCCGTAATCCCGCTGACTAAATATCCTTTTTGTGATGCTTTGTAACATTCTTATAAGGTCTAGAGTTGAACTTGCTCAATACTACTTTCAAGCAATATAAGCTGTCCAAACACTTCTATCGATTCGTCACCATCGTTAGTTTTCATAAACTGATGTGGGGAAAGAAGCTGCTTTTTCATATTAGTTGGACTAGATACGCAGGTTTTCTTTTCTGTGATTCCTTAACAGAGAACACATATTCATTGTTGATGAATCCGTTGGCTCGAAGCATAGAGGAACTTTTGCCAGTTAACGTCGTCTCCAACTATTGGTGTTTTATTCTTCTGAGAGCCGTACTTGTTTTCTCTACTGTTGCTGCTGCATTTCTTCTCCCCTTTTTTGGTAAGTCTGGAGTTTTACTTTAAGCCATGTATTTACTTTTTTCCCCCTCCGCTGAAGTAAGGATCTTTGGGAAATTGTTTAGACCTGGCTCTGATTTGTGCATCGTGTTTAGAAAATAGTTAGATGTTGACATGCATTTCAGATTGAATCAGATTAGACTTCAGTACTGTTTATCATCTTTTGTTCCTATCAACCTTCACAGCTTTTCTTAATATGCATGAATACAGATGCTTCAACAGCTGACTGTGTAAAATAAATAACTTCCCGTCCAAAGTTTTGAATCTTTATGAGAACTTGTGAGTTTAGACTAGACAAAACCCAATTTCTTTCGCTGGCTTGGAGAGTGGATTATCCTGGTAGATTGTTAGGCAGAGAATCCATTTCATTATTATCATGATCATCTTGATCTGCTGCTTAGCAGCTTGATGAACTTATGCATAATAGATGGTGCTTCTCATTTCAGGTCTTGTGATGTCTTTGATGGGTTCAGGCCTCTGTGTACTTATGGTGAGTGCCTCAAATCCTCTTCTAATTGTTCTTTCCTAGTTTGGCTGAAAGCGACTTATGAGAACGAAGCCATTAGTTCTTCTAGCGATTCCCCCAAGAATAGCGTGCAAAAATTACATGCTTTTGTCATCTTCAACCTGTTAACAGCATGGTTTACCCCATTTTCTGTTGACAGCGTGGAACCTGTCTAGTTATATTCATTTCAAGCTGTCCTAGTGGGATTCCTATGTGTGCATAGAACTCTGTTCTGTGACCTTGCACATTTGTACTTGTAATATGATTCTAACATTGACAAAGTCTGGTCAATCTTATCATCGTTGCTGCATTTAAATCCTCTAATCTTCTATATGTTGCGGCCAAATTATATGTCCCCTCTGCATCTTTCTGAATCAGGCTGTCATAATGCCGTCTCTGTGCTTCTTGAGAATCATGGGGAAGAAAGCCACGAGAACACATGTAAGGAGAAATAGAATCTCTCTAACTTCTTGAGTTTTAAATGCAGTGTAACAATCTATTCTAACTTTCTGTTTCCCTGTAAACAGATTGTTCTTAGCTCCGCGATTACTGTGGTGGGCGCTGTCTGCGCCATCATCGGAACTTACTCTTCAGTTGAAAAGATCGTGCAGAGCTTCTGAGATTGTTTCTGTAGGTCCTCTTGCCAATGCTTTTCAAAGCGTTTTTCTGGAGGTTATGCCGCCCACCTTGAAGGTGTGGTTAATGTAGAATATCCTGTTGAAAGAGCGTTCTGTAGTGTAACCAGCTATTGATGTCTGGGATTTTTTTTTTTTGGTGTAAGTTTAGTACGGGTCATCATCTTGTAGAAAGTAATAAAAGTTCTTCATGGCCTTAGTTTGATCATGAAGTTTTTGTGTCTCCAATGCGAAACCTTTGTCACTTTGATGGCTGTTATTTATTAATTCGTTTGATCGGGAATAACGTGTATTTGGACTAGGAATGATAACGGGTCAGGGTAAACCATCGCATGCTGATATTACCTCGCATGCTGATATTCAATAGGATAAGTTGTTGCAGATTGCTCGACAACATCTTATTTTATATCGAGAATTGAGATAATATCCATTCATTTGGAGTTGAGAATTCAATAATTACGGTCTTTATATTTGTGTCTCGTAATTTGTAAGCAATAAGAGCATTACCTATAAATTGAACCCAAATCTTTATCTTGTTTAAGTTTTAATTGTACCGTAAGACATACCCCACTGATTAAGTGTATAAAGTATGTATGAAAAGCGACGAAGAAATACATTTTTGGGATTTAATTGTAATTTGCCAAAGGACATGTATGCAGCGTGTTTAAAAACTGTTTTATTTTCGCACAAATTCGTCATTCCCGCTTCTTTTACCATTTCGCCGGCCGTTTGAGATTTCAGTGTCAGCAGCAGATCAATTCTTTAGCAAAAGCTCTCCTCCTTCTCCTCTCCTCTCTCTGGCTAACAATGGCGCCTCGCTTCCTCTTTCCGCAAACTCTGCGGTCTCTGGAAGATGAGAACGCAGACGACGACGGCGACCGTCTCTGTGCTCGGAACCCTATCGACGTTGCCTCTCTTTCGCGGTCCCAACTCGAAGAGCTCGTCAAAGGTAATTTCCTTCTCACTTCTCTTATTTCCAGCGCGGTGGAGTTCTGACGAGAGATTCTCTAGTCTCCTGTTAGAAGAATCGGAAATTAGCGGCTTATCACTAGCTGAATTGCTTTTCCTCCCTTTTCATAGTGCGTCTAATTGAGTTAAAAGCATCTAAAATTCTTAGGAACTGCTTGCGATTCTGAATTACGGAAGTTGATTGTCGTTCGGTGTGCATGTGAAAGTTGGCGGTGCCGTTCCTTCATTTCCCCTAGGGTTTTAGCTAGTCAAAGGTCATTTCTCTCTCACTTATCTAGTTCCTCTCTCGGTTTCATTCTTACCTGAGATTTCATAGGCTGTTGAACAAAAATTAAACCCTCCGTTTATCACTTCCTAAATTAGTATTGCTTTTTTAAATTTGTGTTCATTTCCCTGTTCCTTCAACTTACCGAGCTAATTCAACCCTAGGAGAAATATTTTACTGTACCTCAAGCACTATATAAAATGATTCGCTAGTTGAATTGAGCCGAATATATTTCGATTGATTAGAAATTGTTTGAAAATCAGAATCACGGACCTTCATTTTTGTTCGGTGCTCATGTGAACAAATTGTGGTGCTAGTTCCTTCTAGTTTTTCTAAGGGGTTTAAACTGTTGCATGTTTGTTGTTCTGTTCTGACAGGTGTTGCATTTGATCTGTCTGATAAGGAGGTATTCTGCATTGAAGAGCAAGATGTGTTTGACCGTATGTACTCATTGGTCCTTAGTTTCTCTAGCCTGGCTCCATCTTATAAGCTCAATATGGTGGAGACTCTGCGCTCGAACCTCACCGTGCTGCTCCCGAGTGTCGATTTGCTTTCACGAGCTGGGGATGACGATCCTACTGTGTTTGACAGGATTGCGTCACTACAAAATGCTTTTAAAATCTATTCATTTTTCCTAGTTTCTACAGTTCTACTGGAGGAGGCCAGTCTCAGCAGTTCTGATAACAATTCAAAGGTAATTCATCGGATTCTGGAATTTGAGCTACTATCCCTTAATTAATCATATGCTTTGGTTCAGTTCATAAATTTATCATCAGATTAAAAATTTGTGATTGACCTTGCTACTTATAATTGTTGTATATGGTGGTGATTTTATAATTGATTCAGGCGCCTGCAACTGGCAGGAATAGGCAGGCAGTGCATTCATGGAACTGGGATCCACAAAGGGGTCGAATACTCAATTTGATTGCTAATTCATTAGAAATCAACCTCTCGTTGCTCTTTGGATCAACAGATCCAGATGAAAATTACCTTGCTTTCATTGTCAAGTAAGATGAATCACTTTTTGTCATGCTTGATTCCGCCCTTCCATGTGATGTGATAGCATGCTTAGTAAAGCTTCTGGTTTGTTTTGTTATAGAAATGCTCTAACCTTGTTTGAGAATTCAACACTGCTGAAGGACTCTGAGACAAGAGATCCATTGTGTCGTATTCTTGGTGCTTGTGCTACGAAATACCGCTACACAGCACATGCATCTGCTTCCATCATGCACTTAATTCACAAGCACGATTTTGTTGTCACCTCCATGGCTGATACTGCTGCGTGGGCTGAAAAGAAGTACGCAGATGGCACCCTTGCTTATTCTCTTATTAGAGAAATTGGGAGGACCAATCCAAAGAGTTATGTTAAGGACACTGCTGGTGCTGAAAATGTTGGACGTTTTCTAGTGGAACTTGCTGAACGGTTGCCGAATTTGATGTCAACCAATATTGGGCTTGTGGTTCCACATTTTGAATCTTGCTATTGATTCAAATATAGGGGATCTTGCCGCTCTGGAATTGATCGTCAGCGCCTTGGTGTCCAAAGTTGAAATATCTAACAATACGGTACGTCTATTTCCAACTATGCATAACCTTCCCTTAAATTTGCAGTTCAGTTACGTTTTCCTCTGTTTCGTCTCGTCATTGATGGCTCCTGCCTCCTGCCTATGATTGAGATTTTCATACCTCTGTTGGCAATTTGGGAGGTTGCAAACAAAAAAATAGAGGAATTGGGGGGTTGTAATGCCAATCCATCTGCAGGATTGAGCTTTGAGTCTTCTGGTTCTAGGACTTTGAAAGCCACCAATTTCAGTGTGTTTTACTAGGTTTTAATGTTCTGATAAGTGATAATTTATCAGAATTTGTAGGTTCCTGAGTCAAAATTCATTAGGTTTAGAAATAGTCTTGCCTCTTACCAAATGTTTGCTTGCAGATATCAGCCTTATGGGACTTCTTCTGTTTCAATATAAGTGGAACCACTGCAGTGCAAAGTCGAGGAGCTCTATCAGTCCTTTGCATGGCTGCAATTTCTTGCAATGGAATTCTTGGACCTCATTTGCAAGATATTATTGATATTGGCTTTGGTCGCTGGGCCAAAATTGACCCTCTGCTTGCCAGAACGACATGCATTGCCATTCACAGACTTTCTGAAGAGGACAGGAAAAAGATGTTGGCCAGTAGTGGTAACCGTGTATTTGGTTTGTTGAGAAGTTTGGTTACTGGTTCCTGGCTTCCCGATAGCACGTGGTATGCTGCTGCTGATAAAGCTATCAGTGCTGTATATACTATTCATCCAGCTCCAGAAGCCTTTGCTGCAGATCTGGTGAAGAAATCACTGATTACTGTTTTTCATGCAAGTGGAGAAGATGACTTGCAAAATGACATTGAGGATGGTGCTACCACTGCTCTTTCAGAATTCCAAGTAGCAAAACTTAGTAGGGTCTTGTTTATTGTAAGTCATGTTGCCATGAATCAGTTGCTGTATATAGAACCTTGTACTCGTAAAGTCCAGAAGCAGAAGACTTCCAAAGAGAAGGCATTGGATAGTCAGAAAGATGACACCAATGGAGCACATAAGGTGGGTTCAATATAAAGTCTCATATATTTCCTTTTGGCAACTGGTTTGAGTGGCCCTGAATTCTTCCTTTACTTGCTTGTTGTAGGATGACGATATCAATGCTGAGCTTGGTGTTTCTGCCTCTGAAGATGCAATAATTGATTCTCTATCGGAAAGAGCAGAGAAAGAAATTGTCTCTGATGGTTCCAGTGAAAAAAAATTGATAGGCCTTTGTGCTCCTTTCTTATCAAAGCTTTGTAGAAATTTCTACCTGATGCAAAAGGTAAATACTCAGTACTTGCAGCTTTCCTGGAACTTTTAGGCACCTATGCTTCTTTAATCATCATGAGGCACTTCGAGGTCATCGAATACAATCTATTCTCTATGAAATCGATAATTGACTACCCAGTGTAGGCCGCTCTAAACAAAACTTGGCATGCCTTTCTTGTTCATTCAGTATCCGGAGCTACAGGCATCAGGAATGCTCGCTCTTTCTCGATTCATGATCATTGATGCTGGTTTTTGGTGAGTTTTCCTCAATGTGCATAGTTTATCTGCTTGTCTCTATTCCTAGTTTATGCAGGATAAGCATACAACATGGACTTACTGAGTTAACTTACAGTGAGGCAAATCTCCAGCTTCTTTTCACAGTGGTTGAAAATGCACCATCAGAAACAGTCCGTTCGAATTGCACTATTTGTCTTGGAGACTTGGCTGTCCGGTTTCCTAATCTGTTAGAACCATGGACTGAGAATATGTATTTACGTTTACGAGATCCTTCGGTTTCGGTCAGGAAAAATGCGGTTCTGGTCCTCTCTCATCTCATATTAAATGACATGATGAAGGTTTGACTCTTGAACAAATGTCATTTCATGTATTTCTTTAATCCTTGTTCATAACATGATTGTGAACGTTACTTTACTAGGTAAAAGGTTATATAAACGAGATGGCAATATGCTTAGAAGATGAAGAGGAAAGGATTTCAAGTTTGGCTAAACTTTTTTTCCATGAATTATCCAAGAAAGGTAGGCTCTGATTTTTGCTCCGAGCTTGCTGGATGTTGTAACGTCATCTGGTCATATATCACCTTGTAAATTTATTAGAATAAGTTATCTTTACATGGATATCTGATGTGCGTTTTAATACTCTTCAGGAGCCAACCCGATATACAATTTACTCCCGGACATACTGGGAATGCTATGTAATCAGAATCTGAAAAAGGAGTCCTTCTGCAACATAATGCAGTTTCTAATTGGATCTATAAAGAAGGTACTACCAAGCTTGTTGAACTAGTTTATGCTTAGGTAGCAAATGTAAATTTTTCTGTAACTTTCTGCAGGACAAACAAATGGAGGCTCTTGTTGAAAAGCTCTGCAACAGGTTCTGTGGAGTTACTGGTATGTCTTTCTTCACTTTAATATTGTTGTAATGAAGTTCTTCTGTGATTACTACTCTTTTCCTGAAGTAATCAACCACACAATATTAGGTCATATGAGGAATCTGAAATGTTAGTCTAGGAGGAACCATTGCTAGTCATTTTGCTAATGGGGACAATGTTCCTTTCTACTCTGCATCGTGGAAGGTGTTTTGAAGTTGATATTTTCCTTACTGTCTTGCTCATAGATATGCAGAACGAATCTCATTAAAAAAAAATAAAGAAAGTAGAGTAAAAGAAGTTGAATACATCTGTGAATGTCTTACAAAATTATGTACTGTGGCAGATGTTAAGCAGTGGGAGTACATTGCTTACTGTCTTGCGCAGCTCACATTCACTGAGAAGGGGATGAAAAAGCTCATTGAGTCATTTAAGACGTACGAGCATGTGCTATCTGAGGATTCTGTAATCGAGCACTTCAAAACCATAATCACTAAGGTATTTCTTACTTCTGTTCCTGAGTTTTCCTTTCGGGGAAAGCAGTAGATACAATCTAACTCGTATGAAATCTTACACAGGCTAAGAAGTTTGCGAAACCAGAAATCAAAGCTTGCATTGAGGAGTTCGAGGAAAAGCTCAATACGTTCCATATTGAGAAGAAGGAGCAAGATGCCACTGCAAGAAATGCCCAGGTACATCTGGAGAAAGTTGATGAAAGGGCTGGTCTGGTTGCATCAATTAACAAAACCGATGAGGAGTCGGATATTTCAGAAGGTCAGTAGACCCTTATTTTGTTAAAGCTACTTTCTTTACATTGTTACATCGAGTCAGCCTAAGACCTATTAGCCGCTTTATTCTTTGACATTTACTCCATGACAGAGGATGATACAACCGAGCCATCAGTCAGAGCAACTTCTCCCTCTGAAGACAACTCAGCAGATACTAAATCCAATGGAACAGTTGGAGATTCAGGCCCTTCAAGTGAGCTCTCACGAGTGGAGCCTGTATCAGATGGCGATGAAGTCCAATCTGTAAAAAGTAGATTCCTTTCCCCGCTTCTTTCTCCATCGAGTTTCAGCTAACCCTTTTATCTTCAGTCATCAGTTAACCTCTACCATTATTTGAATTATAGGGCCGACGAAATCCAGTAGACCCAAAAAGAGCAATATGAAAGATCAAGCAAGCAACGCCAATACATCCAGGAGGATAAGTACCAGGTCAAGGCAAAGGTAGAGTTTTTGACACAACTTTCTCTTTCATGTATGCATTCTCTGCATGCATCTACATGGTCATCTACACCAGATTTCGTCGTACATCTGGCCTTTGGATATTGTATAGTCTCTCATATGCTTATGACTACGACAGTACGACCACGACAATGTCTGCATCAAACCTTGTATTGTGTAGCTTGTCAATTCCTTCTGTTGTTTAAATTAGTTCTAGGAATGTTACTCGCCACATCTTGTGTCACGGCTTAAACTACAAATTAATGATTTGCAAGATTTAAGTTTTTGTGTGTCAATCTGTTTTATTCTTCAACCTTTCCTTATATGACTTGCTTCAGACATCCTCATTACAGCAAAACTTGTTGCATTACAACTCTTCATTATATAACTCGTATGACGGAAGTACAAAAATATGCTTTGGGAAAACATAGGAATCAAGTGTTCTACAATTTATATGGTAGAGAGCTTGGGGAAAAATGGTACATACAACACCCCCCAAAGTCACAACAATCCTCATCTATAACCTTGTATGTTTTATGTGCATAACTATACCATATTCAAAAAAATTGGGTGGATCTCTCTCTCAGTCTCTACTTTTACCAATTTGAGGTCAAATTTATGTAAATTTGAAGATTATAGGAACCAAAAACGATCATAAAATTTGAACTTTGAAAATGTTCCCTCCCGATGAGACCAAGCTTCTTGTTAGAGCCTGCAGGAGGGGGTGGTTGTGTTAAAAAAAGATTTTCTTCTTTTACTTAAACTAAGAATCTTCAGCAAAAATTCTGAAAATGAAGTCTCTGAATCTCCTGGAGTACTGCTTAGGATCCACGGCTGAGATCGAAGTAGGGTCGTACTGGATCGACTTGTATGCATGCTCCAGCTTCTTGCTAATGTCGTAGTCTTGAAGTATGTCGATGATTCCGAACGTCATTATGACGTCGTAGAACTCCCCGGTTGGCTCTCCAACCAGTTGAAGCTCACAATCATTTCTTCTCACTGTTCTTTCGACTCTGGCTGGCATGTTCATTCCCAGCCTGATTCGTGCCCATCTGCATTCACCATTTGCATTGCGAAACACACATATCAAAGTTTGGGCTGCTGAATGTTTTCATACTTGTTATAACTAGACTGATCAATGTTTGGATCGAATCGGACTGGATCAAAGTATTTGATCTGGTTCCGACTCGCTAACTTAGGCACTTTTGTATTTTATTCCATTGGGTCCCCTTAAGGGATCGTATTGGACAAGATCGAATCGGATCAAATGTTCTGATTCTGATCTCGATCTTTCCTTCTTTTTTTATGAATTTGTTATGGTAGAGTTTCAGGGTGCTTGTTAGAACTGAAACTTGTACTGAAAGAAAAGTTAGAGAAACACTTTACTTGGTTGGGTCTAGTACAAGTTGATCCATGTCTGCTCTAGAAAGCCGAGGACCTTCTTCTCTTTCAACCTCATCTGCGACTGCAAGGAAAAACGCACCCAGAAGTCAAATTTACTAACTGTAAAAGGGTGAAATTCTTAGGATTTACTTCATTTAGCTACCGAAGGTAAAAACGCGAATTTTCTTTTTACCAGAAGGGGTTTCAGCCTTGGTTGGAATTATTTCTCGATTAGATGCTACGTCTCTGAAGTGGATACCAACTAGTAGACTGTAGTCCATAATCCTCTCCTGCTCAAGAAGCTCGCAATCTCTATCTACTTGCCTGCAGTAATTTTCCAACACAGTTTTGGTAAATCAGTAAAAACCCTCAATAATTAGTCTATTAGAGATAGAGCTTCTCCTTGAAAAAATCATGTACATATTTTGTCACCTGCAGAACTCTTGGAACCAAGCTTTCTGTAGCTTGAAAATGAAGTTGAGGTCCAGGTCTTTGAGAATGGTGTTGGCATCGATCTCGGACTCTGGCTTGTCCGTGATCCGACCCAACGAAGAACCCTTCAGGTCGAATCGTCTGTGGATTGCATACTCCGAAACAAATAGGTTCCCCATGATTATGAACCGCACCTAGTTGTCCAATGACCCCCAACGTATGAACAAAACGAAAAGCTTCCTAAACCATCACCTTATGCGTTGCTAGGAGACAGAGATCTCCTTTAACTACGCATGCAATGCGTGTCAGTTGCTGAACGAGTAGTCTACTCGTTCAGTGACCGATGCGCAAAATGTTCATACGTTAAAATGAAGGAAGTGGCAGGGAGGAAAAACTGATGTACCTTCCTCTGTGCCGGTCCAGTTAACTTGACGCAGTGAAGGCCATAAAACCTTATGACCAAGGTGTTATCGAAGGATCTGACATGGTTGTAATAGGCAGCAAGCATCCTGATAAGCACCTGTTTACATCAGAACCCAAAATATGCAGTCGTTATTGAGTCTTGTTTGAGTTTTTGGGGAAGCATATAAGTGAATCATTAAGAGAGGGGGACACTCACTTTCACTTCTGCTTTCTTCATTGTCTTGATCATGTAGCGATCATCGTGAGTCAGGTAGAAGAAGCTCCCACTCTTCCCGGGAGACGAGAGCTCGCGAAGAGCATTATCCCCACAAATCGATAACATGTAGTCAGCTGCGTCGACCTTGAACAGCTTCCTTAGCGACCTATAGTTGAAAAACAGGGCAACCATTAGGTTTCCTAATCATGGGGGACATTTGCATACACATTCGTTGTCTCGACTTATGAATACCCGACAAATTCGTAGGAACTTACCTGAAAACTAAGGGGCAGTAGTCTTTCCATTTGAACTCTGAACAATTGTGTGGAGGGGTGTGCTTGCTTCCTTCTGGAGGGAACCTTGTCCATACCTTCTCTTTCGGGTCGAACGCTGATGCCTTTAGATCCAAGGATGGTGCTGGACCTGGTCTCCCCACTGAATGCCTACAACACATTAACAATCAGTGTTAAGTGTGTTTCGAGTTTCTGCGAAAAGCTGTTCCGAAAATACGATGTTGCAGCAAGGAATACCTGATTCCCAGCTGTAGATTGAGCATGAGCTCGTAATTCTTGTGCCCTTTACAAATGGGATCTCCCTGCCGCTTAGAAGCTTTGGGTACTCTCATGGGCAGCATCTTATTAAGACTGGCGGCGAAATTGCATTCCTCCATATCCATACCCATACCCAACAACTCCGCCTCCATATCCCTCCTCGCCTCGCCGGCGGCCGCAGACGACGCCCCCTGGTCGTCGCCGTCCCACATGTTCATCCTCTCGAACGCCCTCTCGTTCCCGACGCTGACCCTGCCGTCGACCGACAGCCGGCGGGCCTTCTCGCTGTTCTTCGACGAGTTCCACACCGCCAGCTTCTTCTGCGACGGCAGGACGGAGACCTTCTCGCAGGGGCAAACCTGGGCGTCGGCGAGGTAGACGTTGTACACGTCCTGCGGGTCCCACTCCAGCTGGCTGCCGGAGTGGGCCGCCGCCGCGGCGGAGGGCGACGTGGATGGGTAGTAGCTGCCGTTCTGCTCGGTGGGGTCCTTGCTCCAGTTGCCGACGTAGAAGCTGCCGTCAGGGAAGGTGAAGGTGCCGTTGCCCTTGGGGACGCCGTCGTCCCACTGGCCGTCGAAGCGGTTGCCGTTCTCCCACATGAATGTGCCTTTGCCGCAGATGTTGCCGTTCTTCCACTCGCCGACGTAGTAGTTGCTGGTGGTCTTCCATTGGTACTTGCCTTGCCCTTCTTGCAACCCTCGCCGCCAATCCCCTTCGTACCTGTTTCATATGATTTGGTTTTATGGGTTCGTTTGAGAAATGGGTAGTGATGGTCAGAATAAGGATTTTCAATGCATTATATATTATATGATTTCATAAACACTTATCGTATGTTATACTAGCATATTTTCACCAATTAGTAATTCTCGAATTGATCATTTCATCTAAAATTTGGAGGGTCTTGTTACTATGCAAAATGTTCCTCTTATTGACATTTTACCATCTTAATTGTGAAATTGTAGATGTTATTATGTACACAATATTATTGTCACGTGAATCGATCTGAACAAGTGAGATAATCGTATTTATTTAGGTAGCCCTTCAGGTTAAAGACTTGGTGTCAACCATTCTTGTCGGTCAGATAGGCCCCGACTCGCCTGCCAATAGCCCCTTATCCTTATATTTTGACCGTTTCGAGTTAGCTACTATGAAGTTTAATCTGTCTACGACGTCACTCAAATTCACGACTGTGAATAAGGATTCTCCACCATTAAAAAAAAAATTGGTGCATTTTCACAAAGCATGGCATAGATCAAGTTATAATATGGATCAAAATCAAATTAGTTTCAATCAAACATTACCAATCTCCATTAGCAAAATGCTTGATCCCATGCCCATGCTTGAGATTCATGACCCACTGCCCACGATAAATATCCCCATTCGCAGCCGAATACGTCCCCGTCCCGTCCATATACCCGCTCTTGAACTCCCCTTCGTACGTCGCCCCCGACGGCCAGCTGAACCGGCCCCGGCCCATCGTCTTCCCCTTATACCACTCGCCGACGTACATGCAACCGTCGGTCCACAGATACTTCCCCCGGCCGTTGGGGAAGTTGTCGTACCACTGGCCGGAGTAGTAGTCGCCGTTCGGCAGTACCTTCTCCGCGTAGTAACATTCCGTCCCTCCTCCTCCTCCGTTCGTGCTGCTCCCGCTGCCGGCGCCCTCGTCGCCGCCGCTGCTACTGCTGCTGCCCTCGTCGCCGTTGCTGGCGGCGGCAGCGGCGGCGGCGGCGTGGTCTTCGTCGGGGAGGTGGGCCAGGGTGATGCCGAAGATGCTGTTGGCACGCTTCTTGGCCGCCTGGGTCTTTCGGATCGTGGCTTCCCACGCCTTGAAAACACCGCTGTCTTTGCTCATTGTTTTGTTTTAGCGACGCTTTTTAGTGACGGTTTGTTAGCGATGGTTTCATTTGAGTTTTTCGTCGCCTTAGGATGATGGTGATGGTTTCGTCGTCATTTTTTGGGGGGAGGGAGAGGAAAAGGGGAGAAAGGAAGGGAAATCGTTTGTATTAATTTGAAATGTGTTTCAATTTTTTTGTTTCTTTTTTTGGTGTTTGGTTTGTGTTTTTGTTTGTGTGAAGGAGAGGGAAAAGAGCTCTTGGAGAGGGAGAATTTTTATTTTTTATTTTTGAAATGGATGAGAGGGAGAAATCAATGGATCCCTTGTTCTTCTCTTTAGTGCAACATTTGGGAAGTGCACAATAATTGTTTCCATTTTGACCATTTGTTTGTTTTAGTTATCTATTTTTTTTTTTTTAGTTTTGTATGGTGAATTGTTAATGGTCAAAATTAATGAACTTAGTTTTGCAAAAAAATTGGCTTATCCCAACTGGCGGGATTAATGACCGGTTTGTTATTAGACGTGTTGCTGGATCAAATATGTTTGAAATAATGTTTGATAATGCATTTTTTTCTTAATTAGTTGTATTTTGTGATGAAGGTGGGTAATACCCATGTGGGATGTGGGTAAGGTCTAATTGACATGTTTTTATATGTAATTTGAGCTCTTTGTATTGAAGATACTATATATGTTGTCCAATTCAACTAAAATTACACTATTTAGATGTTATTTTGTATAATTGAAGGTTTGGGTTCCAACCTATATATCACTTTATGATATTGATGTTTTCTTTACTTAGTTGGGACTTGGGAGATGACTTGAAAGCAATATCTTCTTTAGTGTGTTTCTTTGAACAGAAATAAGGGCAACCTTGTTTCCTTAAATAATGGCAAAGAAGGACAAAGAAAGGAGTTACTTGTATCTTGAACAAATGAGTGAAAATGAGATGAGATCTAGGGTTGTCAATCGAATAGCTTTATTTCAAACAATGACAAACAATAAATATGGGATTCTAAACCTCAAACTAAAATTGTTGCTATGGTATGTTTAATTATGAACGGTGTTCTAACTAGGTAGTATTCTCTCGATATAAGCAGTGTTTGAATATAAAGATGCTTGATGTAGATGTTTAGATGAATATGTATCTAACGTGCAAGTTCATGTTTTTGCCAATCGATAACTCAACACCAGAGATCTGACATGTTACTAGTTAAGGGCACATGATGAGGGTTCGTCGCTGAAAGTCTGGTATATAAATAATTAGAATATACCAATCCTATATGATAATATCTCTTATCGATTGAATATATGATACGTGGTTGATAATATCTCCATAGTCAAAAAATATTTAATATAATTTGAACCGATCACTCTAAAATTATCATTATACTCCATGTATTTCGATATATTTTAGTTGAAGCCATTTGGAAAAGAAAAAAAAAATGGTTGAAGGCATTGGCCGTACGTGTGGGTGGTGGTAGATGTGGCTAAATGGGTGCGTGGAAAAGATGGTGACATTTCTATGATTCCCATACCTCCCCATTTATTAAATGTTTTAGTTTCTTGTTTTGCATGTTGGTGGGCACCTCCAAATTGGAAAAAGGGTCTTCAATAAACAAGATAATCCATCCTCTATTTTGTTGGCTCTTACGATGCAGGAAAGGTTTCTTGTTCTTCTGCACCACATAAATCTCAGCTGTTCTTTCTTTGGCTGCTCTCGTTTGATTTGTCCACATAAAAAAACACAGATAGACCTCCAGGTTGAAGATTCTGTGTCGTTAGATCAATTCCTCGCTCGCTTAAATACGATATGATACGATATGATACTTAGTTAACGTAGTGGTTTCTGGTCAACCAAATTACTTAGTTGTGAAAGTGTGATATAAAATTCAGAATTAACATTATCCTAACAACTCAAGTTATTGATATAAAAAAAAAACACTCATCACATTAGAACTATAACATATTCTCACTGACGAGAACAAGATCGTAGCTGAAAAGGTTGAGATGCTGGGCTTGAAGAGGTTTCATATTTTCAGTTTTAGGTCAAAATTCAGTGATTCGTTATTATTGTAAGGTATCCCTCGAGACTGTTCATCCAACAAAACCCAAAAAATCATATTTATTGAATTTGCCCGTTATGCCAAGTGGCCAAAATTTTCTTTGGATTATTACACTTTGGTGTTATACCTTATTATTGAGAAACAAAATCATGGATGTGAACAATAAGATATTAGTTGATCGTGAGGATTATAACTTTTTTCAAACTCAAGATTATATTCACCTTGTAATAAATTTTTTGAAAACAATCAGTACACTTTGGTGTTTATAGTTAGTTTCTAAGGGACAAAGGATCATTGCCTACCCCAACTAACTTCTGGTTTGAGTCTCCACTTCACTGACATCACGACCGACAGTGACTGGCCGTGAGTCTACGAGTGGAGGGGAAACCCAATTTTTGTTCTTCTATCCCAATTGGTGAATTTCTTTAGTGTTTGGACAAATTAGGTCAACCCTCATCATACACCCACCATCTCTTTTTGTTAATTTAGAGCAATAATGTTAAATACAATGATTAACAATGAAGCATCTTCATTTCTATTTTGCTCCATGGAAATATCACTTGTTCCCAATAAAAGAATGTGTAGGCACTACGCACCAACCATGTGAAGATGGGATGCATAACAAGATAAATATAGAGCATGTGATTTCGACTCTCGTCGTGTAAGGTTGTTGTCCCGAAAATCCAAATTCTTCTGCTGTGTCAGCAAGACAGAAAGAAGACTACGATGATTCAAACGGATAAAGCAGAAAAGCTGAACATGAACGAAAGAACAACCCGATTGCACGATTGGGAGCAAGAGGGAAAGATTTTAGATGACTAAAAATAAACGAATTGTCAAATGTTCTTAACATAAACCAAGATGACACGGTGCGCAGTGGGCAACCATTCAAAATTTGCATACTAACATGGACGGTTGCCGGATAAAAATGCTCTTGATGCCGCATGTGTTGAAAATCCATCTTTACTTTTACTCTTTGGTCGGCCCCCAAAATGATCAACGATAGGGTGTGAGATTCAAGATTCAATCTGAAGATCAAAACATGGTTTTGCCATGTACAAATCCATGCTGAGTCTCGTCCAAGATGTATGTAGTGAGCATGGGTATACTTTATCTCTAATTACTTTGGAATACAATTTTGAATCAGAAGAGTATAAAATCGATGAACGATAATATTACGGTGTTGTATTTGTGATAACTCATAGTAAGGGTACTGAACATACAATTGACAGAAAAAAGCAGTAGGTAAGGGAAAAAATTCGGAATCCAAAAGAAAAGGAAGTTTGGAAAATTAGAGAGAGCAATCAGCAAAGAGCCAAACAAAAACCAAAAAAACAGAAAGGGTTGAAAAAAAAAGAGAGAAGCTGATAGAAAAGGAAGAGAGGAGAAGCGAAGAGGAAGTAGTGGACAGTGGGCAGTGAAGAAGGCGGGTGTGGTTCCAGTCTTCCCTCCGTTTTATCCCCAATCCTCTCCCGTTTTTTCTGTGTTCCTCGTTCTCGCCACACGATCTTCATTCACCTTCTCTCTCTGTCTCTCTGACTCCTCTCATGGCGTCGCTCTCTCCTTTCCCTCCGCTCATCCACCCTTCTTCCGCCGCCGCCGGTAACGCGACTAGTCGTCTTAATCAGCAAACTCAGCAGCACCTCCAGTTCGTCGATTTCGTCGGGCTTTGCGGTCAATCGAGGAGAGCTGTTTGCCGGAGGAGACTCTCCGCGGCAGCTTCTGGTTCTTCTTTTCCGTCGACGACGGCGACGACTTTGTCTCGGCTGGTGAAGAAGAATGGGAAGTCGTCGTCGTTGTCCGTTGGGGCCAGTCGCGGAGTTGAGAGTGGTGGAGTAGTCACTGAGAGTAAGGCGGTGGCGGATGGCTCCGTTTCCGCTAGCTCTGATTTGAAACCGGAGGTACTGTGTCCTCTTCTTCTCATTTTCAACTTATGTGCAGTGTCGTTCCCGCGCTTTTTGATTCGTGCTCGTTTGGCTCCTGTTGATGGTGGAGTTTGAAATTGAGTGTCGAGTTAGTGGGGGGATTTTACTGCTGTTTGCTTTGTTCTTTTGTGGAGTTTCTTTGTTTCGTTTTGCCTTCTTCCCCTTATGATTGACACTGATTTTCTTAGTAGTTAGGGATTATTCAATTTTCCTCATAGATTCTTGCTAGACAATGCTCTAGGAGTCTGCCTGAGTCTTCTCGTGCTTGGAGTTGCTGCAGCTCGGTAGATCAAATTTCTGCCTCTTCAACTAAACTTAGCCATGTTTTACTCTTTGTTAGTGTGGTACAGACTATTAGCAATGATCGTCCGTCATAAACAGGCAGTGTTTTAGTTTGGGAAGTCTGTTTCCGGAGGCTAAGTTTTGAGATGTTTGTTTGTCAATGCGGTGTGTCAACCTCTGCGTCTGTTACTTGCGAATGTTGATAAAGGTTCTGTCCACTTTGCAGGTGGCAAACTTGAGCGATATATTATCTGAAAGAGGAGCCTGTGGAGTTGGGTTTATTGCTAATTTGGAAAACAAACCATCGAACAAGATAATTAAGGATGCCCTTAATGCTCTTGGATGCATGGAACATCGTGGAGGGTGTGGAGCAGATAATGACTCTGGTGATGGCTCGGGGCTCATGACTTCAATTCCATGGGATCTGTTCGGCAAATGGGCGGATGAGCAAGGGCTTGCTTCCTTCGATAAATTGCACACTGGTGTTGGCATGGTTTTTCTTCCAAGAGATGAGAACCTTATGGAAGAAGCCAAAAAAGGTATTTCCTTGGCTCCACTCTCTATATTTTAATACTTAATCACCGTTATGGTGCACATTATTAATGCCTCTCTTCACTGTACTTTCTATTGTTTGATCACTGCTGTTTTTTCTGGCTTGTAGTTGTTGTAAATATTTTTGAACAAGAAGGCCTTGAGGTGCTTGGTTGGAGAGATGTTCCTGTAAATACATCTGTAGTTGGTTACTATGCCAAAGAAACTATGCCCAACATTCAGCAGGTGTTTGTTAAAGTTGTCAAGGAAGAGAGTATTGGTGACATTGAACGAGAGCTTTACATTTGCCGGAAATTGATAGAGAGGGTGGCTAGCTCAGAGAGTTGGGGAAATGAGCTGTACTTCTGCTCTTTGTCCAACCAAACAATTGTCTATAAGGGAATGCTTCGCTCAGCAGTTCTTGGATTATTTTACTCCGATCTCCAGAGTGATATCTACACATCACCATTTGCTATTTATCATCGACGATTTAGCACAAATACGAGTCCCAGATGGCCTCTGGCCCAACCAATGCGGTTTCTTGGTCATAATGGAGAAATCAATACCATACAGGTTACAATCTTTCTTTATCTCAACTTATTTTTGTAAGACTGGATTCTAGTTCAATAGAGTGCCTTACTCTTATATACATATCCAGGGTAACTTGAACTGGATGCAATCTCGAGAAAGCTCGCTGAAATCTCCTGTTTGGCGAGGCCGTGAAAATGAAATTCGTCCATTTGGTAACCCAAAGGCATCAGACTCAGCCAATCTTGATAGCGCAGCAGAAGTACGTTATTCACGTTTATGTTTATACTCCGTTGCTATGTGAAGCTGTTCTTACTTTCACTTCTCCTGTTTGTTTGGTCATTTTGTTTGCTCTTGTTTTTAAAACTTGTATACAACAAATACTTTGTTATCCTTACGTTTCAGATCATATATATTATATAATCATGACGTCAGAACTGGTCAACGTATTTCCTTGAGATCCACGCTTCAGCTATCCAAATTCACAGTTTTGGCATGATTTCTTTTTCGGGTGTCCTAGAATAGGATATCATACTAACGTAGGATATAAGTGCATGCAAACTACTGAAGATAATTAGTTATTCGGTGAACAGTCATTTGAGTTTTTTATGTCCTATCAGAGTGCGCATATAGATCCGATCAATAAGACTTTTAACTAATAAGCATACCTGAGATGGGGTGGAAACCACAACACACGGGAAAAGCGTACTTGGTAACCCTGCGTTAGTACTGTAGGCTTGGTAAGTGTTTAATGTGCTCTTTAGCAGTCATTACATGTCTCCCCTGTGTCTGACTTATCTTGCTAATTGATTGTTTCCAGCTCTTGATAAGAAGTGGGCGTACTCCTGAGGAAACTCTAATGATTCTTGTACCTGAGGCATATAAGAATCATCCAACTCTGACAATTAAGTATCCTGAGGTATCCTCTATTCTGCTCTTGCTACATTATCTTGGACCCAAAATTTTATGTAAGACACCATTTAATGACAAAATGTTTTCCTGATTATCATCTCAATTCATTGATGCTTGATACATTCAGCAGTTCCATGTTTTCTGCTTATCATATTATACTAGATAATCTCAGTTTCAGATCCAAGCCTATTGGATTTGGAATTTATCCCTATGAATAAATTTAGACCAGATCTTACCGTGCCATTTTGTCTTTGCCCAATAAGCAACCTGCAAAATGGAGATGCATATTAGATCTTTTGTGATAGTTAATTTGATTACTCTCCCATGATATTATTACTGCCATTACACGCGGCTTTCCAAAAGCTTTATTTTTCACTTATGTAATGAAAGATTGGCGTTGTACTTACTTAGCTATCTTCCCTCAGGCGCTTGATTTCTATGACTATTACAAGGGTCAGATGGAAGCTTGGGATGGACCTGCTTTACTCTTGTTTAGGTACTTACTTTGCTGCAAATAATATACTTTTTGTAATCCGTCTTTAGCCTTTATAGCCCACTTAGTGTATTGATGAGCTTGCAGGTCGTTTTGATTGGGTGTAATTGGGCATAATATCCTCAGTGAAGTTCTGTTGCATGTGAGTGTACTTGGAATATATCATAGCTCATCTTAAATGCATCAAAATGATGCAATCCGAGATGTACAAGTGTAAAGAGGCAATGAAAATATACTCTAGAAAAGCGGGTTCTACATGTCATTTTTCACTTTTCTAGCACAATACCCGCAATTAAACTATCCAAACAATGGTTTTATAAATACACCTCAACATGCAATTAGATAGCATGTAATTGAGAAAAATAACATCAATTTACAACTACGCAAAGTGTGTGCACCCATGATTCCTTTGACTAAAATGGCTTAGCTTATATCTACTTCTGTGCTTTGAGACTGAATGTTTTTCATCATTTTTTTTTTGTCTCAAACTCATTAAATTGTATGCCTTAGAAATAATTGCATGTTATTTGATTTGTTGGATGCTCAGTCGTGTAATTTTTACCCTCTCCTTTTGTATTTGCCCACTGAATCGACAGTGATGGAAACACAGTTGGTGCTTGCCTCGATCGGAATGGACTCAGGCCAGCTAGGTATTGGAAAACGGTGGACAATTTCGTATATGTTGCATCTGAGGTGCGTCTCTAATGTCCTATGTCCTAGAAAACCATTGTTTTCTGTGTTAGAACCTCGATACATGAGAATAAATTGCCTTTGATTATAAAGTTTCACATTGGTTCCGTGTATGGAAAACCCCACAACACTAAGAAAGCCTTTTCTTGGCAGCAGCCATCTGTTGATGCTCTACCCAGCAAAATCATTTGTGTGCCATGAAATGATGCCTTGTAATGTAAGATTCTCTTGTTTTGATCAAGTGGTTGATGTCTCAAATGGCCAGTCTATGGTTTATTGCTCACTTTTCACTCTTTCTGGGGGCCTAAGAGATTCAGTTGGCTGACTTTGTTGGCAAACCTTGATGTCAGAGCTGTTCAATCTTTGTCCTGAAAAGCTTACTATGAGCCAGTGACGTAGGATGAGTTGACGCAAGAGCTTATACTGGATCACTATGGACTAGGGCTTAGAATGGTGGATTGATGCATGTTTTCAGGATTATTTTGAAAGGCTAGGGTTTATGGACGAAACTCAGGGTTTGGAGTGGATAAGTCATATCATATTTTTATCTAGAAGATTAGAGAAGTCGGAGTCAACGGAATGTGTCTTACTTTTGAAACCGAAGATGGTGATTGGCATCCATTTAATCAGGGACTACAGTTTACCACTTAATCAGGAACTAGTAGTCCTAATCAGAACATTAAGCAGAGTCCAGCTTTGATTGTAATGGAGCTTTGGTTGGTACTTCAGATTCTTCCTATATGATGCACACAAAGTTCTTTCTAATTAATATAATAAAGATCCCTGGAAAAGATAGTGGCCAATAGGTTTGGTATTACTTTTTAATGTTCTCATCATATCTCCATCACTATGTCTATCATAGAGACTGAATATAATTATGATTGACCTAGCTGTACCCGCAATAAAATTGTTTGACATTCTGCCTTGCAAAATGAGCTGAATGATATGCATGCTTGTTGATATTGAGGCTGGACTGCACATGGAAGGCGAATAGAGTGTACTGCAGTTGCATATAAATTATTTGTAACGATACAAATTAATCATCATTCTATTACTTCTGTTACTCTTTGTTGAAATTATTGAACTAAGACATATTATTCTTCATCCCAGGTTGGTGTTGTTCCAATGGATGAATCAAAAGTGATTATGAAAGGCCGTCTAGGTCCAGGGATGATGATTGCTGTGGATTTGCTTGGTGGTCAGGTTAGCATACATTTGTTGCTTCTTTCTTCTTCTCTTGTTATCTTTATCAGTGTGTTAAAGTATTCTGTGACTCACAAGTGCGGCCAACTAGACCTTTGTTTGACTGGGTGTTAAACAGTATACTTACTGCAGACCTATAATAATGGTTTTTAGAGGTGATGTATTGTGGACAACAATCAGTTTAACTAAAACAGGGACATATGCTGCTAGGTGAGACCAGTCACTTGACAATAACCAGTTTGTGATGCTTGTCCAAGCTACGCATAGTCATTGTATGCATAGACTTGACTGCAATGTGCACTCACCTTGATCCGGTACCTTTAATTAGGCTGTATTTAGTTGAGTTGTTAATTTAAGTTGAAATTAGCTAAAAGTTTGAGTTGGAGAAATATGAGATAATTTTTTTGTAGTTTCTGAAAACAGGTTATGTAATATTTTTTCTCTTTAAGTTAAGGCTAAGCCTTAAAGCTCTTCCAAGCAAAGCTTTTATCTCTTACAATTCGTAACTACTGTTTTGTGGTGAAATCTGTGTATATGTGCAGTACTTGTGTTGTCATGTTTGATTGTGATTGAATTGATGAGTCTGCAGAGCACTTGTGCTAATCTATTATTGTGTATTTCTGTCCCTTGAAGATCTACTTTTGCCATTTGCTTTACAGGTTTATGAGAATACTGAAGTGAAAAAGAAAGTAGCTTTGTCAAATCCGTATGGTAAATGGGTCAGTGAAAATCTGCGCTCCTTGAAACCTGTGAAGTTCCTCTCGTCAACAGTAATGGACAATGAGGCAATTTTAAAGAACCAACAGTAAGTTATTTCCTGTTTCTGTTTTCAGGGCCAGTCATGTAGTAGAACTAATGTGTTGGAATGAACTAAGTTCTGAAGAATGTGTTACGGTACTCAATTGCTTTCTATGCTGTTGTGTGATCAGGGCATTTGGGTACTCTAGTGAGGATGTCCAAATGGTTATTGAGAGTATGGCTTCACAAGGCAAGGAGCCAACATTTTGCATGGGGGATGACATTCCACTGGCAGTATTGTCCCAAAGGGCACACTTGCTATATGATTATTTCAAGCAACGTTTTGCACAGGTTAGTCCAAAAGACTTCTTGTTCTGACTAATTCAAAGTTGTAGAAAGTTGTCCATGTTTAAATTTTTCTGAGATATTTCATCACATTGGCTAGAGTGGCATCGAAGTAGGTTATTTGGGTTTTAAGATCAAGGTGTGAGGCATTTTCTATATTTGAAAGGAAGATTTCAGAAGACATAAGTGCTCGCAGAGTAGAAGGTAAAAGGTTTGCTAAACCATATCAAAGAAACACAAATAGGTTCGAATCTAGTTTCAGGCTTTCATGCTATAAAGGATACCCTCGCAGCACGTAGAAGCTAAGCAAGCAGAGATGAAGAAAGCAAAAGAGCGGCTACCACATCCCATCATTATCTAATTTTTGCTGGAAGCATGCCAAATGATGCTATGTTTTGAAAGTTAGAGAGAACAAATAAAAATATATGGTTGATTAAAGGAATAAAAATGGCTGAAGAAGAGAGTTTGACTTCTTTTAGCACTCTATAAAGAGGGGTATAGACTCTCCTTGGGGTGTTTCATGTAAGAGATTGGCATTCTTTTACCATGCCGTAGCATAAGGGGCAATGGATTCTTATGATGAATAATTGGCTTTTCACTATTTATGATCCTGTTAAGTTGGAAGCTAGTGTATGATAACTTGACTTCAAGGTATGTTCAGATCTTTATATTGTATGAGCCACTGTACAGGTCACTAATCCAGCTATAGACCCACTCAGAGAGGGGTTAGTTATGTCCCTCGAAGTCAATATTGGAAAGCGAAGAAACATATTGGAGGTTGGTCCAGAAAATGCTTCTCAGGTGATTACACGTTCGACCTTCCTGGCTGAGCATTCCTAGAATTTTACATATCTATGAGCATCTTAGGCATTTGTACATAACCAATATGTGCTACTTTTTGGCAGATTATATTGTCTAGTCCAGTGCTGAATGAAGGGGAGCTGGAGTCACTGCTAGCTGACCCACAGTTAAAAACTCAAGTTTTACCAACCTTTTTCGATATACGTAAAGGTGTGGAGGGTTCTTTGGAGAAAACACTTATCAGGCTTTGTGATGCTGCTGATGAAGCCGTTCGGAATGGTTCTCAACTGCTAGTGCTCTCTGACCGATCCGATGAGCCTGTAAGTACACTTAGTAAAGAACTTCAATAAGTAATAAGTGCATACTTATAAGAAAAGGTCTCATGATAGAATTTGACAATTTGTCAATCCAATGTGAACTGTAACAAATCGTTGGTGCAGCTATGCTGTGGCAATTTTAGGTTTGGCCTTTAGTGGCTGCTGGGAAACACAAGCATTAAAAGGATTTTTGGTTTTGTGAGTTTGAAAGTAATGACAGGGCAGTTGTAGTGGCAACTTCTTGTTGTAGGGAAGGGTTCAAAACTGTGGATGTCTTCTATTAATTTATTCTGGTTGTTACCTTTTTGTAATATAGTCTGAATTGTTTCATTGTCTATGAGTTAGCTACTGCTAACTGCTTCGTTGCTTTTCTCCCCTTCCAAATATTTGAAGATACCTAGAATCTTACTGGTATCATTTGCCCTTAAAAGAATTTTATATTAACCAACTGATAGCACCTTTCTGGTCTCAGGAGGCAACTCGGCCTGCAATCCCAATTCTTCTTGCTGTTGGTGCTGTTCATCAACATCTCATTCAAAATGGCTTGCGGATGTCAACCTCGATCATTGCAGATACTGCACAATGCTTTAGCACTCATCATTTTGCCTGTTTGATTGGATATGGTGCAAGGTTAACTATCCTCTCTTCACATGGAAGCTCTGTAGTGCCTTGATCTTGCTTCTTTGTCGAGAATCAAAATACTATTTACCTGAATGTCTTAGTGCATCCAAAATGTGCTATGACAATAAATGAACAGATATATGTATCTTTAATCATGCTGGTCTTTGAAACTTATTTGTAATTATATTTGTGGAGTTGTTTGAATACAGATTAGTTGTGTTCTTCTGGTCATATATTGATTTAATAATTTGATTTTATTCTTCAGTGTAAACCTTAGAATTCTTTGCTAAAAGATCTATACTGTTAGATGTTTTAATGTTTATCCTTTTCCCCCTTTGTTCTTACGTGAGTAAGATCTTGTTACCTGGGCTAAGAATTTGCCACACCAGACATAAAATCTGGAGGTTTGGTGGATGCTTCTAATTTAAGCTGTCTTGTTACAACAGTGCCATATGTCCATACCTTGCCCTTGAAACATGTCGCCAGTGGCGTTTGAGTACGAAGACTGTAAACTTGATGCGAAACGGAAAGATGCCTACTGTGACCATTGAACAGGCTCAGAAGAACTTTAACAAGGTTAGTATAACAAGTGAAATGGTGTATGCATCTTTTCTTCTTGTGTGTTGGGTTGGCTTCATTAAAATTTGAAGTTACTTATGATGAAGCATTCATGTACATTACATTTTTGTGATTTTAGTTATTTATTAAGGTCATGGGATTAGTGTATTGCATTTGAAGTCTGTACTTGTGGACTTAACTTACTTGCATACGTACCATTTCAGGCAGTTACATCTGGCCTTCTCAAGATTCTTTCGAAGATGGGCATCTCACTGCTTTCAAGGTAGTAGTAGTTAAAATTAGTATGTCCCTAGAATTTCTCATTACATACTTTAGCTGTTAGTTATGGATGTGCCTTGCAATGTGTGTTGGAATTTATCTCCACTGACCACTTTTTCTTTATTTTAGTTACTGTGGTGCTCAGATATTTGAGGTCTATGGACTCAGTAAGGAGGTTGTTGATCTTTCATTTCGCGGAAGTGTATCAAGTATTGGTGGTTTGACATTTGATGAGGTATGAAAGTGGGTCTGCTCTTATATTTAATCCATGTTGTGGCACGATATCAGTATAACCTTTTGGACGTATTTGTGGGCTTTAATTTGTCGAGGTCTGGTGATTTCGGATGTGTATAACTGTAATCCTTGCTTAAGGTTGAGTTATGGTATTGATGATCTGAAGTGGATGAATACAATCTAATATTTTCTTATGTTTCTTCTATGCTGTTGGGTCGGTAATACCACAGTTGGCAAGGGAATCATTGTCTTTCTGGGTGAAGGCCTTCTCTGAGGATACAGCCAAAAGACTAGAAAATTTTGGATTTATACAGTTCAGACCAGGAGGTAGGCTCATATAGACATAGATCTGGGTGCTAGCAACCTAGCTTATTTACGTCAGACTATGAGCAATTGTATTCTTACTGACAGTATCAACTATCAAGTAATATGGATGTCTTGATATATCTCCGGTGTCTTCATAATGGTAGTGTTCAATGTGTAAATATGCTTAACATTATTCTCCTGTTTTCTCCTCTCGTTGCCCACAGGGGAATATCATGGAAACAACCCAGAGATGTCAAAGTTGCTTCACAAAGCTGTCCGGCAAAAGAGTGAGAGTGCATATTCTATTTATCAACAGCATCTGGCTAACCGTCCAATCAATGTAAGGACATAATTACTTGTTTGTGTGTTTTTTCCCTCTTGGTTTTTTTAAACTTTTAATGTATTTCATGTCACTCTCTTCTTATATGTGTATATTGTTTGACTGGGCATGTTTTATTGTTCCTATTGTAGGTTCTACGTGATCTTTTTGAGTTCAAAAGTGATCGTGCTCCTATTCCCGTGGGGAAGGTGGAACCTGCTACATCAATAGTTAAACGTTTTTGCACTGGTGGGATGTCACTTGGGGCTATTTCACGAGAAACTCATGAAGCAATTGCCATTGCAATGAACAGAATTGGCGGAAAGTCAAATTCTGGTGAAGGCGGTGAGGTAGTCTGCTAAACATCTAACTGTTTGTCTCATATTTTTCTCTAGCGTGAGTGGCTAAGTAGTCCGTATATATTACCTACTTTAATTCCTGCATTTGCATCTAAGCTTAGAATGACTACTGTGCGAGATGATGGCATGTATTGAATGTGGCATCATTAACTCGAGATGTATTTGTTTATTGTGTATCATATTCTTATCAGGACCCTATCAGATGGAATCCACTGACAGATGTTGTTGATGGATACTCATCCACACTGCCACATCTCAAAGGTCTTCAAAATGGAGATACTGCTACAAGTGCTATTAAACAGGTTATGACAACCTACTTGTACTTTGGAATTGGTTTCTACTTTCATATATAAGATTTATAAAATAGTTAAATTCTAGATTTTATGTCAATCATCTGGCCAAAACATTTGTGGTTTTAGTAATGAGGAAATTGTTCTCTTTGGTGTAGACAACTTACCTAAGGTCTTCTTCTATACTACTCTATAATATAGTTCTGAGGCCGGTTATCATTTTCAGGTTGCTTCAGGACGTTTTGGTGTCACTCCAACTTTCTTGGTTAATGCTGATCAACTAGAAATAAAAATAGCACAAGGCGCCAAACCTGGTGAAGGGGGCCAGCTGCCCGGGCAGAAAGTTAGTGCATATATTGCAAGATTGAGGAATTCAAAGCCTGGGGTCCCACTTATCTCTCCACCACCCCATCATGATATCTATTCCATAGAAGATCTTGCCCAGTTGATCTTTGATCTCCATCAGGTGTTTTTTTTATGTCTGTAAATTTACTCATTATCACTATAGAATGTTTATGAATTTTAGTGAGTTAAGCGGATGGTGTTGCACAAGCAGGTCAACCCTAGGGCTAAGGTCTCTGTGAAGCTGGTAGCAGAAGCTGGTATTGGCACAGTTGCTTCTGGTGTTGCAAAGGCTAATGCTGATATTATTCAGGTACTGGTTTATGAACAGAATCAATCCTCTTATACATAAATTTCCTCTTGTACAATGTTGCACTGAATGGTTTTAACTATTGGTTTATGAAAGGTTTCAGCTTAACTGAAAGGGACAAGAAAGTGCTTTCAGTATGTGCATCCAAGCTGCTTACTGGCATTCTCATTTTCCTCTTGATTATGCAGATATCAGGACATGATGGTGGAACAGGAGCCAGCCCCATAAGTTCCATCAAGCATGCTGGTGGTCCTTGGGAACTTGGGCTCACAGAAACTCACCAGGTCATTATTATTTTATGTGCTCCTCTTGTTAGAAACTAATCCTTTCCCTTATTAACGGTTTATCAATTTCCAGACCCTCATCAGTAACGGATTGAGAGAAAGGGTAATTCTTCGTGTCGATGGTGGCTTCAAAAGTGGCTTCGATGTCATGATGGCTGCAGCAATGGGAGCTGACGAGTATGGATTTGGTTCTGTTGCAATGATTGCTACTGGTTGTGTTATGGCTCGTATTTGCCACACGAATAATTGCCCGGTTGGTGTTGCCAGTCAGGTAATAATGGAAACTTTTGTCTCTCTTTTTTTTTTTTGGATTGACTTATCTGTGTGGCTTTACTTCGGATGAAATGTTTCTTATTAATCAATTCCTTGGATTCCTACTTAACTGCAGAGGGAAGAACTACGTGCTCGGTTTCCTGGTGTGCCAGCTGATCTGGTTAATTACTTTCTGTATGTTGCTGAGGAGGTGCGTTCTTTGTGAAAATGTTAACTGTTTTTCATATTTGTTACTATGCTGCCGATTTTCACTTTCGTCAATTATTCGTGTCTTTGCTAGGTAAGAGGCGTGCTGGCAGAATTGGGTTACCAGAAGTTAGATGATATAATTGGGAATACAGACATACTAAAACAGCGAGACATCTCCCTTGTGAAAACTCAGCATCTTGATCTAAGTTATGTGCTCTCGGTAAGTATTAAAGCAACTTTATTTCTCATTGGCTTCACGGTTTCCATGTTTGTTTTAAGTAAACTTTATATTGTTTTTTTCGATTTAAATTTCCAGAGTGTCGGGTTGCCAAAACTGAGCAGTACAGAGATAAGGAATCAAGATGTTCACACTAATGGTCTTGTTTTGGATGACAAGATACTCGCAGATCCAGTTGTAAGAATCTTCATCCTTACTAGTGTGTATCATTAGGTGGTCATCACTGTAAACTTCTTGATCTATAACAAGTATAAAATGTTAAGAGCAATAGAAGCTAACTTGGACAAATATTCAAAGGTTAACATTTCGTGGGTTCGGCACGTGGGGAGTTATTGATCAGAAAATGTAATCTTATTTATGCCTTCGTTCTGATCAGTTGCTTTTGACTAGTTTACACTTTACAGCAACTACTGGTTGTTTGCTCCTTTTCCTTATAAGCCTTCGTTTACATGTTCAGATTGCAGATGCGATTGAGAACGAAAAGGTTGTTAACAAGACTTTCGACATATACAATGTGGACCGTGCTGTCTGTGGGCGGATAGCAGGTGCAATCGCCAAGAAGTATGGCGATACTGGTTTCGCTGGACAACTGAACATAACGTAAGATGTGGCTTACTAGTTCCCAACATTACAGTATCGGGACACATAAGAAAAACTTATTAGAGTCTTGAATACTCATGCTAGAATGTTTCCTTTTTGTACCACCAGGTTTAATGGGAGCGCAGGTCAGTCATTTGGATGCTTTATGACTCCCGGGATGAATGTCCGACTTGTAGGAGAAGCAAACGATTATGTTGGAAAGGTATGGCAATGGACCTTCATCAAAATTGCTTAAAACCAAGATTCAAGTATATAGTTTCCGAAACTAACAATATGTGTTTTGATGCTAAAAGGGTATGGCCGGAGGAGAGTTGGTGGTGACTCCAGTAGACAACGTAGGGTTTTGCCCTGAGGAAGCTGCCATTGTGGGCAACACCTGTCTGTACGGAGCCACTGGTGGCCAAGTCTTTGTACGAGGGAAAGCTGGGGAGCGTTTCGCTGTTAGGAACTCGCTCTGTCAGGCTGTCGTCGAAGGCACCGGAGACCATTGCTGCGAGTACATGACCGGTGGCTGCGTAGTTGTACTGGGAAAGTAAGTGAATGCACCCGCACTCTCCTTCACTAGTCGTTTCAGTAACATAAACAGGAAACTGCTATGTGACGATTAAAGCTTATGTCCTGGTTTGGTCGGCAGGGTTGGGCGAAATGTTGCTGCTGGCATGACTGGAGGTTTGGCATACATGCTCGATGAGGACGATACCTTGATGCCCAAGGTTTGTAGTCTCTACTGCGGGTGATTCAAGTCTCTCTACTTATTCCATCAACAAATTTGTTTTTTTTTTTTTACTGAGGCTCGGAATCCAAACAGATAAACAAGGAAATAGTGAAGGTACAAAGAGTGACTGCTCCAGTTGGTCAATTGCAGCTCAAGAGCCTCATTGAAGCTCATGTTGTAAGTTCACTCCCCAAAACATTAGGAACTCTTAGGTTGCTGAGATCCCGCTATGACCTTCGTTCTTTCTTCTGACACAAGCTCACTATCTTGATTAAAATCCAGGAAAAGACCGGTAGTGCCAAAGGCGCCGCTATCCTCGAGGAATGGGAGAAATACCTCCCACTCTTCTGGCAGCTGGTACCTCCCAGCGAAGAGGACACCCCCGAGGCTTGTGCATTGTACGAGGCCACTGCCGCAGACCAAGTCACCTTTCAGTCTGCTTAAGATGTAGAAACACATTTGTTGAAACGATTATCCGACAACAGCAGCAGCAGGAACATGGCAATGGCATGACACCAAGAAATTTGATTATTTCCCGTCGACCTCATCGTCGTAGGTCAGTCGGCCGTGGTAACAAGAAGGGAATAAGCGGCGGAGGCCATTGTTAATGGTTGGCAACGGCAATGGGGAGCAAATGTGCTGCACAGAAATGTATAGTTTAGGGTAATTTGTTTCTTGCACAAGATGTAACGTATAGCTCCTTGTTATCCGATTCTAAATCAGACCGGGGTCATTGTACTCGAGCTTACTTGAACCAAAAACTATAGCACGAACCAGGCCCCAAAATATGGGCCGGGGTTATCCATTTGGAGGAGGCAAATCTTTCCAAATATATTGGTCCTCCATTTCAGCCCAACATGATGGAAGAAAACCAGACTCAGTAGAGAGTGGCCGGCCAAATATTAGATGGCCCATAAATTGACAAGGCCCGGGCCTGCTAAATAATTAGTTAATTACTGAATGATTGAAGACAGAAGAATTCGGGTATTAAATGTCAATTAACGAGAACAACTAATAAAATAATTTGCCAGCTCGTAACGTGAAGAACAGAAGAATCTTGCCTGCGCAGGGAGAGGGAGAGACGTCACAACGGCTCTCCTTTCTTTCCCGGTTCCCTCCTCTGCAACCGATTCCGCCACAAGAATCTCAATTGGTCCTTCTCAGATTCTGGGGTTGGCTTCCGTCCAATAGCCTTTCGGTTCGCGCGGCAGTATCTTCCAATTCCTTTTTCTAGGCAAGCCAACTTCTGATATGGATGTGTACGAAGCATATTCTGTTCTTGGGGTCTCTTCTGATTCATGTTCATCTTTCCGAGGCGTATTTTGCTTATTTTTTTTCTTCATTTTTCGATAGGTGGGTGGGTCTGTTTCTCCTTTTCGCTTCTGGGTTTTGCTTCTTGTTATTGGAAATTCGCGGGAAAATCTAGTCATTAGTTGCTTTTACCTGAGCAAAAGTCTGTTCATTTTCTGGGTTGAATTAAGGTTGCTCAAGTTTGTCTGAAATGGGGTTTTGGGCATTGGTGTTCCGTTGGTTGCTTTGACATCTTCCTCGGTTTGCGTGGTAGCTGACTGTTTATGGACTCTCTAATTTTCAGATATGGAGAGGAGTTATAGTAACGATGAACCGTCAATGGCTCGCATCCAGCAATTAGAGTATGGTAATGGTTCTTACTTTGATTGCAAGCTTTCTACTGCCATGTCCTCCAATGACGTACTCATTTGTAATTGGAATACTCCTATGCATACCAGGGCAATCTGAAAATTGCATTCATGTTCCTTATATAGGGATCGACTTAGGAGTTGGAGTTTGGAAAATTGGTGACATTTGTCCTCTCTGAGCTAACCTGTAATACTTGTCCTTTTGTGATGTTTGTTTGCTAACAATAATGCGAGTGTGCAAAAGGTTATTGATTATAATGTTGCTCGATTAATTTCTCGAGTTGTGCCTTTGTATTGCGCAGTGGTTCTCTTTTTTTTTTTTGGTGCTGTGGGTTGCTAAATAATTTACTAGTAAGTGACATCGTAACACTGTTTGAATCCTTTTGTTTTCTAGAGCGTGATGAACTGCGCAGAGAGCGTGATGAGTTGCGTAAAGATATAGAACAACTATGCATACAGCAAGCTGGACCTGGCTACCTGGCAGTGGCAACTCGGTTGCATTTCCAGAGGTATCATTTGTATTTTATTGCTTCTCATTCTTCAGTAGATGGGCAAATGTTCTCCATCGTATCTGTTTTCACTATTATTGGTCCTGGGGGTATGGTCTAGGTCTTTGGTGGGAGACATTGGGAGTTCCTTTTATGTGTAGTTTGCCACGAGTTAAGAAAGCATAAGGATTGTTAATGCCTTATTAGGACAGCTGGCTTGGAGCAGGAAATAGAGAATTTGAAGATGAAGTTAGCTGCCAGTACTAGAGAGAGTCGAAATCTTCAAGAAGAGCTTTCAGAAGCATTTCGAATTAAAGTGAGATTTTGGCCGGCTTGTGCCATATATACTTTTTCCCCATCTCTGCACAAGTTCTTAATGACTTATTGTTTCTAGGCCCAATTGGCGGAGCTGCACCAAGCTGAAGTGGCAAAGGTCTCCCTCTTGTCCTTCTTTCTCTCTGTTGTTTCTGGGTTCATGTGTTGCTGTTTGTTTGCCTGTGAATGTGTCTATTTTGTGCTCCTGTCAGAGTGTGGCACTGGGGCACAGGATTTCATACTCTAATAACTTTATTATTTTGAAGGCATTCATATAACTTTAGCTAGAAATTTGGTATAATTTGTAAAAGATCTTGTGCTCAGAGTTTCCCGATTATTCTGACATTGTTTCAACTTCTTTCTCAGAATATTGAAGCAGATAAACAAGTCAAATTTTTTCAAGGAAGTGTAGCTGCTGCTTTCGCTGAACGTGATCAGTCCCTCTTAGAGGTAACTCGCAGATGATTAAAGCATTCATTAATCAAGAATCCATTCAGGCACCTAAGCTTGGTCATGGTTCATGGCAGGCTGAAAAAGCTAAGGAGAAAGAGGAGCTTATGTCACAGAAATTTATCCCAATGCAGACTAGGTAGGCTTCCTTGTTTATGTCTTTTATTAACTGGTCATCGGAAATATGACCATTCTTTGGAGTTCTCTTTTAGGTACCCTAACCTGTGGCACAATACCTGTAAATATTAGAAAGAAGGCTGGTGAAGGCTGTATATTTGTTTCATATGTTTAAGTAGAAGTTCTCCCATTGCATAATTCTTTTCAAAACTTAGATTGTGTAGTCCATCTGTGCTACCACGAGACATACATGGCCGCGAGCCCTCTTCTGCTCTTCGTTTCTTTTTGGATCTCTTGGAAGAATGACAAATACTCCCATGTTTGTCTAGGAGTGGTTTGAGGATTTATATTGTTGAAGTTTGTGCCTCTGCTGTCTTGTTGTAGAGGGTATCCGTTCGTTCCTTTCCTCAGCTTTTTCAATGCCCGTCAGTCATTGTATGGCCTTCCACAGTTCGATGAAATAGTGATTCACTGGAAAAAGTTCTAATATATGAACATACGGTATGCAGATTGGAAGAGCTGAGTTCGGATCTTCTACAGCAGAAGAGAAGGAATGATGAATTGCTGCTTGATCTAGCAAAGCAGGAACAGCAGAATGAAAACTTGAAGAAGGTATTGTCTTTCCCACTTCAACTTCCTTATTATGAAAATTGTTTAATGGTCTGTACTGTCCAAAAAAATGGATGTGCATCTTTATGCTACTGGCTGTTGCTTTTGCATCTGATAATAATTAATTAATTATGCTTCTTGACTTGGGAAATGGCAGGTCGTCAACAAGTTTTTTGAGATTCGTCAGCAATCATCTGAGGGATCGCTTAAAACAACTTCTGATGAGAAGTGTGAATGTCTGTTACATGACCCAGTTGAAGTTTGGAATTATAACGATCCTTCAACCTCTGACTACATTGTAAGAATCTCAAATATTACTCCTTAAACAAAGTTCATAACTTATTAATATTTCTCTTTGAGTGCTATTATAGTGCCTTCTGCAGTCCAATTTGTGATTTTAACAACTTACCACCAGTTACTTTGCATGATAAGCCATGGATAGGCTGTTGAACTTTTATCACTCCCTGTTCATCTTGGTGACTGAATAAAATATTGCATATTCCATCAGTTTGAAGTGAATTTGATAGTGTGGGCATAGGTATTCCAAAATTTGCTTCCATCTCGAGCATTGTCTGTGGATTCTATACTTTTGCTCTTGCAATGTGATTAACTTATCATCAGACAGAGTGCATTGGAAGAAGAGCTGGAGACAGTGAGAAAATCTGTTGATGATCTCCGGAATAAGATGCGAATGGTATGTAATGTATAGACCGTCGGGTTAGAGGGCCTTTTCCTCCATTTTGGGAGTTGATGAAGTGTTACTTTTTATTTTTGCTTGCAGGGTTTGGACATTGAAAAACACTTGAGGAAGAAAGTTTGTGATGTCGAAAAGAACCTAGTGGGTATTATTATGTTGATATACGAATCTTGTTAACTGATCCTTAATTCCTTTTACTGACCGTCGAGTTCTTCACAGATTCGTTTTAACAAAGTCGTCATGAGTGGAATGTTGGAGTTACACAAATTTTATTCTCAGCATAGACTTGGAATTCTAAATTTACTCGCCGAGGAAAAATCTCAACTCAAGTCGACAGTTGATATGATTGAAGAGCATATCAAAGGGTTTAACCTGACACAACAGAATATTGTGGTTTCTGAGGTAGTTGCAAGCTCAGATGAAACTGAATGTCGAGATGTGCATGTAAGCACAGTCACTGACATGCCCTCAGCATCCACGGTTAGTTTACACTTCCTTAATTGTGATTTGATGACACCTATATTGTGACTTAGTTTCTTAAATGCAGACAGTTGATGTTCGGCTATTAGCATAAATCCATGGTTAAAAATAGAAGCTGCTCTCCCACGAACATCTTTACAGGTTTAGCTTTCTTGTTTATTTGTGGTTTATATGTTGCAGAGAAACGACACTGCCTCAAAAATTGTTGCAGCTTCTAATGAAGATGTTGAAGCCTCTGAAGTCCTGAAGCAAGCATTGCAAGAAAAGGTTACTTGCGATACTATTTTTTCCTCCCTATTGTTTTCTTCCTCCCTAGTGCTTCCTTCCCCCTCCCCCCCGCGAGACTCAAGCATCAGTGCTATCGTGTGTTCTAAATGCTTGAGAGTCCTAATTTCTTGATCTTCCACCTTCCCTCCATCTCTCAGGTTCAGACACTGTTGCTATTGTCTCAGCAGGAGGAAAGACAATTGCTGGAAAGAAATGTGAATGGAGCGCTTCAGAAAAAGATAGAGGAGCTTCAAAGAAATTTACTGCAAGTAAATTCCTCTAGAAGTCATTTACAGCATATTGGCTGTAGTTTCCAAAACATTAGTTTCTTCTTCGGATGGATGTTCATGGGCTGGTACTATGTGTTTGAACATTCAGGTTACTCATGAGAAGGTGAAAGCTCTTATGGAGTTGGCACAGCTAAAACAGGAGCATCAACAACTACAAGAGTATGATATCAGCGTCTCCTTAAATTCCAACTGGTTCTTTCTTAAGTTTAAACTCATGAAGAGACTATTGCTATGTTGCAGGAAGCTCGCTAATGAGGCAGGGCAAGGAAATTCTTTAGCAGAGAAAAAGCAAACAAATCAGGAAAGAGATGTAGGGATAAAGAATGTGCTGAAGAAAACTTATCTGAGACGGTGGCTTGGCACGTTGGATTCCACTGGTAGAAGTGAAGTTGACGTTCACTCAAGTAGTCAAGGAGACTTATCGGGGAGAAAGTCAAACTCAATGAATGTTGCAAGGTCCATATTTTTTACTGTTGTGTGCTTATTGGAACTACTTATGCTTGCCAATCTATAACTTTGTGCCGTTTTTCAGAATGAAGATTGAAAATGCTACTCTCAAAGAAAGCTTGGAAAGTATGGAGCATTTGGTTTCCTCAACTCATAGACTCCGCCTCGCACTCACCAGGGTAACATTCATAAACGTTAGAACTTAAGAACTGGTGGTTCTGAGATGGTGGAATGAGCTAAGAAGTTTTCTGTTTATTCTCTAACATGGCATTGCAGATTCGAGAGTCGATGGCAGAGAAAAGCACAGAACCCGGCTTGTCTGGAGCTCTGGACGGCATAATTTCCGAAGCTAAACTGGTGAAGACCGCACTAGGAAGCTCACTACCAATCAGTTGGTCAGCAGAGGTGGATGTTGCGCCAAGCAGTCCAAGATTCTCCACCGAGCCATCAAGCCCTTCGGCTGATACCACTGATGAGAAGATGGATTTTGTGTCTGCAGCCGGGTTTGAGATGGTGGAACTTCTGATACTTGCTGCTCAAGTTTTGAAAGAGACCATCAGCAAAGCTCCTGAGAATGGAAAAGATTGCTGCCCAAGTTCTTCCTAGGCCACGGCTACATATAGTACAGCTTTGGGAGGAGTGCATCAAGCGATTTATCGTGTAAAATGTTACCGGGAAAGGGGGGTAAAACAGGGTTTTGAGATGCAAAGATGGAGACTTGAGTTGTTAGGTGTAGTATTGTACTGCTGTATACTATAAACTGGTGAAGGAGATGAGGTGCAATTGCAACTAGTTGTTCTGTGAATATGTTTTGGGATTGTGTTCATGTTGGTGCATTCATAAAGAAATTACTTCTCAGAAATCAATTTAATTTAATGAGTATAAAGTATAAACAATTATCTAACTTCTTCTAAATCTTCACATTCTTATAAAATGTATTGGTAATGCCTATATGCCATGCCCATAACCTTCAAAATCTTTACATTTTTATAGTCTCTTTTTTCTTTTGTCGGCACGTTTCTATGGTATACCTTTCGTAATACTAATAATCATCATTTTATAATCCAATCTGTCTTAAAATCTTCACAGTTTGTGTAACAAACTAACTATGAACAAAAAAACTTTTCAATTTATGTAAAAATTGTTTACAATTTTTTTAATTTTTTTTTATGTATTTCTAATACTTGTTTGGTATAGCTTTATAATTTCATATAATGTTCACTATTGGAATTCTAGGTGATAACAAACAAAAGTGATTAAAATGTACAAACTAATAGTCAAAGTTTTTTTTATGGATTAAACTAATAGGCAAAGTTTAATTTTACGTAAGAACGTAATGTGTGTACGCCACAAATCAAGAGCACCGAATATATCATAAACTTGAATCATAATATTGTCTAACTCGAAACAATAAGTTAGTCGTATAGCAAACAAAACAAAGCAAGTGAACAAACACATTGAGACAATTTTTAGTTTATTTCTTTAAGGTTGAAAAACATAGGTACTATATGGCCAATCAACTTGCCTACACATTACAACCATCTTCAGAGTGTTTCCAATTCCAAAAAAGAAAACACAAAAGTTTCCACCTACTAGCAATGGCCAACCCTAAATCACCCCCACAACAACATCAACCCATCAAAACCCAACCATTCAAATCAAGCAGCAGCAATCCCTGGAGCCAGTGTTTTCGGGCCAACCGGGAGTTGATCCTCGTCGTTATCGCTCTCGAGCTGGCTGTAGTTGCCCTTCTCCTTGAAGAGTTGGATATGGTGGTGCTTGCAGTACAACACCCCTTCATGTGCAATGTAGTTTGATGGGCTGATCGTGCATCCTCCATATGAGCACCTGAAGCACTTCCTATGGTACCATGTTCCATTCACTGTCACCCTCTCAATTGGGTACACAGTTTTTGTGCACTGCTTGCACTTCTCTTTTGTTCCCGCGAACATGTTTGACACCTTGCTCGCGTTCTGTACATGTCGAAATCGTCATTAAGTTAACCATCGTCATTAAAGAAGAAGAAGAACAAAAAGAACAGAATTGATTTGTTTTTACCTCGCTGTCAATGGATCTTTCAGGCTTGGTAACTTTAGGAGTTCCTGGGAATTGTTTGGGTGAAATTAATTAATTAGCCAGTGTAATGTTATTGAAATGAAGAGAAGATGGTAATGTATGTTTAAAGGAACCTTCAAAGCTCTTGTCGAGGCTGCCAGTTCTTTTGAAGAGCTGGTCAAAGTGAGGCCTGCAGTACAGAACTCCCTCGAATGAACAGAAGTTGCTCAGCTGCAAAAAGTTTTATGGCATTAGAGTGCATGTTTCATCGATAACTAGAGGTGGCAATTTCAATCCAATCCACCAATCCAATCCATCAATCCATTAAAAATATCTACCTAATCCAATCCATTTAAATCCAATCCATTTGATCCAAATCCAATTGGATTGGTGGATTCATGGATTGGATCCATGGATCATTGGCAAATTACGGTTTAGTACCTATAATTTTTATTTTTTACATTTTGATACCTAAAATTTAATTTTTTATAAGAAAATTATCATTGGAAAATTACATTTTGGTACCTAAAAATTTTCATTGTGACATTTTAGTACCTAAACTTTTTACATTTTACATATTGGTCCTTGGTTGAGGATGTCATTTGGATTCATGGATAATCCACCAATCCACTTGATCCAATCCATGAATCCACCAATCCATTAGATCCAATCCATTTGATCCATGGATCCACCAATCCAATCCACCAATCCAATCCATTTGCCACCTCTATCGATAACATTGTAAATTCATATTGATAAAATCGGATGTACCTTAAGGGTGTTGTTACAGTGGTGGCAACGGAAGCAAGACTTGTGGTAGATGCGAGTATCCGCAACCAGTTTGTCGACGAGGTACACGGTCTTTTCGCAAGACTTGCATTTTTGTTGGGTTCCGGCAAAAGCACTGGAGGCCATTTGTAACAGATCAAGATGAGAGAGAGAGAGCCCCTGAGGAAAAAAAAAAAATATGACGAAAAAGAAAAGAGAAAGAAACAGAAAGCAAGAACTTGTTTGCTCCTGTCCCTTTCTCTTTTCTGTGTTTCGGGGGTTTCCTCTCTTATTCTTTGTTTCTTATTTTCCTATGCCTTGATTTGCTTTGATCTTGTTCCTTCCCTTATAATGCCCCTGAATAAGGTTAATTTTGGTGAAAATTCTAAATTTTGAGTGAATTATGAGATGAGTTTTATTTTTAGAAACACTTTAAAATAGTGGTAAATATAAGTTTAGGCTTTCAACCATTGAATATGATGACTTCAATATTTCATGGTGAATGGAAAGTGGAAAAGAATTAACGGTAGGATAGTAATGAGCTGTTTTCAAAATATCTAGATGTTCCTTTCAATCTATACCATACCGGATTCAATTTGATATTTGAATTCGATTTGTCCGAGACCAAATTAATGTACGATTTAATCTAAATTGGAGTTAATATACGATTTAATTCGATTTTGATTCTCAAATTCAAAATTTTCATTTCTTATATGATTGATTCTTTGATGAAACAAATAAAAGTTGAAATCCAAAGGATATAGAACCAAACCGAATACTCTTTAGACGCAATTCTTAGTTCTCATTTTTCTTTCACTTCCGATCTGATCCTATATTACTCGAACTAATTCCAAACCAAACCATACCCATCACTACATGTATTTTTTCTTTAATTTAGGGCACCAAGGCACTCCCTCGATCAATAAGTTAAGTCTTGCCATTCTATACATCTTCCAAGTTCCATACATCTTCCAACTAAAAAAATACCAAAAGGAGTAGACAAAAAACTGGAGGACTTTTGGCCTTTGGCCGTGTACAAGTTCCAACCTTTTAAGCCTCAAATTGCTTACTACCTTCAAAAGTCTGCCCAAAGTTCCAGTCTTTAGGGGCAACATTGTAAGAGGCAATCGTCTGGCCATCACTACTAGTGACCTCAAACGACAATGGCTGGTTTCTCAAGTCAGCATTTACATGCCAATTCTGTCCCCAATTCCTGCCCATCGGAAGCCACCCGGTCCTCGAACCCTTTATCTTCACCGCAGTGACGTCCCCAGCTCCGGCCACATTGGTGATCAGCACCGAGATGAAGATGCTCGATCCAGAGACCTGGAATCTTATCCCCCCTTCTCTCCGGCATTTGATTCTGATTAAAAAAAAAGGCAGAACCAAGAGAAACAACATTGTTTCAGCCATATGGGAAGAGTGTACACATTCAGCAACAATCAACTTCATGCACCAAGAACAACCACGATGAAGATGCCTATTACCACACATACACGAACCATATGCATATAACGAGACTTGAGTGCTCGTGTCGACTAACCATAACCATCAGCTACTCTATCTACAACCCTTCACTCGGGCTATGGCCTACCGATACAGCAAACAGATTAGAATATACAGCAATGCATTCTGCCATAGGCTGCAAGTGTCTTTTTCTTCAACTTCAAGCTTAACTTCTATTCTACCCATGTAAAATAAACTCAATTCACTTGATCTTTTCCTTCAAACTGAAGCTAACTAACTACAATGGATGACACTGAATTGCCCCCTGTTGGGCAGAATAGCATTCTGGAAAGTTCAGCAGTCCTTTTCCTTCTCTTGGCAACTACATCCCACCAAAATCAATACTATACACCAAGACTAACCCTAGCATCCAGATCCAGAAAGTGCCTAATTTAGCTACTCTTTGAAGTACTTAGCTTCCCCAGAGCATTTCGTCATTCAAGTGTTCGATTTCGTCCCAATTTCTAACAGAACCAATCAATTTATCAAAAATCAAAACAAATTGTGTTACCTCCGGTACTGAACAGGCATGATGCCGACCTTCCAGATGGCGATCTTCTCGAAAGCTTCGATGGGGAGAACGAAGTGCTTGTTGGGAGGATTGCAGTGTCCCCCGCCGTCGGAAGGAAACCCGTAATTGGGAGGGCAGAAATTCGTCACCGCGAGGATAATCGAAGTCCCCGGTATGCACCAGCGGAGGTCGTCGACGCAGCGGAGCTCGAAGCACGCGCCGCAGATCTGGCCGCGCTCGAACAGCGACTCGCTGAGCCCGACCGTGGCCATCCCGTATCCGGCCCGGACCAGGTCGCCGTAGCCGCAGGCCCCGCCGACGTTGTCCCGCGGGTCGGATGCGAGGTAGTACGTCGCCCGAGCGGCGCTCCAGTCGGACAGCGAGGCGCCGGTGGAGGAACCGGAGGTGGCGCCGCCGCCGAATAGCAGCGAGAAGAGGAGGAGTGGGAGCAGAAATGAGAGCGGCATTTCTGCGGCGGAGCTTGGATTCGGGAGGGAAATGGAGATTTGGCGGAGGGAGCGGAAAGGAATCTCTATGGGAGCATTTCTTGAAGAGGAAAGTGTGAAAGGAAGTGAAGGTCGTTAATGGAGTTTAGCGCTCTTTAGTAAGGCCGCGTTTGTAGGGTAAAGATGCGTCGTTTGCTGGGCGCCGAGGTAATTATTTGTCAGCGCGCTTTTTGAAAAGAAAAAGACAGTAATCATTTTAAATTCTTATCCAAGACCCATTGGGCCGATGGGTCTGAAATCCACTTGAAAAACATTCCACCGGATATATGGGCTTCAACACAATCTTAAAATATATTAAAGGGCTTTGATTTTTTGACCCCTTCCACGTCAGCCTCTCTCAAAAGAGAGCGTATCCACGTCAGCCCATAAAAAACAACTTACATTCTCTCTCCATCCTCTCTACGATCCCTCTTTGCCATCCTTTGATTTCACTTCATCTCTCATCACCGCCACACCCCGGCGGTTACTTCTTTCCATATGCTATATATTTCTCATCACCGCCGCTCCCTCATTCTCAGTCTCACAATTCACACCCGGCGGTTCCTTCTTCCCAATCGATCTACTACACTCTTCATCCCCACCAGTGCCCGCACCGATAAAAATTTGAATCCAACAATTACCATCTTCCATTCCATGCAACGGACGCATTATCTACCAACGATACCCAGCCGACTGGTACGTTTCGATACGATTTCACCCATCCGTTCTCTCCATTCCCAAGCATCTCTAAGTCAACATGTTTTGTAGGCTAAAATTAAAATCTTTTCAGGCTTCAGGCTTCGATCAACATGCCGCCAGCAAAGTAACTCCCCTGTTTTTCCTTCATCTATACTGGCATTGCCCAAGTCCCGATCAGTGAATTGATTGAGAAAATTGGCGGTGGATTCTTAGACCTCGAAGGGGAAGCGTGCTGGAGTTGGTAGATCCGTGGGAGATGTAAAGAGGCAGACTGGTCGGCAATAGCGAAGAGGCGATTGGAATTGGCAGATTTGAGGGAGATCATGAGAAAGCAGCATGTAATACATTCTCAACTCCATCTCCAACTAACCCATCTTCCCTCTTTATCCTTTAATTAATACCATAGGTTGTCATGTATGGTTGTTAAGGTCTTTATTCTCAATCAGTTTGTCTTATGGGTTTTCTTTTTTCTTCTCTTTCAGTTCTGATCTTCATCCAAGTGGCCGGAAGTCACAGCCACTTGGCTACGCTTCCATCGTTGCCAAGTCTTTTGGGTTTTCCTTTTCCATCTCCTGCAAGCACTATGTTTGTTATGAATTCTGCCAACGCTGCAAAATTATATTTTTGTTCTAACTTCTTTCTCCAATCCAAATACACTTCTCGGACAATAGAAGCTAAGGCCATTTAATATGACAAAACTATAACGATCGAGTACGATTGAAGAGACACCATGAGCATGAGATAACATGCCATGCCATGCAATCTATATTTGGTTTACTTTTTGCCATTGAATCATATTGATTACACAAATTCGATCAACATTCTTCTTCTATTATTGATACTGATTTGCAGCAGCTATAGACGTTAATAATTGGTAAGCTTTTCTAATGAACTCTACTCCTCCAATTCAAAGACGTGTACCTCTTTGACCTTTAAGCTCTTGAGTTCTATCTTTTTTGCAGGTCGCCAAATTTGTGGGTAGCCTCCTTGGACCTCCAGTTTGCAGTGTGATTATGGTAATGTTTCTTTCTTGATTGCCCTACAAACCATCATAAAGCCATTTCAAATCTAATCACGGTACGAATTAATAGAACATGATTTAACATTCATGGAGATTTTAGTTTCAATTTAAACCAGTGACCCAACAATAAACACCGATCAAGGTTGGTAATACATCAAAGGTTGCTCCAGGGAATGGAGAGCAAACAAAGCATCAATGAACCTGGATACGACTTGCCAATCTGGACAGGGGTGAAAAGGCCTATTGGTTTGTAGTGTGGGGGTGAGAATGTAAATTGGATAGGCACTATATGAATGGTTGAAATTCTTATTTATTTATTTGGAAGTGAGATTTTCATTCATAATTACAAGGAAAAGAGCAATTTAGTATGATATCTATACAAGTATAAGAAAGTAAGTGGTAGTTTGGAAATTGCGAATGTTAAATCGTTGTATTGTAATGAATCACAATAATGTAAATACATGTATTGGTACAATAGATGCATTTCAATAATACATTGTTTGGTTGATGAGGTTCTACTTGATGTATTGACTTGCATAAAGTTATTTTATGGGAAAATATCACATTTACCCTCAACTTTTAGTATAAGACAAAAATTAATAGGGATAGAAATGGAAAGAAAAAATGGACACAAATCTAAAATCAACAATCACAACAATCTCAAGTTTTGTTGAAATTGTATATAATGCATCATTTTTTGTGATTGTTGATGGGACCTATACCTATAACAATCATGCATTGTTTTACACTTAGGTACTTCCAAACATTATGGGGTTGTTTGGAAGTTGTGATTCTTCAAATTGATGTATTGGGACAATTAGTATTCAATAAACACAACTCTAACAATGTCATGTATTCAATAAACACAACTCTAACAATCACAACTACCAAATGACCCTAAGAAACTGTCAAAGCCAAAACCAAAAATTTGGTGGGAGCCCAAAATAATAATAATAATAATCCGGCCAAAGGCCGGGCCCGATGCTAGTAAGCCCATAAACGTTTTCATAAGTACAGTACAGGTACCAAAATGATACTTTGTTTTCCATTCTGGAAGGAACAGAATTCCTGACCGGCCACGGTGACGAAGAGCGTCCTAGAACAATCTAGAATTTCCCATCGTCGTTGCCCTAGTGCAGCTATAAATAACTGCACTGCAGGAACCCGATCGTCAATTCAGTACTACTCCGCTCTTCAAATTTTCGTTCACGATCTGTGAAAATTTCCGGTGATTCTTGGGATTGTATCGCCACAACAATGGCCGCTGAAGCAGAGACGTTCGCCTTCCAGGCGGAAATCAACCAGCTGCTTAGTCTGATCATCAATACCTTCTACAGCAACAAGGAGATCTTCCTCCGCGAGCTTATCAGCAACTCCTCCGACGTAAGTCTTAAATCTCTTTTCGTATACTCGCTATTGTTGTAGGTGTCGATTAGTTGCATGGCTGATTAGGGTTATGGATCTGCGCAATTATGTGCTCTGTACTAGGCTTTGGATAAGATTAGGTTCGAGAGCTTGACGGACAAGTCCAAGCTCGATGGACAGCCGGAGTTCTTCATCCGCATTATCCCGGACAAGGCCAGCAATACCCTGACCATCGTCGACAGTGGCGTCGGCATGACTAAGGCTGGTGAGGATCGGTTTCGATTGCCTTCGTTTGGTTTAACTATGAATTCAGTGTGGGCGTTTGATTGAGAATTTGTTCGCCGTTTGGTTGGTTTTAGATTTGGTGAACAATTTGGGTACGATTGCGAGGTCTGGAACCAAGGAGTTCATGGAAGCATTGCAGGCTGGAGCTGATGTTAGCATGATTGGACAGTTTGGTGTTGGTTTTTACTCGGCTTACCTTGTTGCCGAGAAGGTTATTGTGACCACGAAGCACAACGATGATGAGCAGTACATCTGGGAGTCTCAGGCCGGTGGTTCTTTCTCCGTGACCAGAGATGTTGATGGTGAGCAGCTCGGCAGGGGAACCAAAATGGTTCTCCATCTGAAGGAAGACCAGGTATAAGAAAACTATACCCATGAATGTAACACTCTCTTGTCTAGGTAGCAACTTGCCGAACTTATTCATGTATGCTAGATAGATGGATGTTTGTGTAATGCAAAATTCTGTAGGGAGTAGTTACAATCTCTGAAAACTGTAGCAGCTAGCTCAATGCGTATTAGTAAAGTATCAATGCTTTGGGCTTAGTCTTACTATGTCTCTGTTTGTATGCATCAGCTTGAATACCTCGAGGAGAGGAGGATCAAAGACCTAGTGAAGAAGCACTCTGAGTTCATCAGCTACCCAATCTACCTCTGGACCGAGAAGACAACTGAGAAGGAGATCAGCGATGATGAAGATGAAGATGAGCCCAAGAAGGAAGAAGAAGGTGCAGTCGAGGAAGTTGATGAGGAGAAGGAAATTGAATCCAAGAAGAAGAAGAAAATCAAGGAGGTCTCTCATGAGTGGGAGCTCATCAACAAGCAGAAACCCATCTGGCTGAGGAAGCCTGAGGAGATCACCAAGGAAGAGTATGCCTCTTTCTACAAGAGCATCACCAACGACTGGGAAGACCATCTTGCCGTGAAGCACTTCTCTGTTGAGGGCCAGCTTGAGTTCAAAGCCATCCTCTTTGTCCCCAAGCGTGCCCCATTCGACCTCTTTGACACCCGCAAGAAGGCCAACAACATCAAGCTCTATGTCAGGCGTGTTTTCATTATGGACAATTGCGAGGAGCTCATCCCTGAGTTCCTTGGCTTTGTCAAGGGTGTGGTTGACTCTGACGATCTCCCACTCAACATCTCCCGTGAAATGCTCCAGCAGAACAAGATCCTGAAGGTCATCAGGAAGAACCTGGTTAAGAAGTGCATTGAGATGTTCAACGAGATCGCTGAGAACAAGGAGGACTACAACAAGTTCTACGAGGCCTTCTCCAAGAACTTGAAGCTTGGCATCCATGAGGACTCCCAGAACAGAGCTAAGTTGGCTGACTTGCTGAGATACCACTCCACCAAGAGCGGTGAAGAGTTGACCAGCTTGAAGGACTATGTCACCCGCATGAAGGAGGGGCAGAAAGATATCTTCTACATCACAGGAGAGAGCAAGAAGGCAGTGGAGAACTCTCCCTTCCTTGAGCGCCTCAAGAAGAGAGGGTACGAAGTCCTCTTCATGGTTGATGCAATCGACGAGTATGCAGTCGGTCAGCTCAAGGAGTACGACGGGAAGAAGCTGGTCTCCGCCACCAAGGAAGGGCTCAACCTGGACGACGAGACTGAGGAAGAGAAGCAGAAGAAGGAAGAGAAGAAGCAATCCTTCCAGGAGCTCTGCAAGACCATCAAGGACATCCTCGGCGACAAGGTCGAGAAGGTGATCGTCTCAGACCGCATCGTCGACTCCCCTTGCTGTCTCGTCACTGGAGAATACGGGTGGTCTGCCAACATGGAGAGGATCATGAAGGCACAGGCTTTGAGGGACAGCAGCATGGGATCCTACATGTCGAGCAAGAAGACTATGGAGATCAACCCGGACAATGGCATAATGGAGGAGCTGAGGAAGAGGGCCGAGACCGACAAGAACGACAAGTCCGTCAAGGATCTTGTCCTGCTCTTGTTCGACACCGCCCTGCTTAACAGCGGCTTCAGCCTCGAGGACCCCAACACTTTTGCTAGCAGGATTCACAGGATGCTGAAGCTGGGTCTCAGCATTGACGAGGACGAAGCTGCCGATTCTGAGATGCCGCCGTTGGAAGATGATGCCAACGAGGAGAGCAAGATGGAGGAGGTCGACTAAGGCGTTTGTGTTTCGATGGAGAGCTATGAAGTATGAACGATATTGGTAGTATTTAGTTTTCTGCAATCTTGTTGCCGGTTCTAGTTGTAGGCTTGTCTGGTTTCCATTTGGTACTACTTTCTGTTTAGCTTTTGGAATTTGGATTTTGACTTTTGAGGAGAGGCTGATGGGTTGAGATCTTTACGTCTCACATGGTTTTGGGATAGTTTGATCAGCTGTGTTATTAGTCTTCTCTCGAGGAATCGGACGCTATGATATATATATATGGGGTATAATTATTTTTCTTTCTGCCTTTCTGGGTTCCATGTTCTTGCTGTATGTGGTTTAATGGAGACAGGTAAGTTCAAGCCCTGGGCTCGTGCCTATATTGAAGGATTGGGCCTAACGGTTATGGGCCTGATGTGCTGGGTCCAGGATGTAATGGGCTTGGTCCTTGATCGTGTTTCCTTATCCAAACAAATATAATCGAACTCTGTTGTAACAGAAAATACACAACCACCCTGATTTCCCAATTCCCACTCTTGTTATCATATATTACAGGATTTCTTGGACTAGAAGTTACGTACCACGTTCAATCTGCTAACGAACAAGTAACAAGGTCTTAGTCTAATTTACCTCTAGGTCTCTACGTACAGCTACATAACAAAAGGGAGATAACATCTGAAACACCTCAACATAGAGTTGGGTTGTCACACCATGTTTGTAGTTAATGGTTGGAAATGTGTCGTATGTAATTATAGCAACACAAGTCATATGACGAGCACGAGCTAATTCGAAATGCTCGATTGATCAAGAAAGACGTCGACTCATCAAATCTCGCTCATATAGATTTAGCAGCTTTTTATTTAGAGCTTCACTATCGAGTGTTACTTCGTTAGTTCCTTCGTCTGCCTGGAAATTTTGCACCAATATAAGTTCACAAATCAGCATCAACTTGCCATCACTTTCAATCATGGGAAATATCAGAACTAATGAATAAAAGGGATGTAATGGAGTGTGTATTATTTAGTGTGTGGACAAAGTAACCTAATATTTAATTGATCATCGTTCTATATACTATATACTTAAAGGATTCTAGAGTGTTGCTTTTAGCTAGCTACCTAGCAAGATAGTGACAAATTGTCCATCCTTCATTTATATTTTCGTGTGTGAACCCATGGAAAGGAAGTAAGATGCTAGCAAAACTATGCATAATATATACAGGGCTTGTGGCTTTGATGCACTCAAACAATGCAAGTAGGGTCCATCATGAATCTTTCATCTACAATCCTTAAATCATTAATTAACCAAATGATAACAGAGAACCATGAAAGACAACAGTAATTAGAAACAGAAAAGGCTTTGAAACTCTACCTTAAGATGGAGATTGTAGAAGACCCTTCCTTGGAAAGACTGGAACGAAGAAGAGTTCACCAGATCGAGTCCAGTCTCTTGGAGGCGCAACAGGATTTCCGAGATGTGAAATGTGTTACCACTGTCATTACTGCTTTTGGCTGCTGAGACCTGGACCATGACATCATGTTCACTCAGCCAGCTCGTGGACACTGTGGATGAAGATGACGCTAACGATGAACATGAGGAAGTGAAGTTCTTCGTTGTATCTGGGTTCAAGTGATGATGATGATCATCATCAACACGGTCGTGCTTGTTGCCGAGTCGGTTGTCATTGGCTTTGGTCAACAAGACTAAATCGGTGCTTAATGGACTTATCATCCGCGGAGAATAGGATCAATAGACTTCATTATCGGTGGAGAATAGCCTCGGCCTGATTCCGTGATCTGTAGCCTCCAGAATCGAAAGAAAATAGCATTTCGGATAAATCGCCCAAAATTTGTGATGATACCCCTTTGGAATCTGCCAAAAATTGTCCCGGAATAAATCCGCCTAAATCGGTGCATAATGGAATTAATCATCGTTGAAGAATAGCCTCAGCCCAAATCCGTGATCTGTAGCCTTCAAAATCCAAATGAAATGGCCTTTCGTCGCCCAAAAAATTACGAAAATGCCATCGAAAAATAAATTCGCCCAAATCGGTGCTTAATGGACTTATCATCCGCGGAGAATAGAATCAATAGACTTCATTATCGCTGGAGAATAGACTCGGCCTGATTCCGTGATCTGTAGCCTCCAGAATCGAAAGAAAATGGCATTTCGGAAAAATCCCCCAAAATCTGTGATGGTACCCCTTTGGAATCTGCCAAAAATTGACCCGGAATAAATCCGCCCAAATCTGTGCTTAATGGAATTAATCATCGTTGAAGAATAGCCTCAGCCCAAATCCGTGATCTGTAGCCTTCAAAATCCAAATGAAATGGCCTTTCGTCGCCCAAAAAATTACGAAAATGCCATTCAAAAATAAATTTGCCCAAATCGGTGCTTAATGGACCTATCATCCGTGGAGAATAGGATTAATAGACTTCATTATCGGTGGAGAATACCCTCGGCCTGATTCCGTGATATGTTGCCTCCAGAATCGAAAGAAAATGGCATTTCGGAAAAATCGCCCGAAATCTGTGATGGTACTACCCCTTTGGCATCTGCCAAAAATTGACCCGGAATAAATCCGCCCAAATCTGTGCTTAATGGACTTAATCATCGTTGAAGAATAGCCTCAGCCCAAATCCGTGATCTGTAGCCTTCAAAATCCAAATAAAATGGCCTTTCGTCGCCCAAAAATTTACGAAAATGCCATCCAAAAATAAATTAGCCCAAATCGGTGCTTAATGGACTTATCATCGGTGGAGAATAGGATCAATAGACTTAATTATCGGTGGAGAATAACCTCGGCCTGATTCCGTGATCTGTAGCCTCCAGAATCGAAAGAAAATGGCATTTCGGAAAAATCGCCCGAAATCTGTGATGGTACCCCTTTGGAATCTGCCAAAAATTGACCCGGAATAAATTCGCTAAAATATGTGCTTAATGGACTTAATTATCGTTGAAGAATAGCCTCAGCCCAAATCCGTGATCTGTAGCCTTCAAAATCCAAATGAAATGGCCTTTCGTCGCCCAAAAAATTACGAAAATTCCATCCAAAATAAAATTGGCCCAAATCGGTGCTTAATGGACCTATCATCGGTGGAGAATATGATCAATAGACTTCATTATCGGTGGAGAATAGCCTCGGCATGATTTCGTGATCTGTAGCCTCCAGAATCGAAAAAAATGGCATTTCGGAAAAATCGCCAGAAATCTGTGATGGTACCCCTTTGGAATCTGCCAAAAATTGACACGGAATAAATTCGCCCAAATCTGTGCTTAATGGACTTAATCATCGTTGAAGAATAGCCTCAGCCCAAATCCATGATCTGTAGCCTTCAAAATCCAAATGAAATGGCCTTTCGTCGCCCAAAAAATTACGAAAATTCCATCCAAAAATAAATTGGCCCAAATCTGTGCTTAATGGACCTATAATCGGTGGAGAATAGGATCAATAGACTTCATTATCGGTGGAGAATAGCCTCGGCATGATTCCGTGATCTGTAGCCTCCAGAATCGAAAGAAAATGGCATTTCGGAAAAATTGCCCGAAATCTGTGATGGTACCCCTTTGGAATCTGCCAAAAATTGACCCGGAATAAATTCGCCCAAATCTGTGCTTAATGGACTTAATCATCGTTGAAGAATAGCCTCAGCCCAAATCCGTGATCTGTAGCCTTCAAAATCCAAATAAAATGGCCTTTCGTCGCCCAAAAAATTACGAAAATGCCATCCAAAAATAAATTGGCCCAAATCGGTGCTTAATGGACTTATCATCGGTGGAGAATAGGATCAATAGACTACATTATCGGTGGAGAATAGCCTCGGCCTGATTCCGTGATCTGTAGCCTCCAGAATCGAAAGAAAATGGCATTTCGGAATAATCGCCGGAAATCTGTGATGGTACCCCTTTGGAATATGCCAAAAATTGACCCGGAATAAATTCGCCCAAATCTGTGCTTAATGGACTTAATCATCGTTGAAGAATAGCCTCAGCCCAAATCCGTGATCTGTAGCCTTCAAAATCCAAATGAAATGGCCTTTCGTCGCCCAAAAAATTACGGAAATTCCATCCAAAAATAAATTGGCCCAAATCTGTGCTTAATGGACTTATCATCGGTGGAGAATAGGATCAATAGACTTCATTATCGGTGGAGATTAGCCTCGGCCTGATTCCGTGATCTGTAGCCTCCAGAATCGAAAGAAAATGGCATTTCGGATAAATCGCCCTAAATCTGTGATGGTATCCCTTTGGAATCTGCCAAAAATTGACCCGGAATAAATCCGCCCAAATCGGTGCTTAATGGACTCAATCATCGTTAAAGAATAGCCTCAGCCCAAATCCGTGATCTGTAGCCTTCAAAATCCAAATATAATGGCCTCTCATCGCCCAAAAAATTACGAAAATGCCATCCAAAAATAAATTGGCCCAAATCGGTGCTTAATGGACTTATCATCGGTGGAGAATAGGATCAATAGACTTCATTATCGGTGGAAAATAGCCTCGGCCTGATTCTGTGATCTGTAGCCTCCAGAATCGAAAGAAAATGGCATTTCGGAAAAATTGCCCGAAATCTGTGATGGTACCCCTTTGGAATCTGCCAAAAATTGACCCGGAATAAATTCGCCCAAATCTGTGCTTAATGGACTTAATCATCGTTGAAGAATAGCCTCAGCACAAATCCGTGATCTGTAGCCTTCAAAATCCAAATATAATGGCCTTTCGTCGCCCAAAAAATTACGAAAATGCCATCCAAAAATAAATTGGCCCAAATCGGTGCTTAATGGACTTATCATCGGTGGAGAATAGGATCAATAGACTTCATTATCGGTGGAAAATAGCCTCGGCCTGATTCTGTGATCTGTAGCCTCCATAATCGAAAGAAAATGTCATTTCGGAAAAATCGCCCGAAATCTGTGATGGTACCCCTTTGGAATCGCCAAAAATTGACCCGGAATAAATTCGCCCAAATCTGTGCTTAAAGGACTTAATCATCGTTGAAGAATAGCCTCAGCCCAAATCCGTGATCTGTAGCCTTCAAAATCCAAATATAATGGCCTCTCGTCGCCCAAAAAATTACGAAAATGCCATCCAAAAATAAATTGGCCCAAATCGGTGCTTAATGGACTTATCATCGGTGGAGAATAGGATCAATAGACTTCATTATCGGTGGAAAATAGCCTCGGCCTGATTCCGTGATCTATAGCCTCCAGAATCGAAAGAAAATGGCATTTCGGAAAAATCGCCCGAAATCTGTGATGGTACCCCTTTGGAATCTGCCAAAAATTGACCCGGAATAAATTTGCCCAAATT